AGCCATTTCACCAGCGATCGAGTTGAAATCTGTGGTCAAACCTTCCAGCTTCTCCGTGGCTTTGTCCACGCTCTTCTGGATTTGCTTTTCAGACCTATCAATGGCGCCCTGAACGTCCGATTCTATATCATAGGCAGAACCCAAACTGCTACTGCAAACGCCCTAAATAACAACAACAAAAACAATGACACAAACTTTAAATTATCCAAGAAATTTACTCACATAATAGGCGATGATCACACTGAGGATCAGTATGAAGGAGGACCTTTTGCACATCATCATTTTTTATATGATTTTGCTTTACTATTTCGGTTAATTGATTCAACTTAATCACTTCATCGTTTCCATCCACCTTATATAGTGAACTCGCCTTTTTCCAGGACTTGCGCAAAAATTACGTCTTTATCTAATAATCTTCGTAGTGCATGCACGATTTTGATAAATCCATTTATCGATAATAATTTAAATCATTAAATCAATAATCTGCTTGTGTCTTTCTTTTTATTCATTCGTTTCGCATTATTACACTCTCAATTAACTCAAATTAGTCCCAAAAAAAATCGATTAAAAGTACGATAAACACGATGAAAAAAATTAAATTGAAATAGACACTTAAATTTATACAAAAAACTATATTTTGTTATAGGATTATTCAATGATTAATAATTCGATAAACACGACGAAAAAAATTAAAAAAAAAAAATCAAAGCTACATGTTCCAAATTTGCCATGATCGTCTTCATTTCTGAACTTCTCTTCTTAAATTCTGGTAAGGACGACCCTAATCTGTAATCACCCAAACAATAGCTTTGCCCTCGAAGTTACTCAAAAAAAAATATAGACCTCGTGATTTAAATTGATCACAAGTACATCAATTCTTGACTTATTATTACTGACGCATTCATTCCCTGCTTCTTTTAACAGTTCCAAAACCTTCGTTTTTTGTGAACCGTTTTTATTTTCCAATTTCATTAGAAAATTTATTTTTGATATAGCATCTATTCTGCGCGCTGCAAACTTCTTTCGATCAATCCTTTGATTAATCCCAATGATACTGTCCACGACTTTCATGATATTTTGTTTCGCTCTAGTTATCTCCACTTCAACATCCTCATTCAAGTTGAAGTTGACTAGGGCTGCCATTACTAGTAAACAATTAACCGCCAAACACAATTACCGGTATTTTTTGATAAGAAATATCTCTGTTAGTAGTCTCTTTCCGTTTGTTTTCGAAATTTTAAAATCTATCAAACATTCCAATCAAAAAGTGTTCTGTAAATAAATATATAATATTATGATCTTTAATTGTGAAAAAAATCAGATTTCATATTTTAACAGTTTGATACTTTTTTTATTTCCTTTAAGTATGTTCTAAATATTTTATACTCAAATGATTTGTTGCTTTCTATTTCTTATTGTCATCGTTGCTCAAGATAGAATTTAATAATTGATTGAAACAATTGGTTCAAATTCGACTCTAAATAAAAGCCTTTGTTAGAAATTTTAGTGTTATAGTTAAATTGAAAAAATGTATTATTTTATTATTTTTTCGTTTTGTATAACTCTCTTCTGAGATATTATATTTAAGTTTGGTGAGAAAATAAAAATTATTTTATCGAATAATTATGTCAAGTAGAGTTTCTTCTGATGATTAATTAAAGTATGCTTATATTATATATCTATCAATTGAAGAAATACATTATTGAAAAGTTTTTCAATAAGTCTCATATTTCTTGTTAGCTATGATAATAAAATTAGTTCAATCTAATACTTAAATATGAGTTTTCTCAATGTTGTTCAATATATTTATATATAAATTATATTGGTCTATAATAATTTCCTGTTGTTTCTTTGGATTATTAAACACAAATCTTCACTTTAGATTTGTGCTATTTATGATGCTCAAATGCATAAATTGAAAAAAAAAACACTATATTTAAGATTTACAATAATTTATTGCTTGATTAATTTACGACATTCTCATAAAGGATAATTACAATGTTGATTAGAAGAATTTGGTTGTTTTGAATTAGTGATTGTATTTGGCCAGGATGCGGACACGATCTTCGGACAACAAGTTGCTAACGCAGGTACCGACATCGACCTGGATTATGTTGGCTTCCTTGGACGCAGCGTTTCCGGTCCTGGTGGTGCATTCAGCCATAGCCAACTCCAAATTCTTAACGTTTGTTTCAACCTCCGAAGCTCTGGAATTGATCTGAGTGGGAACGGTAAAACCGGAGGTGAACGACCCTCATTAGAAGATTGCCGAGACAAGTCTCAGACTCTGGGCCAGCTCCGCACGCGGACTTATCCGACTTGAAGCTACCTACGACAAGTTGAGATCCCAAATTGATCTGTTCGATTCCTGACTTGACATTATCCTCAGCTTGAGTACTCTTATCGCCAGCGCAAGCGTTAACTTCAGTTTCGGCTCCAGCATTCAACTCCTGCAATTTGGATTAACACCTTCCTCGCAGGATGCAGTATCCAATCCTGCAGCGGTCGCAGCACCGACAGCTGCTTGATCTGTTATCCGCATGATCTACTCTCTGACTCTCTCCAAAGTTTCCTTGGCCATATTTCCAGCGATCGAGTTGAAATCTGTGGTCAAACCTTCCAGCTTCTCCGTGGCTTTGTCCACGCTCTTCTGGATTTGCTTTTCAGACCTATCGATGGCTCCTTGAACGTCCGATTCTATATCGTAGGCAGAACCCAAACTGCTACTGCAAACACCCTAAATAACAACAACAAAAACAATGAAAAAAAACCCTAAATTATCCACGAAATTTACTCACATAATGGGCGATGATCACGCTGAGGATCAGCAGGAATGAGGACCTTTTGCACATCATCATTTTTAATATGATTTCAATTTTACTTTTCTATTTCGTTTAATTGATTAAACTTAATCACTTCATCGTTTCCATCCAACTTATATAGTGAACTAGCCTTTTCCCAGGGCTTGCGCAAAAATGACGTCTTTATCTAATAATCTCCGCAGTGCATACACGATTTCGATAAATCGATTTATCAATAACACGCGCAATTAACGCAAATTAACCCCCAAAAAAAATACATCGGTTAATAGTACGATAAACACGATGAGAAAAATTAAATTAAAATGTCCACTTAAATTTATAAATAAAAAACTATATTTTGTTGTACGATTATTCAATGATTAACAATTCGGTAAACACGACGAAAAAAATTTAAAAAAAAATCCAAATCTGCATGTTCCAAATTTTGCATGATTGTTTTCAAAACCTTCGTTTTTTCTGAACCGTTTTCATTATCTGGTGATATTTAATTTTTGATGTAGCATCTTTTCTGTGCGCTCCAAACTGCTTTCGATCAAACCATGATCGATTCTAAGGATTCGTTCAGATCAGATATAGCTATGACCACAACTTATATGATTTACATGATTTTGTTCCGTTTTAGTTATCTCCAATTCAACATCCTCTTTCAAATTGAAGTTAACTAGGGCTGCCATTACCGGTAAATGATTAAACGCCAAATATAATTATCAGTATTTTTTTTATAAGAAATATCGGCTCACATGACATTTAAGTGATCGTTTGACAGAAGGTTTTAACCGTCTCTTTCTGTTTGTTTTCGATATTTTCAAATCTATCGAACGTTCCAATCAAGAAGTGTTCTATAAATGAATATATAATACAGTGGAACCTTGCTTAACGAGCAAAATGAATTTAAGAAAAATGACTCGCTTAACGAGCGACGTTTCGCATAACGAGTGATGATGAGAAGAGAAGTAGCGGATTTCGCGCCTTTTAAAAAACTTGTGTACTCAAATTATATGTGTATTTTTGAATATGTTAACCAACTTCGATTTTCTTTGTCATCATTGCTTAAAGCGGACTATAATTTGCAAATATAATGTGTAATTGCTGTAAATGCAAAACATAAATGTAATGTGTCCAACCATTTTTTATATAAACAAATATTTAAAGTATAAAGAAACCTCCACAAAATCCCCTAATTGATACAAGTAATTTAAACAAATATAAACTCACTTCACCGTGTGTGTATTGGAAAATAGCTCCTAGTGTTAGTTGTCATTCTAATTGCATCTTAGTGTCAATTTCCATACTTAAGTTCAGGCATGTTATTTGTGTTTTTTTTTTGAGCAAAATTTAATAACATTTGCATGTCTTCGAATACAATGCCAAAGAATAAAAAGAACTATAGATATGAAAAGCAGAATCGTTAAAAATCGAGACCAAGTTACACTTTTTTTTCGTCAAGGAACGCATTATCGTAATTTACATTAGTATATATAGGAAAACGTGTATAACACTATACGAGTAAAAATCCGGAAATTTTGAAACGGATTAAACTCGTTAAGCGAGTCTTTATGATCTTTAAATGTGAAAAATTCAAATTTCATATTTTAACATTTTGATACTTTTTTTATTTCCTTTAAGTTTGTTCTAAATATTTTATACTCAAATGATTTGTTTCTTATTGTCAACGTTGCACAAGATATAATTTAATAATTGATTCAAACAATGTTTATTTTGGTTAAAATGTTATTCTAAATAAAAGCCTTTGATAGAAATTTGAATATTCTAGTTAAATTGAAGAAATGTATTACTTTATTATTCTTTTGTTTTGTGTAACTCTCTTCTGAGATATTATAGTTAAGTTTGGTAAGAAAATTAAAATAATTTAATCGAATAATTATGTCAAGTAGAGTTTCTTTTGATGATTAATTAAAGAATGCTTATATTATACGTAAATCAATTGAAGAAATACATTATTGAAAAGTTCTGCAAAAACTCTTCTCATATTTCTTGTTGGTAATGATATCAAAATTAGTTCAATGTAATAATTGAATGTGAGTTTACTTAATGTTGTTAAAGTTTGTAAAAATAAGATGAATCTAAAAAATGATTTTTGTTGGATTATTAAACACAAATCTTTACTTTAGATTTGTGTTTTTGATGCTCAAATGTATAAATTGAAAAAACGATATATTTAAGGTTTATAATTATTTATTGCTTGATTAATTTATGACATTCTCATAAAGTATTGCTATTTGAATAATTACAATGTTGATTAGAAGAATTTGGTTGTTTGAATTACTGATTGTATTTGGCTAGGATGCGGACACGATCTTCGGACAACAAGTTGCTAACGCAGGTACCGACATCGACCTGGATTATGTTGGCTTCCTTGGACGCAGTATTTCCGGTCCTGGTGGTGCATTCAGCCATAGCCAACTCCAAATTCTTAACGTTTGTTTCAACCTCCGATGCTCTGGAATTGATCTGAGTGGGAACGGTAAAACCGGAGGTAACGACCCTCATTAGAAGATTGCCGAGACAAGTCTCAGACTCTGGGCCAGCTCCGCACGCGGACTTATCCGACTTGAAGCTACCTACGACAAGTTGAGATCCCAAATTGATCTGTTCGATTCCTGACTTGACATTATCCTCTGCTTGAGTACTCTTATCGCCAGCGCAAGCGAGAACTTCAGCTTCGGCTCCAGCATTCAACTCCTGCAATTTGGACTCAACATCAACCTCGCAGGATGCAGTATCCAATCCAGCAGCGGTCGCAGCACCGACCAGCTGCTTGATCTGTTTATCGGCATGATCTATGCTCTTCTGCACTCTCTCCAAAGTTTCCTCTGCCATTGTTCCAGCGGTCGCGTTGAAATCTGTGGTCAAACCTTCCAGCTTCTCCGTGGCTTTGTCCACGCTCTTCTGGATCTGTTTCTCGGACCTATCGATGGCGCCCTGCACGTCTGATTCTATATCATAGGCAGAACCCAAACTGCTACTACAAACACCCTAAAAACAACAACAAAAACAATGAATCAAACACTAAATTATCCAAGAAAATCTACTCACATAGTAGGCGATGATAACGCTCAGGATCATCAGGAAGGAGGACGTTTTGCACATCATCATTTTTGATATGATTTTGATTTGGCTTTACTCTTTAGTTTAGTTTGTTAAACTTAATCACTTCATTGTTTCCATCCACCTTATATAGCGAACTCGTCTTTTTCCAGGTCTTGCGCAAAAATGACGTCTTTATCTAATAAACTCCGCAGTGCAAACACGATTTTGATAAATCCATTTATCGATAACGAACTACATCAATAATCAAATCTGCCTCTGTCTGTCTTTTTATTAATTTATTCCGCATTATTCCACAATCAATTACTGCAAATCAACCCCAAGAATAAACAACTATTAACAGTACGATATAAATAGGATGACAAAAAATTCAATTAAAATGAGCACTTAAATTTGTACAATTTAAAATTCTTCAATTCGATATATACAACAACAAAAAAATAATTTTAAATATATATATCGAATAAAATCCTCATTTTATTCGAATATTCATTTCATTTACATAAATAATTCTTCAGTCTGATTTTGAAACATTTCGTATCCGTCCTCGCTATTGTTGTTCGTATTAATGTTTATTGCTTTTTCGTTCCTATTTTAAATCCCATCGCAAGGCTGCAAAGGATTAAAGTTTATCCATTATTTAGGTCATTTAAACTAAATAATATCACTTTTTTCTTAAATCTCTTCCAAATGATGCCTTTGTATATTCAAAGACAAAACGCAATTTATTTTTTGATGTTTTCAAAATCGTAACAATAAAATAAATCAATTTAAATTCAATTAGAAACCATTAATTTGTTGTATAGATTTTCAAAGCACTACAATTTGGCCTTTTTGATTGATGCAAATAACAAAAATACAAACATATCTTAAGAAATCTATGTTTATTAAATAACATTTAAATCATGATAAATTAATCATTTTATTGCATAAGTTTTAACAAATGTATGTAAATATACTATTGCACTTCAATCTAAAGAAGAAAATAGAAGTTATTTTTAAGATTAAGATTTCTAAAATTAATAAATAATATATATTTCGTAATATGATTAAAAAAAAATTACATAAATTAACATGAAACAGTTGAAAGATATCATTAAAAGTTAAATTCGATTGTTTCAATTGTTACTATGGTGATGGTCGATTTCGAAATTTAAAAAAAAAATAAATCAAACGCTCATAGATAGTGAAAATTAATTAATCTCATCGATTATCAGTAATTAAATTGAAATTGGGACAAAAATAACAAAACAAGTCTCGTCTATTCATAATTTACGTTATTATTTTTTTTATTGTTATTCCGTATTTTCCTCGACAAATATCGCCAAGTATTTATCGTGATATCACGTGTAGACTTGAGTAGGTCGATAAGGAGTTAACACTTTCTAGAAATTCGTCTCACGTCGAACGTCGTCTGCTAGAATCCATTGCGAATTGGACGAGAGAACAAAGATAATGATGATGATGAACATGATGATGATGATACATATTTTGTAATTACAGAAGTCGCAGACCGGATTCTGCTTTTGCTCGGAAATATTTTCATGAATATGTCTTTTATGGCTCTAACGGCTCTCGCACCTCCTCCTTCTTGTTATTCTTATTGTTTTTCTTCTTCTTCTTCTTCTTCTTCTGTCAGAATCACCTGCTTCTGTTCCTCCACTTCTGGAAGACATCTCGAATACCGATGCAACTAAATCAAAACGCAAAGTATTTTAATTGGAAAGAAGGGAAGTTTTCCTAAAAAGGACGAACTATGGAACACGTCTGCGAATACCAAGACCACTTCTTCTAATTACAAAAATTAAAGCAATTTCTTGCTAACCGATCAATAAAAATATATATTGTTTGTCGTCTCTTGATATGTGTTCACCGTGGAAAAACATCATTCAATATTATTGTTACCTTCTTCCTTTTTCTCTTCTTCAATAAGTTTTTTCTTAATAATTCTTAAAATTGTTCAATTCACACGACTGTAGAGTTTTCTTTCTTTTCGAAATTTAAATAATGTATTTATAATTGAACAATAAAAAATAAAGATTTTTATATAGTTTTATCTAAGTAAATATTATTTTGTTTTCGTTTAATAATGATAATATTAATTTAATGAGAAATCTGTTTGAGTCAACCAAAAATAAAACAATAATAAATAAATTTAAGAAGAAAAAAATAGTAAACACGTAAAAATACGGAAAACACTTGAAAATTGAACAAAATTTGTTTTTTTTTTACAAGGTTGCTTCGATATCATCTCAAATGCACAGACTGTGAACGTGCTCATCTCGATTATTATGACACATCTATTATATCTCTCTCCGTCTCATATACACTTTCTTTAGCAAACATTCTTACGAAGATTCATGTCTTAGTTTTCCCAAGGTTGGATCAATTATTAAAATAATTAAACTTATAAAATTTCTTAGTTAAAATAAAGTTTTTTTTTTCAAGGGATTATATTTAGATTAGAGATAAATTTATGGTTTAAACGTATATAGAAATTTACTTATTTTATTAGCAGCTTATGTTATCAATAAAAATATTACAAATATTGCCATCGCTTCTTTTCTAATCAAGTAGCTCAAGTGCATTAAGAAATAATTTGTTTCCTTGTTATTCTGTAACATTGATCATCCATATCCATAACAACTATCGTTAACAGAAATAAATGTCCAATAACATATGTCTCATATTTACAACTAACATTTCATGTACGTTTTCGATAGATTTCTTACTAAATTTCATTATCAACTAGATGCATCTATCCATAACTAATAATAAAACCAACTGTCAGTGTATATAGCATTATAATGCATGACAGAACCAATGTGGGACCCATGGCCCATAGAGAAATTATTTGATTGTTAAGGGGAGAAATTCCAAAATGCACTCGTTCAGAGTTTAATCGAATGTCGAATTATAGAGATGTTACATAGGGCGCATAATAATTTTAAAAAGTTTTAAGTGGTCCATGGCACAACAAAAGGTTGGGAAACACTGCTTTAGAGTAATTAAGTAATCCTTGATTTGTAATGATTTTATGGAATTTGTTTTGTAGAGGAATTCATTTAGTTTTTTTTTACTTTTTAATTTTATTTTATTTGCAATTATAAGAATCCAATCTTTATTGCGGGTTGTGGATGTAAAGGCACGAATACGTTTGGCTCACGATAAGTTGGGCTTGGTTGGCTGCGATATTAGCCCTGTCGATGCATTGGAACATTCCACTTTCGACGAGGCCAATTGCAGAGATGATTTGTTCAATACGTTGCCCGATCTCGACTGGGTAGTTCTTGGTGTCGGCCTTGACTAGAGTGATCAAATCACGAAGACATGGATTGCTGTCTTCTTTGGACAAGCAAAGGTCCCAGCTGGCAATGTAGGCTTGGTTCTTGTGGTTGAAATCCCAACCGATGGTATTGGTGATGTCGTTGACCATGGTTTGGCTTTGCTGATGTGCGTTCTATCCGCAGTTCTGCACATAGTTGATGAGGAGACCGACTAAAGCGTTCAAAGAATCTCTGGCGATGATAATGCAATCCTCCACATTCAATCCTTCCGCTAAAGCCTTCTCCTCCTCGAGATTGACTTGACTTATGGCAGCTTCCACCTTCGCCTCGATCTTCTGGTAGGCTTGCTTTTCGGTCTCACGGGATGAAACGGACAGTTCTTTCAGCAAGTTGATCATCTTCGTGTTACCTTCGCGGATGGCGTCGATGGTGGCATTAGGGAAATCTTCGACGGCATGCTGCAATTCAGATTGGGAATCCCTTGGAAGTACGGAAACTGCCTGAAAAAAAAACATCATTAACAAATTTCATTTAATATGAATCAATTCTTACCTGAAAGGCGATCACAGCGGCGAAAACCAAGACAATCTTTGAGCACATTATGTTGCTTACGCTCTACTGCGATACTGGTTTCGAGCAATCGCAAAATGTATTTATATAGCAATATATGTATACCAATATAAAGTGTATTATTTTATTATTCTTTCGTTTAGTGTAACTCTCTTCTGACATATTATAGTAAAGTTTTGTAAGAAAATAAAAATAATTTAATCGAATAATTATATCAAGTAGAGTTTTTGATGATTAATTAAAGTATGCTTATATTATATATCTAGGCCGACAAATAGCCGAATGGTTAAGTCACCCTACCCACATGCCAGTGGTCACAGGCTCAAATCCTGGTCAAGACAGGCCCTTTGTGAGCCCTCTCGGTGCTTGCAGCAATAAGGCCATCGTTCATCACAGATGGACAGTCAAATGAATGAGGTTTAGCATATGAACCTTCAGCCAAGTCGATGGACAATGACAATTTTAAGGATAGCAGCAGATTTACAGTTAAAGGAAATAGTGTAATCGCAGAGCATCAATATTCTACTGAAGTTAACATACAAAACGACAACCAACCTACAATTTAATAATAAATAATCAACATAATGCTAACTATCCACCAGGAAAGATTATCCATTTAATGTCAACCGCAATCTTAAATTTACTCAATGTTCACATTGATGAACAGATTGTGAATAAAATTATACGACATTAAAAAAAATATATTATATATCTATCAATTGAAGAAATACATTATTGAAAAGTTCTTCAATAAGTCTTGGTAATGATAACAAAATCAGTTCAATCTAATAATTGAATATGAGTTTTCATAACGTTGTTAAAGCTTGTAAAAATAAGGTGAATCTAAAAAATGATTATTTTTGGATTATTAAACACAAATCTTCACTTTAGATTTGTGTTTTTGATGCTCAAATGTATAAATTGAAAAAACGCTACATTTAAGATTTATAATTATTTATTGCTCGATTAATTTATGACATTCTCATAAAGTATTGCTATTTGAATAATTAAAATGTTGATAAGAAGAATTTAGTTGTTTGAATTAGTGATTGTATTTGGCCAGGATGCGGACACGATCTTCGGACAACAAACTGATAACGCAGGTACCGACATCGACCTGAATTATGTTGGCATCCCTGGACGCAGCGTTTCCAGTCCTGGTGGTGCATTCAGCCATAGCCAACTCCAAATTCTTGACGATCGTTTCAACCTCTGATGCTCTAGAATTTATCTGGGAGGGAACGGTGAAACCGGAGGTGACGACCCTCAAAAGAAGATTGCCGAGACAAATCTCAGAATCTGGGCCAGCTCCGCACGCAGACTTATCCGACTTGAAGCTACTTACGACAAGTTGAGATTTCTTATTGATCTGTTCGATTTCTGATATGACATTATCCTCTACTTGAGTATTCTTATCGCCAGCGCAAGCGTGAACTTCAGTTTCGGCTCCAGAATTCAACTCCTGCAATTTGGAATCAACACCTTCCTCGCAGGATGTAGTATCCAATCCTGCAGCAGTAGCAGCACCGATCAGCTGCTTGATCTGCTTATCCGCATGATCTACGATCTCCTGCACTCTCTCCAAAGTTTCCTCGGCCATTGTTCCAGCGGTCGAGTTGAAATCTGTGGTCAAATCTTCTAGCTTCTCCGTAGCTTTGTCCACGCTCTTCTGGATCTGCTTCTCGGACCTATCGATGGCGCCCTGTACGTCTGATTCTATATCGCTACTGCAAACACCCTAAACACAACAACAAAAACAATGAATCAAACTCTAAATTATCTAAGAAAATCTACTCACATAATAGGCGATGATCACGCTGAGTATCAGCAGGAAGGAGGACTTTTTGAACATTTTTGATATGATTTTGATTTGGCTTTACTCTTTACTTTATTTTGTTAAACTTAATCACTTCATCGTTTCCATCCACCTTATATAACGAACTCGTCTTTTTCCAGGTCATGCGAAAAATGACGTCTTTATCTAAAATTATTCAATTTGATAAATACAACAAAAAAAAATATTTTAATTTTAAAAATATACATATTTCACTTGTTCGAATAAAATCCTCATTTTATTCTAGATTTATTTGAATTTGCATTTCGTTTATATAAATAATTCTTCAGTCTGATTTTGAAACATTTCATATCCGTCCTCGCTATTGTTGTTCGTATTAATGTTTATTGCTTTTTGTTCGTAATTTAAATCCCATCGCAAGGCTGCAATGTATTAAAGTTTATCCATTAATTAGGTCATTTAAACTAAATAATATCACTTTTTTCTTAAATAAATAATTGTAATCTTTTAAACATTTCTAAATTTCTTCCCTCGTTTGAATGATGTCGTTGTATATCCAAAAAAAAACGGAATTCATTTAATGATGTTTTCAAAATCGTAACAATAAAATAAATCATTAAAATTCAACTAAAAATCAATATTTAGTGATTTATGATTTAGGCAAATAATTACGAAGAATACAAAAATAATTATAATTTTTTCATTAACTATTTCTGACTCGACATTTATAATTAAAGAAATATACTATTGCACTTCAATCTAAAGAAGAAAATAAAACTTGTAAAGATAAACTGTCAAAAATTAACATATAATTTGCATTTTTTCTTTGTTTCTATCGTAGTATGATAAAAAAAATGACATTAATTAACATGAAACAGTTGAAAGATTTCATTAAAAGTTTAATTCGATTGTTTCAATTGTTACTATGGTGGTGATCGTTTAATGCAATTCGATTGCGCAAATTATTTTTATATATTTTTATATAATTATATATTTCGAAATTAATAAAAAAAATGTATAAATCAAACGCTCGTAGATAGTATAAATTAATTAAACTCATCGATTATCAGTAATTAAATTGAAATTGGGACAAAAATAACAAAACAAATCTCGTCTATTCATAATTTACGTTATTATTTTTTTATTTCGTATTTTTCTCGACAAATATCGCCAAGTATTTATTGTGATATCACGTGTAGACTTGAGTAGGTCGATAAGGAGTTAACACTTGCTAGAAATTCATCTCACGTCGAACGTGGTCTGCTGGAATCCATTGCGAATCGGATGAAAGAACAAAGATGATGAACATGATGATGATGATACATATTTTGTAATTGCAGCAGTCGCAGAACGGATTCCGCTTTTGCTCGGAAATATTTTCATGAATATGTCTGTGGTGCACACTCCAGCCCGCTTATATGACCTCACCTACAAACCCGGTACGGTGCGCCCCACTCCAGCCCGTAGCTGGTATTCCGGGAAGGTCTGATAAGGGCTCTACCTGGTTAGGGCATATCAGCGGCAACATATCTGTACCCGCTCTCTTATTTCCTGTCTTCTCTTCCGCTTTTCTTGTGTAGTGATAACATGTAAGTTTCACTATATTATCTCGTGTGTATTCTCCGTGTTGGCCCTCGAGCCTCGGACTCATTATACTGTAAGAAACCTTTGTACCTATGTATCACTGCAGTGTAACTAGCCATGATTACTACAAATAAACATATATATGAGCATCTCCAAATGTCTTTTATGGTTCTAACGGCTCTCGCACCTCATCCTTCTTGTTATTCTAACTAAATCAAAACGCAAAGTATTTTAATTGGGAAGAAGGAAAGTTTTCCTAAAAAGGACGAACGATGGAACACGTCTGCGAATACAAAGACCACTTCTTCTAATTACAAAAATTAAAACAATTTCTTGCTAACCGATCAATAAAAATGTATATTGTTTGTCGTCTCTTGAGCATGTGTTCACCGTGGAAAAACATCAATCAATATTATTGTCACCTTCTTTTTCTTTCTCTTCTTCAAAAGTTTTTTCTTAATAATTTTTAAAATCGTACATTTCACACGATAGTAGAGTTCTCTTTCTGTTTCAAATTTAAATAATGTATTTATAATTAATACAAATTAATGAAATAAAATAAAGATTTTTATATAGTTTTATCTAAGTAAATATTATTTTGTTTTCGTTTAATAATGATAATATTAATTTAATGAGAAATCTGTTTGAGTCAACCAAAAATAAACCAATAATAAATAAATTTAAGAAGAAAAAAATAGTAAACATGTAAAAATACGGAAAACACTTGAAAATTGAACAAAATATGTTTTTTTTTTACAAGGTTGCTTCGATATCATTTCAAATGCACAGACGTGCTCATCCCGATTATTATGACACATCTATTATATCTCTCTCCGTCTCATATACACTTTGTTTAGCAAACATTTTCATCTTCTTACGAAGATTCATGTACATCCAATACAAAGTTCCACAAAAACGCAATTTATAATTTAAAAAAAATAAAATTTACTTCCAAATATATAAAGTTCTAGAAAATTAATGCTAATTTTTAAACAACTACAATAAATCGTCTTAGTTTTCACAATAATTGATCCATCATTAAAATAATTGAACTTATGAAATTTCTTAGTTAGAATTAATGCTCATAGTTTTTGTTTTTTCAAGGGATTACATTTGGATTAGATATAAATTTATGGTTTAAACGTATTTAGAAATTATATTATTTTATTAGCAGCTTATGTTATCAATAAAAATATTACACATATTGCCATCGCTTCTTTTCTAATCAAGTAGCTCAAGTGCATTAAGAAATAATTTGTTTCCTTGTTATTCTGTATCATTGATCATCCTTATCCATAACAACTATCGTTAACAGAAATAAATGTCCAATAACATATGTCTCATATTTACAACAAACATTGGATGTACGTATTCGATAGACTGTATAGTAATAGTTTTCTTAATGAGTTCAATAAATTTCTTACTAAATTTCATTATCAACTAGATGCATCCATAGCTAATAAAACCAATTGTCTGTGTATATAGCATTATAATGACATGACAGAACAGGAGTGTAAACTCTAGAGCAGTATTTTCCAATTTCAGATTTTAATCGAATGTAGAATTATAGAGATGTTACATAGGGCGCATAATAATTTTAGAAAGTTTTAAGTGGTCCATGGCACAACAAAAGGTTGGGAAACACTGGTTTAGAGTAATTAAGTAATCCTCGATTTGTAATGATTTTATGGAATTTGTTTTTTAGAGGAATTAATTTGTTTTTTTTTACTTTTTTATTTTATTTTATTTTATTTTATTTGCAGTTATTAGATTGGATTGCTTTATTGCTGGTTGTGGATGTAAAGGCACGAATAGATTTGGCTCACGATAGATTGGGCTTGGTTGGCTGCGATATTAGCCCTGTCGATGCATTGGAACATTCCACTTTCGACGAGGCCAATTGCAGAGATGATTTGTCCAATACGTTGCCCGATCTCGACTGGGTAGTTCTTGGTGTCGGCCTTGACTAGAGTGATCAAATCACGAAGACATGGATTGCTGTCTTCTTTGGACAAGCAAAGGTCCCAGCTGGCAATGTAGGCTTGATTCTTGTGGTTGAACTCCCAACCGATGGTATTGCTGATGTCGTTGACCATGGTTTGGCTTTGCTGACGGGCGTTCCATCCGCAGTTCTGCACATCGTTGCTGAGGAGACCGACCAAAGCGTTCAAAGAATCTCTGGCGATGATAATGCAATCCTCTACGTTCAATCCTTCCGCTAAAGCCTGCTCCTCCTCGAGATTGACTTGACTTATGGCAGCTTCCACCTTCGCCTCGATCTTCTGGTAGGCTTGCTTTTCGGTCTCACGGGATGAAACGGCCAGTTCTTTCAGCAAATTGATCATCTTCGTGTTACCTTCGCGGATGGCGTCGATGGTGGCATTACGGAAATCTTCGACGGCACGCTGCAATTCAGATTGGGAATCCCTTGGACGTGCGGACACGGCCTGAAAAAAAAAATAACCATCATTAACAAATTTCATTTAATAATAATCAATTCTTACCTGAAAGGCGATCAAAGCGGCGAAAACCAAGACAATCTTTGAGCACATCATGTTGCTTACGCTGAACTGCGATACTGGTTTTCATCAATCGCAAAATGTATTTATATAGCAATACAGTTTGCAGAAAAACTCGCTATCTGGGGTCGATCTTGTCCATTTTTTATCATATTTCGTGGAAAATCTCGATACAATTGTATGTTAATCAATTCTGGATACTCCAAACCCCTTTGATTAGGCCCAAATGCTTTTATTTTGATTGATTACCCATGTTCCCAGATATTAAATTTATCTACAGATATAAATAGTGTCTCTTACATGTTTGTTTATACTATCCAAACAAATATAAATCTAGCACGTAATACATTGATCAACAATAATACGAAACCAACTTTATTGACTATAAACATAATTTGTCAATAATTTACAGACATATTTGTCAATTATGTTTTAGTATTTATTTTTATAATCTATTCCTGTGAACTAATGTTCTTAACAGTAAATCTCCTGACGATTGACATTTGCTTTTAGTTTCCAATGGAAGTTGTTACCATTATTTTCTTCTTTTTTTAATTTGTTGATTGACTGTCGTCTTGTAGATTAAAGTCAGTAATATAGGTATGCTCTGTGATTCTACTATTTCCTGCAGCTATTCTTAATACTGTCATTGGCCATCGACTTAGCTGGAGGAGGTCCATATGCTAAACCTGATTCATGTGTGACATATGTCACATTTATATAATATTTATATAATTTTGAAGATATTAACTAGATTAACCTAATTTTAATGATGTTTAATTGAAGAATAAATTACTCTGATTACTATTTAAAAAAATTCTTATCTCCAACAAGTGATTTCCTCAAAAAATAAAACTAAGCTATTTCTCGAACGGATATGACTTTAATGCAATTCCAAGTATCAACGATAAAAAATGGAGTTATTTCAAATACAATTTGCTTCCAATTGAATAATAATAACAAACATTTATAGTAGACATTTATTTAACATCTTGTATCTTAAGTTCCGAGTGGTAATCATAATTACCAACAATATTTTAAAATACCTGAAAGTTATATAAGCCATTTTATAGTAACAAGAACTGGAACATGCTGGTATATACCTAGATTTTCATATATAAACCATATAAGGTTATCGTTTTAACGCTAACTTTTATGGCGAATATTAAACGGGATTAAATAATTAAGAAATTTATACGAATCTTATCACCGGACTCAAAAGTAGATTACGCAAAACACTTCATAATTAACGCTTGAAACTATAAATATGAATCTCGATTACTCATCAATCGATTTCCATGCGAAATTCACTTTACACTTTTACATTAATAGATAATTCATTATCTTGCATTAGTAGCTGTTTACAAGTCAGTATTTAAGCGCCGATCCAAAATAATGTATCAACATTATTTTCAATTCAACGCAATTGTTTGAATTATTATTTAATTATTTTAATACAATTTTCTGTACAGAGATTTGTATAATATTTAATAGAGGTTTTCTGATATGCAATAGGGTAAAAGAGGATTTACCAAAACACTATTGGCTGCGTATCGACGCATTCCAAATTCAGCGTTTCTATTGGCAATAACTTTCTTCACGCATTGCTCCCATTTGACGTTATTGAATAAGTCCTCCAGTTTAACTATCTCCTCGATGATTACGTTCGGAACTGCGGAGACCCCAAGCAATGCTTGCACTAAGCACAGTTGAGGACTCGACTTCCGCTTGCATTCTGCAACTTTGCGTTCGATATCCTTGACAAGATCTCTGACCTGACCTTTCACATCTTCAACGAACTCTTCGACGAGGAGTGAAGATCTCCGAAGGTCTCTGGAAACGCAGCTTTTCAGTTGCTCTGAATACTTCTCGTTTTTAACCTCCAGACCACCGGAGACATCAATCGCGCGGCGTGAAACCTCGCCCGAGAAATCTTGAACCTTGACTTTCTTTATATTAATCTCAATTTTTATCAAACCTTCATCCACGACTTTATGTGCCTTCTCCTTCAACTTTTCCTGTATAGAATTTTTAGCGTTCGTTAATTGGTGGTGAGACACCTCGATCAATTGTTGAATCTGATCCAAAATTTTTTCGCTTTCCTCCAAGAATCCATCGCCATTGGATAGTCCCTAATAAAAGAAATGTTTTTATTACACTTATATTGAATTGTTACAACTGCATACTTGAAGGACAATAAAAAACAAGAGACAGCACGCATATTTTACACTCATTCTAACAACTAAAACCAAATATCAGCAACATGACCTTACCATTTATATACCTATTATCTTAAGTATTTTCTCATTATATTATATGCACGTGCCTATCGCAAACTGAGCATTATTATACACATTTGTTATTTCTCTTAAGTTACATAAATTACTTAAATATATTTCATTTTAATATTTACTCGTACACATTCTCGTATATTTATACAACATAGATCTATCAATATACATGAATCTTAAAGATTCTTAAGTAACTATTTTGATTAGTTTATTTCCAATCTAAAATATATATAAAATAATCGATTAAGAGATAACATAAACTTAAAAATATCTTTATCACACAGCAATTATATTGACAATAAACATTCTAAAATCTATAAATCGATAGAGTTTCCATCTATTGGAAGATAGCATGAATACTTTGCAATTTTTGTTATTAATATAATTATTTCATATGTTTGTTATAGTTGGCATTACTTGTTTCCGAATGGAAATTATATTGATATTAAAAATTCAAAAATTTATAAACCTATAACCGAGATATTTTTCTTTAAAATTTCTTTATTTTTTTTTTAAAAGAAGTTTATATTTCCCGTTTTCCGGGAACAATAATCGGGGAAAAGTTTTTTTTTCATTTCTATGTTATTATAAAATAAGAGTGCTGAATATTATTATCTTAATTATTAACAACAGATGGGGTTAATTAATTATTACTTATATGACATATAGTGGGAACGAGAGGGCGGATGAGTTGGCAACGGATGGACACGCTTCCTAGAAACATCAAAGTACACTACACAGATATCGGCCCCCACATCAGGTCCCAATCGATGTTGGGATGGCAGAGGATATATGAGGCGGAAAGTATATATAAATGTACATCTTACTTCAACTTCAGAAGAGTAGTCAGTAGACGTCCGTGGTACGAGAAGATGGAATTTAGGTGTAAAGCGGACATTGCCAAGCTTAGTCGTTTGCGGTCCGGACATACTCGGGCTCCGGTACATTTAGCCAGAATAGGATGGCAGGATTCGGACAGATGTAGTTACGGGTCAGTGGGGACGCTGGATTACATCGTCTTCGCATGTGAACACAACAGTGAGGCATCAGGGGTTCTTTATAAGCAATTTCTGCATAATAGAATTCACATGCCCATGTCCATACGGTGTCTCATTCAATCCGAGGGCGTATACGTTTACAGGGCAATACTTAAGTTTCTGAAGACATCTAATGCCTATATATAGTGTTAACGTATCAACCTTTCTAATTTATACCTTTCCGAGGTCTCTCCAAGAACCTGAATACTGAACCGCTGAGACCCCGGTTCGAAAGTCGTTATATATTTGTGTTCGACCTGTTACCTTTATTGTCGTTACCTGTCTTTCCGTATCTCTCTTACGTACATTTTTAATAGAAGTCAGTTTAGTTTGAATTAATAGTTATTTTTTAGTTGAGTTAGTTCTTTATTTTTATTAGTCGTGCTGAAGAAGGAAGTTTTGGTTCATGGGAGAAGCTGGTTAATTTAATTAGTAGGTCGGAAGAAGCAAGCCGAATCATCAATCAAGTTAGTTTGTGTGCCGAATGTAGACAGTGGCAGGCTTATTGGCGCGCAATGCGGAAGCCAAATGAAGAAGGGGAAGGAAGAAGAAGACATATCCTTATTTTTTAGTTTCGTTAGAAGAAGTTGTTTATTTTGATTATTTGGGCTGAAGAAGGAAGTTTTGGTTTTATTGGAAGAAACTGTTTAATTTAATTATTTGGGCGGTAGAAGAAATCCGAAGAATAAGTGTTATTTTGATTTTTGTTCTTTGACTGAACAGACAGTGGCTGGCTTATTGGCGCGTAATGCGGAAGCCAAATGAAGAAGGGGGAAGGAAGAAGAAGGAAGGACATGTCCTTAAATATTATCCAATTTAACTGACAAAAGATGGCGTTACTTATTCTTATTAAATTGACGGAGACAGTTTACAGTACTTACTATGTTTATAATTTCAAACCTCAGGACGACAGTCAACCAACAAATTAAAGAGAGAAGAAAATAATGATAATGAATATTCACAGGAATAGATTCTAAAATAAATAACTATATGACATAATAAAAAAAAAACTTTTAAATTAGTCACCACTAATATACAAGGTGGCGCAAAAATTATATCATAATTTGAATTGGCTGCCATTTTCTTATAAATGAAAAAAAAAGAGCTCTGTTTTCTTTCAAAGTTTACTTGAACGTGTAAAATTGGTGACATTACTTGGAAAAAATTATATCGCTCAAATGGACACAGTTGATGCATAATTGCGCTCGTTTTACGGCATTTTCAATTGTTGCTCGCAAAACATCTGGCTCCAAATCACTAGAACTAGAAATTGGTGTCTCAAAATCTCCATAGTTTCCACGTTCTTGAGGTGTGTATCTCTCCATGGTTTGTTGAAACTAATTCGCTATATATCTATATCATAAATGTCAAAGCACAGTGACATTTGTTACCATCTGCAAAAATGGTAGCCAATTCAAATTATAACATTACTTTTGTGCCACCTAAATTCAAACTAAATAAAGACATTGAAATATAATATCTGAAATGATGTTAATTAGTGGATACAACTATGAATGTTTTGAATGTTTGACTGCTATTCGGAATCTTACAACATTGAATTACAGAAGATGACAGTAGAGAGTAAGATTGAATATATTTTTATTTCATATTTTTTATATCTTTATTGCAATAGGAATATTAACAGATTAGAGTATTATTGTGGGAGTTTGCTCTTGATGCATTCACGAGCTTTTTCGACCACAGCAGCGGACTCGGATGCAGCGTTGATGGCGGCCGTGGAACGACACTCTGCCAATTTGGCTTGGACTTGCTGCAGCTCTCCGACGACTTCGACGACCTTCGCGGCGATTACCTTGGGCAACTCGACGGCCTGCTTACCGATGTCCTTCAGTGCTTGGATCAGGCAGGGCAGAGGTTTCTCCTCCTGGCCGCAGGCTGCAACCCTGTTTCCGAGTTCGGTGATCAAATTGCCAACTTGTTCCTGCAAATCGGCGATGGCGCTATCGACAATATTGGACGCTTCGGTGACGGCAGCAGAAACGCAGTCCTTCAACTGATCGGACACCCTCTGACGGATTGCTTCCAAATCTTCATCGACGTTCTCGAGGCAAACGGAAATATCAGCTCCAACTTGCGCAGCCTCCTCGGCCAGCTTTTCAATCTCCGACTTGGCGTTAGCAATTGCCTCGATGATCTTTCCCAAACCTTCGCCGATAATCTCAGAAGCCGCCTCCTTTAGCTTTTCGATGGTCTCTTGCAACACTACCTGCGCATTGGCCAATGCCTTCTCAAGGATCTCACGAAGCTTCTGCAGAGCCTGCTGGATCTGCTCCATGATACCATCAGCTGAAGCCTCTGGCATCGGTGAACATGACACGCCCTTAAAAATATACACGTTAATTAAATAACTCTTTGTATAAAGCAATTAGTGCAATCATATATACCAGAGTGATAATAATTATGATTATTTAAATATTTAACGAATATACATACTTGGTAGGCGATCACGGCCAAAAGAGCGAAAATGAACTTGATTGACATGTTGCTGCTTCCAATAGAATCTTGGTTATGCATCGAGAACGATTGTTGTGATTTATATACTCAATTATTCACGCGAAAAAAAAGAATATTATCTGTGTAATTATCTACCTTTAGATAAAACTAAAACTCTAGAAACAGTCTGGTGTATTTAAATAATATTTTATTAAAAAATTATACAAATTTTGTAGATTATTCCATAGTCCATTTTAAAACTTTAATATATTTAGCATATCAAATATCTCAGTTTATTTAAATTTATATTATTATTATTGTTTGTTATTATAGTGTTAATATAATGTTATTAAATACTTTTAAAAAAGAGTACTGTGATTAGATGGTGCTATAATAAACATAACTCTTGAATATATACATTTTTAAATATCTTAGATAAGTATGCAATTAATGATACGATTAAATTAATTGTATTAAAAACTAAATTCGAGTTCTTAGTTTTATTTATAAACAAAACTCTTGAATTATTTTCACTATTAGTATTTAAGAGTTTAACACTCAAAGATTACTAGATAATCTTATCTGATCTATTAATATAAAGAAAGTGCGAATTGCAGAGAAAACTATTTTTCAGTAAACATGTCAGCAGTCAGAGCGTTGATGATTTTTTGCCTTTTCGCAAACGTAAGTGGAACTTTGGAAATTCAGTCGAAATGTTGTAAGACGATGATTACTTTCAGAATGTTTTTGGCATCGAAGATGCGTCAAATATGCAGTCGTATGGAATCATGGAGAACATTGAAGGGGCGATTGAAAATTTGGAAAACGTTGTGCAGAAGGGTATCGATGATGGCTTAAACATGATCAACGATGTTTACGAAAAGATGATGTCGCTGCCGATGCAAGTTGTATTAGAGACGAGGAAAGCTTTGACAGTTGTTATCTCTAAGACTGGAGATGAGATTAATGCGATGGTGAAGAAGGCCGAAAACTTGGGAGTGGATGTCTCGGAGTGCACCAAAAGCACCGATTACAGTTTGAATTCGATAGCGATCCGCGTGATGCCTCCACTGATGAATTGCATGCTCGGCAAGATCTGCGAGGCCAAGGTCATCCTGGAGAAGGCCGTCTCCGATATCAACGGTTACGTGGACGTCATCTACGAGATGCAGGCAAAAGTAACCGAGTGCGGATCGGGTGTTGCATCTTTAAAGTGCTTGGCCGGTGTTCTCGCCGATATCACCAAAACTTCGGTTCAAGTACCGTTGGAGATGATGAAGATGGTCAAACAGGTGCTGGCTCTTATGGGAACCATGCAGGAGGCCGTGACCGAATGCGGAACTGCTGCCATGGCAACAGCGACAAAACAATGTGCGGGCGTTGCGTTGGACGTCGGTAAATGCGTATCTGCTAAAATTAACGGCACATTCATTTTATTAAAAAAAAAACAATTATTTGTCTCTTTCATAACAATACTATATTATACAAACTAAAGTTCAAACCATACTATGTATGATACGAAACATAATGTTAACAATTACTTTTTATTAAATAAAAACTAATATACAAATTACATGTAAAAATATAATTTATTCCAATTGAAAATTTAATTGTTGCTCAAATTTGACAGCATATACAAAATGACGCACATGACCAAATTAACATAACTTGGGTGTGCAATTAAAAGTTTATTTATACATCAAATAAGTGTTTCTGATTCTTTGACTTTTTCACTAACGCATTTTCCCACTTCGAATACCATAGCACCAATTTCAGCGGTGGCCTTGAATATTGCTTGTACCTCGCAGTTAATCATCGCCGTCTGCACTGTCTTCATCAATTCAGTAATCTGCTTCACCTGTTTCGCAATCTCTAATGGTAAACTTGTTGACAACTTGATTATTTCCGCAAGAACTCCTGTCAAACATTTAACAGCTCCAAGACCTGATCCGCATTCGGCGATCTTCATCTGAATCTCATCTATCGTCTCGATATATCGTTTTATGTCGGAAATAGTTTTCTTCATCATATCCTTAGCTTCGCAAAGTTTATCTGTGACGCATACTGTTAGCTGCGCTATAGTTTCAGTCATGGTAACAATTAAACTAGAGTCAGAACTCTTCACGCATTCCGATGCATCCACACCCATCTCTTCAGCCTTCTCCAAGAGCTTAGCAATATCTTGCTTCGCCTTGTCTATCATCTCGATCAACTTCTCTATTGCTTGTTCCAACAATTCGAAAGGCAACTTCAAAAGTTTCAAGAACATATCGTTGAGAGCTTGCAGTGCTTTATTAATAGCGTTCTGAATCAAACTCTTCAGCTTCTCTATGGCCTCTGTAATTTGATCGAAAATCCCATCGCCTTCCTCAGATAAACCCTACACAAAATTACAAAAGATATACCGTTGCTTTAATAAAAACTTGAATGAACTTACTTTAGAGGCGAGAATTGTAAAAATCAGCAAAGTTAACTTGATCGAAATCATTTTCTTTTATTTCATTTCAGTGATAATTAAAACGTGTTACTGGAATTCTGTAGAGTATTTATACAGAAGATAAAATCGCTTATCGAATGTGAACTTGATTAGCTTACATTTTTAACACTACTGTTTACTAATAACGTTATTCCACATTTATGAAATCCCAATAAAAATTCAAAATCATAAAACGTTATACAAACATAATCATCTTTATCAAGAAAATGACTTAATTTAATTTATTCGAACTTCGATTAAGCTAATATGGTTAAAATATTAAATCAAATCAATAAATACTAGCTACAATTAAATTAATAAAAAAAAGTCTATTGTCTTTAATAATTAATTTCAACTTAGGAATCTCAATAAATATTAATAAACTCTTAAATAATTAAAAAAAAGATTAAACCAGTGATTTTGAAAACAATACTAACCACTGACAAAAGCATAACAAAACTAAATATAATAAAATGTGTCCTTTCATTAGTCCTTTACCACGGTGATAATTAAACTTTCACAAATTTGTCAATTGGAAAGGTCATAGTTTTATCTTTAACTTTGAAATACTAGAAACCTCATTAGACCAATATATATTACAAAAAAAATAAATTAATTGAAATGAATAAATGCATGTCAGATCTATGCAAAATATATGAAATAAAAATAAAGATAATTCAATCAAAAAAGATGAGAATGGAAATTAATCAAATATTCATATAGAAATGCAATAAATTGAACAAATTCTATTAATTGCTCAAATTTGACAGCATATAACAGACAAACGACACATATAATCAATAATCACGTAATTGAATAAAAGGTTATAAGTTTTTTTTTAATTATATATTTTCGAGTATATTAATTGTACTTTGATTATGAATCATAATTTATGAGTGCAATGAAAATAAGTGTTTATGAATCTGTGATTTTCTCAGCAACGTACTTTTCCACTTCGAATACCATAGTACCAATTTCAGTGGTGGCCTTGAAGATTGCTTGCATATCGCAGTTAATCATCGCTGTCTGCACTGTCTCCATCAATTCATTGATCTGTTTTACTTGTTTCGCAATCTCTAATGGTAAACTTGTTGACAACTTGATTATTTTCGCAAGAACTCCTGTCAGACATTTGACAGCTCCAAGACCTGATCCGCATTCGGCGATCTTCCTCTGAATCTGATCAATCGTCTCCATATATAGTTTGATGTCGGAGATAGCTTTCTTCACATATCCTTAGCTTCGCAAAGTTTATCTGTAACGCATTCTGTTAGCTGCGCTATAGTTTCAGTCATGATAACAATTAAACTAGAGTCAGAACTCTTCACGCATTCCGATGCATCCACCCCCATCTCTTCCGCCTTTAGTAATATCGTGATTTGCCTTGCCAATCATCTCTATCATTTTCTTTGTTGCTTGCTCCAACAATTTAATAGGCAACTTCAGCAATTCCAAGAACATATCGTTGAGAGCTTGCAAGGCCTTATTAATAGCACCCTGAATCAAACTCTTCAGGTTCTCTAAGCCCCCTCCGATTTGATCGAAAATCCCATAGATTTCCTCAGATAAACCCTTTTACAAAATTACAAAATTTAAAACCTTCGCACTTACAAACTTGCATCAACTTACTTTCGAGGCAAAAATTGAAAAAATCAGCAAAGTTAACTTTATCGAAATCATTTTCTTTAATCAATTATTACGTTTCGTTGAAAAACAAAACGTATACCTGGAATTCCCTAGAGTATTTATACAGAAGATAAAATTGCTTATCAATTGTAAACTTGATTAGTTTAAATTTTTAACACCACTGTGTACTAATAACCTTATTCACATTTATTGAATCTCAATAAAATTTCAAAACTTTACAATCCATATATTATCAGTAGTAATAAAAATTACTAAATATAAAAAAGAACATACATAAATATTTTTGGGTTTAATTTGATGTCGAAAGTGCATGTAGATTGATTCAATTTACATTTTGGTTAATTAGACTTTTAACTTGTTATAAAAGATATTGATAACAACTTATGTTTTAATAATTTTAGATTCAGTGTTTAAATATTAATAATTGTTATAGTTTTCATGTAGATTGGTATAAATTGGGGTAGTATTAAGTGTTGAAAAATGCTCGATTTATTAATATGTAATTTAACAAGGTCATAATATTTTTAATAGATTCAGTAATAGATTATTGTGAATCCTTGATTTTATTGGCGATGCATTCATCTACGTCAATGACGATGGATGCTGCTTCTCCTGCAGCTTCAATACCAACGGTCGTGGCGCACTGAATCATTGCAGTTTTCAAACCTGCGATGAGTGCGGTGATATCAGCTACCTTTTTCGAGATTTCCACCGGCAAGGCGGTCGTTGCTTTGATCACGTCGGACAGGACTTCTCCCAAACATTTGATTGCTCCTAATCCGGTTCCGCACTTCTCCTTTTTCTTCTCAAAACCGTCGATGATTTTCACGTAATCTTTGATCTCCTTGATAGCCTCATCGATGATTTCAGTCGCCTCATCGACCTTATCCGTAACGCATTTCACAGCTGATTCGAGCAGACCCTTGACTAACTTCTCCAGGTCTTTGTCCAAGTCCTTCACGCATTCATTCACATCGACACCGGTTTCTTCTACCAGCTTCTGTATTTGATGCTTAACATCTTCAACTATCTTATAAATAGTATATTTGATCTGCTCAATTAAAAAAGTTCCGTCACCTATGATCTTTTCCAATAAGTTGTTCAGACCTTCGACGGCTTTATCTATAGCTTCTTGGATGACGATCTTCAACATTTTTAAGGCCTTCTCGATCTGCTCGCCGATTCCAAAGGCGCTCACCTCGGTAGCGGAAGCAAAAACTCCCTAAACAAAACCGAATTAACCAAAATTAGTGAAAAAAAGGCAATGATGCTTAATAATAACTATTAAAACTCACCTGACATGCGAAGAACGCAAGAAACACTAAAGAGAATTTGATGGACATGTTCGTTGATTTCAATGATACTCCAACAAACGCAAACTGCGCCTTTTATACCCAACTCAGATGGCTATAAATATGCAATATCGCTGCGGTTTTTAATTTTAATCTTTCCACCACTTAAATACTTATGTTCACCTTCAAGTGCCTAAATCAAATTAACCATAAATATATCCATGACAAAATAAAAAATATTCATTTTTCAATATTGAACGCAACTTACAGCTAAATGCATGAACCCACAGTAATGTATATTCCTCAGATATTCAGCTTCTTTGGATCCATTCAATCTATTATAGATTCCGAGAAAATCAATAAATATTTTAAGAATGATATTTTTCATTTGTTTAACTTTGAAGGCAAATTACAGCATCGAAAGTAACTATAATAATTAATATTCACTACATTCTGCAAATATCCAGCTTTCATATGAATCTTTTCAATCTATTCAATTTATTACAGTTACTAAGAAAATCAGTGTTTATTATTTTTATGTAAATTAGTATAAATTGGAATAGTATTAAGTGTTAAAAATGCTTTATTTATTAATATACAATTTAACTAGGTCATAATATTCTTTATAGATTACTGCGAATCCTTAATGTTATCGGCGACGCATTCACCCACGTCGATGACGATTGATCCTGCTTGTCCAGTAGCATCGATACCAATGTTCGTGGCGCATTGAATCATTGCAGCTTCCAAACCTGAAACGAGTGCGGTGATTTCAGTTACCTTCTTCGAGATTTCCACCGGCAAGTTGATCGTGGCTTTGGTCACGTCGGCCAGAACTTCTCCCAAACATCTGATAGCTCTGAATCCGGTTCCACACATCTTCACATCCTCATCCAAACCGCCGATGATGTTCACGTAATTTTTTACCTCCTCGATAGCTTCGACGATAATGCCAGTCGCCTCATTGACCTTATCCGTGACGCATTTCACAGCTGATTCGAGCAGACCTTTGACTAACTTCTCCAGGTCTTCGTCCGAATCCTTCACGCATTCTTTCACATCTACACTCAACTCATGGGCATCTTCTACCAGCTTCTGTATCTGTTTCCCAGCTTCGCCAACTACCTGATCGATATTAATTTTGATCAGCTCGATCAACTCTTCTCCTTTCTCTTCGATCTTTCCCAATACGTTGTTTAAATCTTCGACGGCTTTATCTATAGATACTTGGATGACGATCTTCAATTTTTCCAAGGCTTTCTCGATCTGCTCGCCGATTCCAAAGGTGAGCACCTCGGCAGGAGAAGCGAAAACTCCCTAACCGAAATAACCAGAATTAGTAAAAAAATATGCAATAATGCTCTTTATTAACTATCAAAACTCACCTGATATGCGAAGAACGCCAGAAAAACTACCGCAAATTTAATGGACATGTTCGTTAATTCTTATAGTACTCCAACAACAGCAAACTGCACCTTTTATACACAACTCAGTTGGCTATAAAAATGCATTATCGCTTCGGTTTTTAATTTTAATCTTTCTACCATTTAAATACTCTATAAATTATTTTTTATGAACGTATGCTTTAGATGGTTATAATAAAATAAGATTCTTTACGAATTTGTAACTTAAATAATTTGATTAAATTGAATTAATAAAGAATTCAAGATTGATGAATAATTAAAAGTTTAACATTTTTCATTCAATTTAATGAATTAGTAAAGATTTCAAAATAATTCATATTTATTGCAGTTTTTGGATCATCTCTATAAATCTCTATGATTACCAAATATAATCTAATCATTTCAAATATTTATGGTGATAGGATACAATTTTATGTATGAGTTTGGAATACTAGAAACTTCATTAAAATGAAGTGAAAAATGATTCATCTTGTTTTTCTCAGTAGGATGCAAGACTTTGAAATGTCGCCCACTTATTTTTTTTTTCATTTTCTCAACTTTGAACACGATTACAGCTAAATGGATGAAACCACAACAATGTGTAAAATGAAAACATACAGTTTTTCTTCATCATTTGATCTATTATAGTTTCCGAGAAAATCACTAAAATGTGAAAATTAAGTAAGAACACTGCTTATGCAGCATTTCAAAATTATCAATAGTAAAATAGATTAATAAATATAAAAAACATAAATAAATATTGTTGGGTTCAATTAACAAATTTTGATTCAATTTACATTTTTGTTAATTAGAATTTTAATTTGTTATAAAACTTCTTGATATTGACATAACAGCTTATTTTCTAATAATTTTAGATTCAGAGTTTAAATCTAAATAATTTTTATAGTTTTTATATAGATTGGTATAAATTGGGGTAGTATTGGTTGGTTGGTAGAAGTGTTGAAACAATTCTCAATTTATTTATATAAAATTTAACAAGGTCATAATATTCTTAATAGATTACTGTGAATCCTTAATTTTCTCGGCAACGCATTTACCTACATCGATGACGATGGATCCTACTTGTCCTGCAGCATCGATACCAACGTTCGTGGCGCACTGAATCATTGCAGCTTTCAAACCTGCGACGAGTGCGGTGATTTCAGCTACCTTCTTTGAGATTTCCACCGGCAAGGCGGTCGTTGCTTTGATTACGTCGGCCAGGACTTCTCCCAAACATTTGATTGCTCCTAATCCGGTTCCGCACTTCTTCACTTCCTCATCCAAACCGCCGATGATTTTCACGTAATCTTTGATCTCCTCGATAGCTTCGCCGATGATACCAGTCGCCTCATCGACCTTATCCGTGACGCATTTCACAGCTGATTCGATCAGACCCTTGGCTAAGTTCTCGAGGTCTTCGTCGGAGTCCTTTACGCATTCTGAAACATCAACACCCAACTCCTTGGCATCTTCTACCAGTTTCTGTATTTCCTTCTTAGCTCCTTCAACTATGTCATTGATTTTATTTTTGATCTGCTCAGTCAACTCATTTCCCTTCTCTACGATGTTTTCCAATACCTTGTTCAGACTTTCGACGGCTTTATCTATAGCTTTTTGGATGGCAATCTTCAACTTTTCCAAGGCCTCACCGATTTGCTGGCCGATTTCATAGGTGCTCACCTCGGCAGGGGAAGCGAAAACTCCCTAACCGAAACCGAAATAACCAAAATTAGTAAAAAAAAAAGGCAATAATGCTTAATAATAACTATCAAAACTCACCTGACATGCGAAGAACGCCAGAAAAACTAAAGAGAATTTGATGGACATGTTCGTTGATTCCAATAATACTCCGACAAACGCAATATGCGCCTTTTATACCCAACTCAGGTGACTATAAAAACGCATTATCTCTGTAGTTTTTCATTTTAATCTCTCCACCATTTGAAAACTTATGTTTACCTTCGAGTGCCTCAATCAAATTAACCATAAACATATCCATGAAAAGGTAAACAATATTTTAAAGACTATAAATTATGTTTATGGACTTATACATTAATTGATTAAAATAAAATAAGATTGTTTATTAATTTGTATCTTAAATAATTTGAATAAATTGAATTAATCTGATTTATTTATCAATAATAGATTGATTTCATTTCATATCCAATGTAATGAATCAATATTTAACATGAACTAATCATATTGTATCTTTTTTTTATTGAACGATTCAATCCAATTAAAAGGTTGTTGAATAATTAAAACATTAAGATTTTTCATTCTATTCAATTAGTAAAGATTTCAATATATTTCACAATTATTGTATCATCTTCACGATGTAATAATCTCACTTAACATTGTACATTATTGCATTATGATAATTTTTATGGCTGTAAATTGATTTATATTTGTTATGAAACATAAGTAAATCAACTAACCGCTTTGATAAGCTTATCATAAAAAATGCTTTCTTATTTTTTTTTTGTAAATTGCATGTCAATATATGCATTTTGCGAAGTATGTGAATCACCAAACTTAGTTACAAACAAGATATATTCGAATAGAAACAAAATAAAAACTCGTACTTCTAAATATTCTTATGTAATCGATATACTATCTATCCGTCTATATTTAATTACTGGTTAATCTAGTTTTCAAATCTGTTGAAATACTTGAGAGTTAAACAAATGAAAATGTTTACTTTCTCATAGTAAAACAACACTCGTGGATGTTGAGAAAGAAAATAACTTTTCTTTTAATGAATTTTGCTTTGTTTATTAAGATATAATATTTGTACATATTTTGCAGACAATTTATCTTAGTAAATTCATTATAATAAAAATTAAAACTTATATATCTACACATTTTTATTGATCCTAATTTAGACCAAAATTACAATCGACCGAAGTCTAATTCAAATTGTAAGTGAGGTCTAAATCGATAATTAATTTTCGTTCAGATCATAGTGTATTTATTTATTATTTTTGCGTTTTTTGGATCTACTCAATCTATTATAGATTCCGAGAAAATCACTAAAATCTATTAAGAATGATATTTTTTCATTTGATGGCGAATTACAGCCAATTAGAAGGAACCACAGCAACCTATTAATATTCACTACATTCCGCATACATCCAGCTTTTATATGCATCTTTTGAATCCATTCAATCTATTATAGTTTCCGAAAAAATCAGTTGTTATTGTTTTCATGTAGATTGGTTAAAATTAGGGTAGTGTTAACAATTGAAAATGCTCGATTTATTTATATGAAATGTAACTAGGCCATAATATTCTTTATAGATTCAGTAATAGATCCTTGATCACATCGACACCCAACTCATGGACTTTTTCTAACAGATATCTTCCTTAGCTTCACCTAGTTAGTCATTGATTTTATTTTTGATAAATTTGTTCAACTCTTTTACTTTCCCTTCGATCTTTCACAATACGTTGTCTATAGTTTATTGGATGACGATCTTCAACTTTTCCAAGGCAGGAGAAGGGAAAACTCCCTAAACGAAATCAAAAATAATCCAAAAAAAGCAATAAAGCTCAATAATAACTATCATAACTCACCTCAATTTGATGGACATGTTCATTAATTCATGTAGTACTCCAAGAAAAGAAAACTGCACCTTTTATACCCAACTTAGGTGGCTATAAAAATGCATTATCGCTGCGGTTTTTAATTTTAATCTTTCTACCACTCAAATACTCTATATATTATTTTTATGGACTTGTACTTTAGATGGTTATAATAAAATAAGATTGTTTATGAATTTGTAACTTAAATAATTGATGAATACTTAATACATGAACTTTTTTCATTCAATTTAATTAATTAGTAAAGATTTCAAAATAATTCATATTTATTGTAGTATTTGGATCATCACTATGAGTAGATTTTGTAACAAAACAATACTAAACGTAACAAAACAAAATGTAATCTAATCCTTTCAAATTTTTATTGTGATAATAAAAATCTGCACAAATCTGCCTATGTATTCATTGGAAAGGTTATACTTTTATGTTTGAGTTTGAAATACTAGAAAGTTCATTAAAATGAAATTAAAAAATTATTCAAACAACGATTCAATCAGAGGCGTGTGGTAGATTGAAATATTGATGGGTTCGTTTTTGTTAATTAGAATTTTAAGTAGTTATAAAACTTCTTGGTATTGTTATAGCAGCTTATTTTCTAATAATTTTAGTTTCAGAGTTTAAATCTAAATAATTGTTATAGTTTTCATATAGATTGGTATAAATTGTTGTAGTATTAAGTGTTGAAAAATGTTCAATTTATTTATATAAAATTTTACAAGGTCATACTATTCTTAATAGATTACTGCGATTCATTGATTTTCTCGGCGACGCATTTACCTACGTCGATGACGATGGATGCTACTTCTCCTGCAGCATCGACACCAATGTTCGTGGCGCATTGAATCATTGCAGCTTCTAAACCTGCGACGAGTGCGGTGATTTCAGCTACCTTCTTGGAGATTTCCACCGGCAAATTGGTCGTTGATTTGACCACATTGGCCAGGACTTCTCCCAAACATTTGATTGCTCCTAATCCGGATCCGCACTTCTTCACTTCCTCCTCAAAACCGCCGATGATATTCACGTAATCTTTGATCTCCTCGATAGCTTCGCCGATGATACCAGTCGCCTCATCGACCTTATCCGTGACGCATTTCACAGCTGATTCGATCAGACCCTTGGCTAAGTTCTCGAGGTCTTCGTCGGAGTCCTTTACACATTCTGAAACATCAACACCCAACTCCTTCGCATGTTCTACCTGCTTCTGTATTTCCTTCTTAGCTTTATCAACTATTTCATTGATTTTATCTTTGACTTGCTCGATCAACTCATTTCCTTTCTGTTCAATGACTTCCAATAAGTTGTTCAAACCTTCGACGGCTTTATCTATAGCGTTTTGGATGGCAATCTTCAACTTTTCCAAGGCCTCACCGATTTGCTCGCCGATTTCAAAGGTGCTCACCTCGGCAGGAGAAGCGAAAACTAAATCAAAATAACTAAAATTAGTCAAAGAAAAAACAATAATTCAAGTCTTAAAGGTCACCTGACATGCGAAGAACGCCAGAAAAACTAAAGCAAATTTGATAGACATGTTCGTTGATTCCAATAATACTCCGACACACGCAATATGCACCTTTTATACCCAACTCAGGTGACTATAAAAACGCATTATCTGTGCAGTTTTTCATTTTAATCTTTCAAACATATGAAAACTTATGTTTACCTTTGAGTGTCTCAATCAAAATAACCATAAACATATCGCCGAAAAAGTAAACAGTATTTGAAAATCTCTATAAATTATGTTTATTGAATTATATTTTAATTGATTGTAATAAAATAAGATTGTTTATAAATTTGTATATCAATAGTAGATTAATTTTATTTCATATCCAATGTAATCAATCAATATTCAACATTAACTAATTATATTGTATTGTTGTTTCTAACCACTTTATTATTAATTATTTATATATATATAAGTACTATGTGTATTCTGTTCCCACGAATATCAAACAAGCCTATCGGCACTTGCAAACATCTACATAGGGCAATTTTTCATACTTTGCTAGTTTTTATAAAAGAGAGGTTTATTACAAGTTGGGCAGCTAACTATAAAAACTATGCCACCCACAATTAACGTCCTCAAATAATTGTAAGATTTCTCATCTTTTGGACCTTACCGACATCGACGCCTTTGACGTACACCCCCACATGCAAATTAACCCATATCCTTAGTATATTATTTTGTATTTGGTACGTCCTCTTACATATAAGACGACACTTTTGTTATTTTAAGTCAGTCCTAGTCCTAGTTAGTCCGAGACTCATGTGAGTCCTAGTCCTATGAAGAGTCTCAGTCCTAGTAATAGTTCTAGTTTACTCTACTCTTGACCAGCAACCTATGCTTGTAGCAACTGCTAGATTAAGAATTTCCAGCATCTAAGTGTTAATTAAATACTATTATTACATTGACTCCACATCGACAATACTACAATTTTTTCCAGTGTCCAGAGATATTCCATTCCAATTAACATTTTTCATTGTTTTTTTTTTCAATTAAAGTAAAGATTTCAATATATTTCACATTTATTGTAGTATTTGGATCATCTCTACGATGTAATAATCTCACTTAATATTATACATTATTGCATGATAATGATAATTTTATGACTGTAAATTGATTTATATTTGTTATGAAACATAAGTAAATCAACTAACCACATTGATAAGCTTATCATAAAAAATGCTTTCTTATTTTTTTTTTTGTAAATTACATGTCAATATATGCATTTTGCACCAAACTTAGTTACAACAAGATATATTCTTATGTAATCGATATACTATCTATCAGTCTATATTTAATTACTGATTAATCTAGATTTCAAATCTGTTGAGATACTTGAGATTTATAATTGAGAATTATTAAACTGGAATAGGAAAAACGAGAAGACGAATTGCAAATGTTGTCTTTCATTTCGCAATTATAATCTAATATATTAATTAACCAATTAGATAAAATATTGATACGACAATTTTTACTTGATTTGACATACAGTTTACTGTATTGATGGGTTGTTTTCGAAATGCACCATAAAAACCAATTTGATGAACGATAAATTTAGACAAGAAATACCGGTAATTTCGCTAATTAATTTGAATAAAATTAAAGAAAAAACAAATTAAAATTGTACTCTTTTATAGTACTCTTTTTATTGTACTCTTTTATTCAAAGTAAATTGATTAGAATTTTAACTAATTTATCTACACATTTTTATTGATCCTAATTTAGAACTAAAGTGCAATCGACCGAAGTCTAATTCAAATTCGATTTGAGGTCTAAATCGATGATTAATTTTCGTTCAAATCAAAGTGTATTTATTTATTTTATTTTTTTTACTATTTATATATCCGAATTATGTGTATCAATACTTTTCTACTTTAATCTAGACTTATTCAAAGTCCAATTATTGCTCGGTTGACTAATTGAAACAAAATTTATTTTGATTACGATATTCATTACTAAACATTTTCTAATAGAATGTGTTTTATTATTATTAATTTAACTAAAAAAAAATCTTAATCAAGTCAATTTACAATGAAAATAAGATAAATTAAATATATATTAAAGATATTAAGAAAAAAAAGTGACAAAACAAATAAACCATGAAATTATAATAATCTAATTATGTATTGATATATTCTCACGTTCAATTTATGGTATTCATTCAAAATATTTAATACTTATTGTATTACTTAAAAATCAACATAACAAGGTTTAATGAAGATGTCGTTTCGGAAACTCTTCAAGTACCTTGAGTAAATGTTGATCCACGAAATTCGTTGTGTTTGCTTTATCAATTAAAAAAAAATTACTTGTTTGTCTTGGATCTCTTCAAAATTTCCGTCTTATTAAAATATTGAAATTTTTATTAATTTCAATTAAGAAAGTGTATTTTTGCAGTTAGATTTCTTATTTTTTTCACTGATTGAAGCAAGTATTGTAATATTATTGTAATATCGAGATGAATCGTGGAGTAGAAGAGTTTGTTTCGTCGGCGGTTGGTTGGGGCATTACCATTGGGATAAAGAGACGGTTGTTTGCTGTGAGAAAGAGATGATTGAAGAGGAGACCGAGAGAACCAAAAATAATAAGGAGCACAAAAAGAAAAACTGACATATCATTGTCTACACAATGTAAATGGTTTGTTTGTTTTTTAATTACTTAAATCGAATGCCTGGGATGCTGACCGAGGTCTTCTTAGAAGTTGTCAGGAGGCGAGGACGTGCTTCAACGAGCGCCAACCATCTCGTTACAGTCAATACTCAACGAGCTGAGCCTGACATAATTGGCGTTTCTTCTCTCCTCTCCTCACCACTCACCTCACCAATCAATCTCCCACTTCTTTCGCTCACCAAAATTCAAAAACAAAACCCACACGAACAACAACCGACGAATGAAAATTAAATAACATTCCAGTTGTTTTATCAAAGTTTTGTCAACTTAACGCTTCAATATTTGCCTTCCTCCAATTAAGTCAATGTATGCGTAGATGTATATTGTGTAAACGATCTATCTCGCACTCTTTATAGCAGTTTTTGGAACGACGATTCCAAGGAAAACACAATGTTACACAGAAAAGCACACAAGTTTTTACGATTATTTGTGCGTCGGCTCTTCCCCCTTTCTTTTTCATTTCGCATCCCCCGATTCACATTCCTAAACGTATTTGACACAGACGTGTGAAATATTACACACGAACACGCGGGTTTTCCTAGCGTACATGTGTACATTAGCTCGTTTAGTTTTACAAATAAAATACAACAAGAAAACAATCTTCAAATCTGTAATATTTTATAGAATTTAGGAAATTATTATCCTACATATTATATTTTACAAATAAATACATTTAATGTTTAAAAAATATACAAATTAATGTTTAAGAATCTTTAATTTATCTTTTTTAATTGAAAATTTTTAATATTATTTTCTTTTATCGCTTTAAAAATGATCTTTCATCACTTGAAAAATGGTACTAGAAGACCATTTAATTAGTAAATATTAATTATATTAATCTATTGTAGTTCACTGCTAGTAAAGGAATAGTGATAATATGGTATAGAGATTGACGTCGATAAAATATATCATCAGGAGAATCGATGTAATTAATTGAGATAAAAAGCGTGCGATGTAATGCATATATCAATGTTTATTAATCAATTAGCGTGCAGATCGAGCAAATGAATATTATCGTCGAATCTGCGCTGCGCAATCTGCTGGGATAGAATGCAATTAAGGTGTTTATTGGAGGCGAGAAGAATGGCCCTTTTGTACCGTAGCAGCGACTTAATCTTCGGTTTATTCAAATTCGTCGGAGTCGGAGTTCTGGTGGAGATTTGCCACCGAAATGAAACCTTTATACCGTGGTATTTGCACACACACGCGCGCTTCGAGAAGCGAAGAGAAGAGAACCTTCATAAATTGTGAATCGTATGTCTTGGACAGCCGCTGCGACCCCGGGACATAAAGACGTGTCCCACCGCCTCCCGCTGCGTTTATTTACCCCATTGGCCAGGAAGAATCGATACCCTTTTTTTATTATTGTCGCATTTTATGTCCCACTCAGGTATAATTATTATATTACGCACACACACACACATACATTGCTACCATTGCTACTTTACGACCTGCAATTATGCATGTACAATGCTTGAACAGCAATTCATTACGGACCGCAAAAGAACGCTTCAACACTCATCATTCTTCGTTCCCGCACATTTCAATTATAATCAAACGACGTAATTACAACTGAAAGTTTTAAAACAATAACATTTAAGCTTTCCCGACACATATGTTTTATGTATAAGTTTTATATAATATGCCCAAGTATCATACTCAATATCAATCACATTATAAATTAGTTTTATAACGTAAAGAGATACGATACTTATTAATAGTGTTATTAGGTAGTTTTTGAAATATTTATCATGTAATTTTATGATTAGTCTAATTTTTTTTCTTTATTAAAATTTTTAAACACTTCAAGAATATTTAGTTAATAAAATTTTAAATTTCATGTGTTTTTCATTAATTAGGCGATTCAAATTAAAAGTGATTTATTTTAAATTATGTACTATCTATATCAGATACTTTAAATGTTGTATTCTTAAATTAATCTAATTTAAGTTTCATCTTCTTTTCTATTTGAATGTTATTATTGATTAATCAAATCATTTTTAGAATCTGTTTTTTACATCATTTAATTATTCAATTAGTCTAGTTTTCTAAAATATAATAATTATTTATCACTATATAAATAATTGCTGGTTTTTAACAAATTTGTACAATTATTATAGGCAACTTGTTACTCACAAAGATTTTTCTTCACTTATATTATTAAATAATCTATGTAATTGCTAAATTTGCACTTAAATAAGAATCATTTGTAATCGAAATTAAGTATTCATTTTAATTTGCTACAAATATGTAAGCATTAAAGAACTTCCTTAGGATACCGTCAGATGTCTACCTGTGTAGATGTCATCTACCTATTATTAAGCCCTAGCAATCTATAGATTTATTTTGCTGAAAATCTTCGGGTTTTTTAATTTTTAAATTGCTTTAAATTGAAGCTAAGAACAACGAACGATGGCTCTTTCCCTCATCGTCAAGAGCGCAGCGAAACCGCAAAGTAAGTACACGGATTTTCGAGTATTTAAACTAAAACTTTGCTAAATTACATAACCAATTCATGCATATTTCAGTAATGCAAAATTTGCTGCGCCATCCCAGCAGTTTGCAGTTCTCCCAGTTGACCCAGCAATCACAGAAGGGCCTCAATCTTACCAAGAAATGCACAAACTTTATGAAAGCCAATCGAACACTCTTTGTGTCTGCTCCACTGAGGTCTGCAGCCAAAGGAGACCACACTAAGCTATGGACCATGGAAAAGGCCCTGTCTGCATCCCTTCTTGGTATAGTCCCAGCTGCTATCATGATGCCAAACCCCATTTTAGATAATTTACTGGCAACTGCTGTGGTCATCCATTTCCATTGGTATTTACATACTTTCTTTTCATGAGCAAATTGTTATTAAATTTATGTTTTTTAGGGGATTGGAGGCTTGCGTTGTTGATTACGTTAGGGCCATCTTGTTTGGAGCGGCGGCGCCGAAATTAGCTCTGGGTGGCCTTTACTTAGTCTCTTTCCTTACTTTGGGTGGACTCCTTTACTTCAACTACCACGATATCGGTCTGGGCAAGGCTATCCGTAAAATCTGGGCCTTGAAACCAAATAACTAAAGTTTCAAACTGTATTATATATTTATTGATATGTTACAATAATAATTTAAAAAAAAAAACAAAGTAGAAAATATTTATTTCAAAGAGGGCTGTTATTATTTCGTATTGTGTCAATAAAGTGGAGATGGCTTTTCATAGATTTGCAGGAGCATTAGCCAAGAAGGCCTGTGAGTAAATTATTGTGGTCTGTATTGTCCATGATTATTGACCATTTTTTTTACAGTCAAAGTTTCTTTTGCTAATACACTTTTGCCTAAACTTGATCAACGCTTTACTAGACATGATGTGAGATGTGCTCATACTCAAGTGAAGAAACTCGCACCAGATGATCATAGACTTATTTGGAAACTTCAGAGACTATGTTCAATATGTTTGATTATTGCATTGCCAATAGACGTGATGTACCCCTGCTTGCTTTTCGACAATTTGTTTGTTTTGTTGATGGCTTTGCATTCGTTTTGGTTAGTATTTTTATCAAATTAGCTGCGTGTATTTTACTTTAATGTTTTGCAAGGGGAGTCAACGATACAATCGCCGATTATTGTAGGCCTATACTTTTTGGACCGTACTTTCGCAAAGCATGGCATGCGATTTGGTACATCACCTGGACGGTAGGCTTCAGCGGTCTACTTTATCTGAATTTCATGGATATAGGATTTGGTAGGGCGCTTTATAAAATTTGGAGACTGGAGCCAAAGGATTGACCATCGATTTATTCGTGTAAACGTGGATAAAAACAACACCTATTATTATCTAAATTATGATTGCCAAGACCTAGCTTAGAGTATTGTACTAAATATTATTGTCATAAATAAAGGAATTGTAATGGTTATAAATTATAGGCAATACATTATTCTAATAATTTCGTATGCGGTATCACGTCTGTATAGAAAGTCTTCAGGGCCATCCATTGCGCCCGATGAAGCAGAATGTGCGGTCTCTCGAGCCTCATGTGGTCCACAGCCTGCTCCGGAGTCCATTTGTTCCGCTGCAAAATAAATTTACGTTACTTCCAGTTTCTTCCATCATTTCAATGTATTTCATTACAGCCATCAAATAGCATCCAACCAGAGTTGCACTTCTTGTCCTTCCAGCTTTGCAATGGATATACACCGATCTATCATGAAAATCACTTTTTGTCTCTGGCAGAAATTTATTGATAAACTTCACACCCCTGACAAGCTTCTCTTGGTCTGGAGTTTCAAATATATCTGTTGTTGGTAGCTGCAAGAACTCTACACCCACAGACTTCCATTTCTACAAGCGAAAAATCATAATTCAAAATACATTAAAAGCATTGAATTTGAACATACCTCTGCATCATTGGCCAGCCACAGTTCATAGTCTTCGTTCATAGAAATCACAGCTTTGACTCTTTCCTTCTCGACCAGCTGAAAAATGAATGGCTCAGCTATGGGTTAACCTATTGGTTATGGACACCTACTTCGTGGGTTATGCTTGGAAAGGGGAGCGCCCCAAGGATGACGGTGTCGTCGATCCGGTTGTACCACATTCTCGAGGTGCATTTCTCCATAAAGATATTGTACATGAGCGTGGGGTAAAAAGTAATCCTCGCAAACATGTTTGGTTCTCGTTACAAATTCGTGGTTTTCGATTGAGCGTTTCGATTGATATGTTCCGTTTATTTGTCACTGGTAATTTCACAGCGTGGCGTACGTTTTCATTGAACTTTCTTCGTTCTAACGCGATGAGGATGACACACTTTCTGAACTATCACGACCTCCATCAACGCACACACACCACCACACAATTTCAATGGTTATGATTCAATAAAAATGATCAACATAAAATTTCTCTTATGAATGGGAATTCCCAACTAAAATCTAATTAGAAATCGTAAATACAGGTACTCTCGACCTTGAATTCACTGTTATCTAATATTTGCATACACTTCACAGAATTTATCTATAATTGACTACATAATTAAAATGTGCACTTTAATAAGTTGGACTGCAATTTCGTAGTTTGAAGCTATTTGCAATAGCATGCTAAAAGATATCCACATAATACTATTATATGAAAATTTATATATATATATAAGATGAAGGTAACTTTAATGAAATGCATGAGATGGTGTAAACATTAAAAGGCTATTTATTAAACTATGAATCAGAGGAACTCCTCGTCGAGCATTAATTTTCCGAGTTCTCCAATCCTGAAACTCTTAATCATGAGTTTCGCTGCGGCGTCTAAATTGGGTCTCTGCACGTACATCCCGGCAGATGGGTCTTTGAACTTTAGCATTTTTCCATTGTTCAACGCTATTTGCGTTAAGACTTCCAGAATATCGTCGGTGGCCTCTTTCAAGCCAAACACCTGGACGTACTCGAAATGCTGAAATTTGTTCAACCAATAAAGTAAATAATCAGCAATAGTAGTCTCCCCAACGAGATGATCTTCGATTGTATTACAGAGGGCCAACTTTAAACCGACTTCGGTATTTGGAATATTTGGCGTAAGGATTCCCGGCGTGTCCAGCATATAGGATAACGGTTTTTCAGAGATTTTAATTTTCATCAAAACGCTCCTTGTTATTCCAGGTCTAGCTCCAACCTGTGAAGCATTTCCTTTCCTTAGAAACCTGTTTCTCAAGCAATTCGTCAAAGAAGACTTCCCAACATTAGGCACACCAATCATCATCACACAGAAATCTTCCTCTCCGCTCCTGTTATATCTATCAGATTTATTGATCAATTCTTGAGCCAATGGAAATAGTTTCTTTACACCTGCATCATTACTAAGTTTGCAGTTGGTGAATATCACATGCTCACATTCGTTCTTCAACTTTGTCTCAATTTGCTTCTTAATACGACTATCAATGAGATCCACTTTGTTCAGGATCAGTATGTGAGGTTTAATGCCAGATATGGTGTATTTGAAGTCTGAATTCCTGCCAGAGAATGGGATGCGGGCATCATGAATTTCCATCACACAATCAACTTTTTTCAGTCTCTGTTGCATCTGCTTCAGGCCTTTCCCCATATGTCCTGGAAACCATCTCAAGGATTCCTTGTCTACCACTTTGAATACACTTCGGAAAGATTCTTTAGCTAACTTTTGAGACATCTTTATTACAGGTTATGTTTATGTACTAATTGTTAATAAAACATTTACAAATACGTATTACATTCATTCCGTAATCTTCTTTGGTTTGCTGCTAAACTTTCTTGTAATAAATACAGGGAAAAGGTGGTAAATATAATTATAAATTATGATAACATTTCCATATGGAGCGATTGGTAACATTGATTTAGTTCGTTTTTCTGTTGGTATCATCTGTTAAGGCGTCCCTTTAAGCAAGCCAAGCCACGGCGCCATTTTAGTAATCTTATTTTCACATCTTCTTTTGTGTTTGATTCTTCATAATTCAATTCGCAATGGTAAGTTTATTTCTTTATGTATGATTAATTCTCCGTATTTATGTATCTAATTTATGGTATTTAAGCAGAGTCGCCGCTCAGAGCATACGACCAAAGTGTTTGTCGGCAGCTTGCCGCCAAATGTAACTCCTGAAGACCTGAAGCAACTTTTTGCTCCCTATGGCGCGATTGCAGAGTGTGATATCGCGAATCGCTGCGGATTTCTCCACCTGGAGGACAAAGATTTGGCTGAGAAGGCGATCACCGAGCTGAACAACACCACCTTTATGGGCGGTCGAATTTCCGTCGAAAAGGGTAGAGTCAAACCTAGAGGATCGGACAGAAGGATGCGAACTGGAAGGGGCGGACCTATGGGACCCAGAAAACGTGATATGGGGCCTTATTCTCGTGAAGGCAACTTCCCGCCGCGCGGTCCAAGGAATGGAAGTTACGGCAGAGAGTTCAATGCCTATGACGATTTTCATGGAGATTATGGAAGATTTGATGATGGATATGATAGGCGTCCACCTATGTACGATGACAGACGAGGCGGCGGTTACATGGATCGCAGACCATTCAATGGTTATGATAGGAGGCCCTACAGTGATGATAGAGGTCAATACGATGAGCCTCCTAGGGCTGCTTATGATGACAGGAGGATGCCCCCAGCTGGACCTAATTCATTTGATGAACGTAGACCTCCTGTTGTGGATCGCAGACCTTTGATTGATGAGCAGGCTATGGGCCAAGGGACAGCTAGACCTCCAATGCCAGGTTATGACAGGAGTGTAACAACAAGTGATATGTTCAGCAGAAGGGACTCTGCTCCAAAACCAATGTAAGTTTTATTCACTCATATTGAATACTATTACTAATTTAGTTTTCATGTATCATAAATCATATAATGATGGAATGTCAGAAGTTTATATTAGTGTAACTTTGATATTATAGAAAATAATTAATCAAGTCATTATTTTCAAATAATGAAAATATAATGATGTTTACAAAAAGTTTATGTACAGAAAGTGACAAGCAAGTGAATTAGCTATGGATGATGTAAAAGCATATTAAAAGGAGGATACAATAATAGGAAATTAGCAATTACAATAATATATTGTTTTTTGTGGAATACGGAAATTGATAGAAAATCTAATGCAAATATTGTTTTAGTTCTAACAATTACGATCGCCAGAGCCAGACCAGCTACGGTACAACTTATGGTGTGACTGCTCCAAATGGCGGTTACGGTGTGGCGATTCCCGATGGCGTGTACGGAACCCCTGCGGCCGGAAATTACGGCCAACAAGCAGTAGGAGGGTACGCGGATACCAGAGGTCAGACGACTGCTGCCTCCTACATGGACAACAGGGGTCAATCGCAGCAGCAGGCCGGCACCATGGCCGCAGGCTTCGGGACCGTCCAAGGCTCCTCCTACAGCACTACCCCTGTGGGCGGCTACGGTGATAATTACGGTGTTCGTCCACCGACCAATACTTACGACACCGCTTATCCTCCACTACCTCAGCAGAGAGGGTGAGTGTCGTTGATGACTTAGATTTAGGATAAAGAGAAACAAACTTCTTAAAGAAAAAAAAAATACATTAAATTGCGCCCGGATTGATCACAGACTTGAACATCTCTGCGCCAAAAATCGACCGCACCGCTACCAAACAAAAACCTCCCCCCCCCAACAAAAAAAATATAAAGAAAAACCGTCACATCATATCCATCAGTACACGGCGTGTTCACTTGTACTACCATAGTTCTGCTTTTTGCCTCTGAAATATTGTGTATATTATGTGTATATTTTTAGTTTCGCAGGTGGTAATGCCCAAGGCCCCCATAGAGATATGCCACCAGTCCGCAGGTATTAATTCGGGGCGCATTAATCGGAATAATCATAATCGCGGAACGTAAAATTAAGCGGAATTCGTAAACATACGTATACATGAACATATACATACATTTTAAATTAACAATTAGACGATCGATTCGAAAAGATTAAATGTTTCCACATTGGAATTGTAAATCCAGATCAGTACGCAAAACTACTGCAAGGATTGCCTGTAATTATTAACTTACTTTTGTTGTATAAGGAAATTTATTAGTTTAGTTTTTTTTTCATACTTGCACTGTATTAAAAAATGGTCATTTGAAGCGTTTGTTTTTGTTTTCTTTTTTTTTAATAACTGCTTCTCCGGAGCAGTGATGGGCGGTCCATTTGTCCCGCACGTGTTTCGAACTTATTGCGATCAATAAAATAACAATGTAGCCTCGTGTTTGCGTCTTTTAAACTAAATCAATTATCGACAATTAAGGTGTCCACATAAGAGTAACGCCCTGAAACTAATCGTTTGGTGAGTATTTTAATTTTGTTTTTTTTTACCATTACCTAGCCTCTACCTTTTTTTCTCATCTATCATTCGCAAATATCTTATCGATCTCCTTCATTCAGTCGTTATTCGGTAACTACTTTTAGACACATCGTTTCTCGCAAATTGTTTAGAAGCCAATAATTGACGAACACAATTTTGATTAAGTGTTTTTTAACAACCAAAACAACCCCAACCATTTCTATGGAAAAAAAGGTTTGCTCATCATTGCTTCGGAAGAGTCCTTTCGCAAGTCTAATAAGATGATTAGGATTCAATATGATGATGTTTTTCGAGCGTTTATTGCGTATGTGATACACGGAGATGCGGCGACGATGGTGTTTTTCTTTTGTTGTTTTGGATTTGGCGCAAATCGTTGGTTTTTGCTTCACTAATGGAACGTTAAAAAAATGGTATTTGCGGCAAGTTGTTAAAAAGCTATGAAGAGGGTTTTTTGTCGAAGAGAAAAATCTGTGAATTTCTGCGGCCTCTCCTACGCACACACACACAGCGCTCGCTCTAAGGGGGATGATTGCGTTCCGGACCGAACTTTGCGTCTATTTAAACACAAGGTCCGACGAAAAAAAAAAGCAAGGTGAGAAATAATGTTGTAAATGTACCCAATATATTATATATCAAAATAATAAGTAAAAAGTACCATAATTTTAAGAATATTGCGCGAGTGGATTTTTTTTTTGTAAATTGCGGCCCATTAATTGGAATAAAATCAGTTAAAAATATACAAATTAAATTCGCAAAATTCTCTGCCTTGAAATGCATTGTTCTAATTGAAATGTGGCTTTTCTACTTTTACAGGTGACCATAATACGGAAAGGAGCACCTAGGAGTTGATAATTATCGAATTGCTATGATGGTAACAGCAGAAGAAGAGGATTAGATTTTCTGTCTGGAGATGGTCGGGCCGTTATACACTCCCATGGTGTCGCGAGCTTCGTCAACCAGCTCTTCGTCTTCCTCTTCTCGCGCTCTCATCTCCTCCTCGATCCTGCGGAGCTCGGCCTCGATTTCCCGTCGTTCGATCTGCGTGTCTACCCTTCCCAGCAGGTCGATAAGGGTTGCACGAGCCTCTTCCTCGGCTCTTTGCCTCTGCAGCGTAAAAAGCAATTGAATGGAATAAATGGAACGAGAGCGAAAAACATACCAATGCCAGAACGGCTAATCTGTGTCGTTCCTCCAACAGTGCTTCGATTTCCAATTTCCTCGCTTCGTCTACTTCCTGGTTATACCGGTATTTGAAGAGCCAATGTGCCAGGTAGTGGATAGGATCTTTTGGTTGTTTGGCCGTGATCTCAGATAGACCCAGAGTCAAGGCCATTCCTAGAACACTCTTCAAGTAGTGGACGTCCGTTGAGGACATCGATGTTGCAGTAGTGGCTGACGAGAAGAAATTGAGCAAATCAGGAAAAAAGGTTAAAACAATGAATTATAAACGGAACCAGCTGATGAGGAAGACGTGGTCATGGATTCGGTCTCGGTGGCATAAGACTCAGCGTCGATCACGGCGTCAATATCGACATCCTTCAGGAGACCCAGTTGCTCTGCTTCCATCCTGCTGTACGTCCTGCCTGCAGCCGTCAATACATTATCTGAGGAGAGGAAGTGCAGTCCCTGCATCGCGATGAACTCTTCCTCGAGACCCTCCAGGAGTCCAGCGTTCTTGCATTCCTCCATCGTGTATATCGTCCCTGAGTGGGTGCGAATCCTTCCCGATGGGGTCAGAGTTAGTTCCCGTTTCCCTAACAACACTTTGTATCGCATCCACATAAAAAAATTAGGGTCAATAAAAAAAGCAGCAGCGAGAAGCGATTACACTCTAGTTTCTCTTTGGAGGAGAGGTCGATGTTGTCCAGAAAATGTTCCCATCCCTTTTCTCCGAACAGTGCCACAGTCTTTTCGAATTCTTCCAGTTCCTTGTCACTCATCTCCACCCCGGCAATCTCCTCCATTATCGCATTATCATCGATGTTCTTCAAATTCTTCACGCTCATATTTTTATCGTCCTTCAGACTCTGAAATTATCACATTTATTAAGTAAATATTTTTGAGAATGCAACTGATAAACGCACCGAAACTTTGGTTTGCAAATTGCGTAAGCTCGATGCGTGCACCATCTCCTTCTTGGCAATTTTCTTATCCAATTCCATCTTGGCTTGTTCTATTTCCTCCGGCGTCAAATCCTTCCTTTCGTTCAAAGCTCTCCTCTGTTGTTTCAGTTTTTCCAATTCCTCATTATGCTTAACCGTATTATTTGTTATCTTATCCTCCAGGTTATTGATATCAATTGTGAGATTCTCAATCGATTCTATCCGCACTTTCAAGTACATCCTCTTCTCCTTCAGAAGCTCTAGAGCTTGACCTTTATCATCCAGCATCCCCGACTTCCTAAAAATCAATAAAATAATCAATTAGTTATCATACTAATAAGTATGCACCGTATTCACTTTTTAATTTTCGATACGTCTTTCTTGATTTCGTTTATGGACTTTTGCCTGTTTTCAATCGCGTCGTACTTCTGCTGGACATCCTTCAAGTCCTTCGTCATCGATGGAGAGACGTTCTTCGAAGGAGATGATATAATATGCGATGGCTTTGAAAGTACTTCCTTCGAACCCACAAATGTGACATCCTTCCTGGACTCCTGCAATTTCGCATTGTCTTCCGTCCCCGATTTTTTAATATCATTTACGTTTGCCTCGCTCATTCTTTTTAATTACATATTTCTTTTAAAAAAAAATTAAAAAAATTGTACAAAAAAAATATACAAAGTTTGAAGTTTCAAAAAAATATGACTCTACCTTTGAAATTTAAAAATAATCAAATTACCCATACAACTTACAATTATAACAAGATACGTCCGTCAAATTGTCATCAGATTGATTAACAATATACTAATACAAATATCACAAATCGATTAATATTTTGAATTATTATTGATACCATGATACATTTTTATTTGTATCGTGATGGACAACCAATGAGGAATTACTCATTAAAGCCCCATTATTTCCCTTTCAAAATAATCTATTTTTTTAAAGAGATCAATTTATTATTGATATAAATCTCTTTTAGCCCTATTTCTACCCCTTTCGGGTTCCCACAAATTTGTGTTGGTTATTGGGAATCGAATCAACAATCTTTTGTATTAGTTTTTCGTGATACAGGCGACCATAGCACTATAATAAATTATTTTTTAAATAATCTATCTTCCTTGTTCTACCAATGCTGCCACCTAGCGTCTTATATTCCATGATAATCTGTAAATTGCGCAAATTCGGTTGCATACGCACGTTTTTTAAGTTTTTAGTGTTGGCGTCTATGTCAACTGTCGGTTATTAAATATTTGAATCTGTGTTGTGCTTTTTGTTGATGTAGATAGTGTTTGTTTTTATATTAAAGTGTTTTGCAATTCTCGAAATGAGTAAACGATCTTCTGTGAGTGGTGTTTAGCTGTTGTTCATTTCATAAATACTTGTGCTGATTACCATAGCTTTTTAGATACTGAAACCACAGAGAACCAGAAATGCCTTCGAAGATGTTAACATGGATTCGCCAGGACCCAAAGATGGTGATACAGGAAGGTTCTCTAGGAAGGTGCGATTCAGCAGCAACTTTGTCAAGTAAGTTCACTTGATTTTCATCCATTTATTCATACATTCATTCTGCACACTTTTGCAGGACATATGTGACAGAGGATGAAGGCAAAGATACAATCTGGGATAACACTTATGAAGAAGCCATTGAAGATACAGCACAATCCACAAGTACAGAAGTTCTGCATGTAACTAACGAAAAAGAAAATGTTTTAGATAATGAACAATCATTCTTTGAGGTAGAGGATGATAAAGAAAATGATCTGAATTTCTCAGTAAACACATCACTGTTCAAAAAAGACACTGAGAAATTCACAGTTTTCAATGATGAGGAGAATTATAATAATCATAATCAGTCATTGATTGATCTGAGTATAAAATCGAAAATAGAATTTTCAAACTACAGCCAAACTTCGTTCAAACCTATAGATGTAACTCCATGGTTTCCTGGTAGGGACACTATGGTAGTAGAAAATATTCTTAAAGTCGACGATATTGAGATGACTGACAGTTATACAAAAGCTTATGAACAGTCCAATCACATTATATTTGAAAAGCAACAGAATGAATTTAGTGATAATACACGAGACTGTTTGAACATCACTCCTTCCATTCCTTTACAATATGATGAAGAAGTTTTGCTAATGGAAACATCACAAAATGAAATTGAGTTCACTGAGAATCATTCCATGTGTTTAAATGGGAATGAATTGGAATTTACTGGACTAATGTTGGAGAATCCCAAAAAACACACAGAGAAAATTGTTTACCAAGATGATGCTTTAAATGATTCAAAGTTGAAAGTTGGTGAAGCAACAGGGGATACCAGACATTTTCTAAAACAGGATATGGAATTTAGTTTTCAAGTGAATGATAAAATTACAGCTGTGAATACAAGAGAGACTATTTTGTTCTCTTCTGAAAATAACGATTTGGAATTTACTGAGAAAATTATCCATAAAGATCAAGTGGAAAAATGTAATGATGACATGGAATTTACTGTAGAAGTAGCACAGATGACTGGAAAAGATTCAAGAAAAACTATATTATTTTCACCTGAGAAAAATGATTTAGAATTTACTGAAGAAATAAGTAATAAACTAAATAATGAAAAACGTTCCAGAAAAACTATACTCTTTTCATCGGAAAACAACGATTTGGACATTACTGAACAAATAGGAAATAAAATGTTTGAAGAGCAAACTTCACGTAAAACTATACATTTTCCGATGTCCGAAGACGATATGGAATTTTCTATAAAAGTTCCACAATTGGCTGAAAATAATTCAAGGAAAACTATACTGTTTTCTTCAGATAATAATGATTTAGAATTTACTGAAAAGATAAACAATGTGGAATTTGATAAATCATTGGGATCCAGAAAAACTGCAGACATTTCCAAAACCATTCTTTTTTCAGACAAAAATAATATTTTGGAATTTGAAGATGAAGTTGTTGCATCGAATATCGTAAATAGAAAAAAATCTATTGAAATTAAGAAATACAACGTAGAGGAATCTGAGAAAATCGTGCATTTTCCAAAAGCCGATGGTGATATGGAATTTACCCAGCAATTGTCATATTTTGGGGAGAAAATCTTGGACAGGGAAAGTGCCAAGACCATACTGTTTTCCGCAGAAAACGACGATCTAGAATTGACGGAGAAAATCGAGGTGCTACAAGGTAAAACCGATCGAAATTATTTGATAGAAGAAAATGGAATGGAAATTGCGGAACAATGTGACATCGCTTTGAATAAAGTTGATTCTAGAAAGACCATACATTTTCCTAAGTCTTGTAATGACATGGAAGTTACAATGGAATTGCCCAGTTTCATTGGAAATAGGGCGGAGAAAATAGAATGTACAAGAAAAACTATATTGTTTTCTTCAGACAACAATGGCATGGAACTAACCGAGAAGATAGATTTTAAGAATGGTATTGAAAAGAAAAGCGATGTTGCTGTCACAAAGTCTTATGATGATAAAATATTGGAAGTTGGAAAACAGATAAATAGGAAAACAATTTTGTTTTCAGATGAAAATAACGATATGGAAGTTACCGAGAGAATAGATACAAATTTGATGAAAGGTAAATCTGTAATTGAAATAGATGTGCCATTAAATGATATTTTCGTAAAAAGTTCTGCACAGGTTATAGAAGAAACTGATAAAACTCATTGTTGCACATCTGCTCTTCCATGTACAGAGTTGATTTATAAAGAAACATCTGTAGAAAAAATATCTCTACCTAACACCAATATTAATGTAGAATCCAATAATCATTGTTTAACTGTGAAAAAATTGAAAGAAAATGTTGAGAATTCTAGTAGAACGAAAAGGAAAACTATTTTGTTTGGCTCCGAAAACGACGATATGGAAATTACTCAAGATTTTGATTTGAATTTGGGGAATGACCAAACCAAAGAATTTATAAAGTCAGAAGATGTTGCGAAATGTGACATGTCTAAAACAACTGATGAAGTGTTGGATGTAAATACTCATAGGGTTGAAGAGAAATCAAAGAAACAAATACCATTAGTTAAGACGAAAATTGATTTAGAAATCTTAACAGAGAAAAAAATGGATAATAATCGTTTGAAAACTGGAAGAAAAACAATTTTATTTAGCTCCGAAAATGATGGTATGGAAGTTGAGTCAATCAATTTGAAGAACACAATTGTAGATGAATCGAAAATTCCAAAATTTAGAAATACGGATCATTCAACGGCTAAACCAATTCATCAAATGTTTGATTCTAAAACAACTCATACTATAGATAAATCTACTGATCATCGTTCTGCTTTAGGATTTAAGAAGGAACGTGTTACTAGTAGAAAATTAGATGAAACAAACATTCTCCATTGTAGTTCTGATACTATGGAAGTTACTAAAACTATCGATTTGAACGTGCAACAAGATACAACCGATCGAAATAATTTGATACATGACCCAGAAGAAAATGGAATGGAAATTGCGGAACAATGTGGCATTGCTTTGAATAAAGTTGATTCAAGAAAGACTATACATTTTCCTAAGTCTAGTAACGACATGGAGTTTACAATGGAATTACCCAGTTTCATTGGAAAAAAGGGGGAGAGAAAAGAGTGTAGTAGAAAAACGATATTGTTTTCTTCAGACAACAATGGCATGGAAATGACTGAGAAGATAGATTGCAAGAATGATAGTGAGCTCACAAAGTCTTATTATGGAAAAACATTGGAACTTGGAAAACAGGTAAACAGGAAAACAATTTTGTTTTCAAATGAAAATAACGGAATGGAAGTTACAGAGAGAATGGATACAAATTTGACGAAGGAGAAATCTGTAATCAAAACAGATATGTTTGTAAAAAGTTCTACACAGACTTCAGAAGAAGCTGTTAAGAATCAATGTTGTACATCCGCTCTTCCAAATAAAACAATGCCTCTATCCAAATCCTATTCGAATAAGGAATTAAGCCAACAAAGTAGTGAAAGAAAAACTGAATTGTTTTCATCTTTAAACGATGACCTTCATGTTACGAAGCTGAACTCGACTAGGTCAGAGAATTACATGAAAAATAGTATTTGCAATCCAGTTGATTTGAGTGAAGAAAAAAAACCTAAAATCTATATTAATTTAGAATCCGATAATCATTGTTTAACTGGGAAAACTGGAAGGAAAACAATTTTGTTTGTCGCCGAAAACGACGATATGGAAGTTACCAAAACCTTTGATTTAAGTAAAGTTGATTCTCTCGTGGTTGAAGAATGTTTTAATGTATCTAGAGAAGAATCAATTATGTTGGAAGAATCTTTGATTTCGAAAGTGGATAAATTAAATGAAAACTCTAAAGAAACAGAGATTGTAGATTTGGAGATGGTAGATGATGTGATGCTTGTGGATAGATTTGATGAAAATATTTCGAAGAACACAAGATCAATTCCCGAGATGGAATCATCTAATTGCGATTTAAATAATATTCAAGGGACGTCTTATATTGACGTGGATGAAGATAAAATGAAATGCGAGGATGATACGTACATAGAAATAAGCTCGACTTGTCTACAAGGCACCGAAAGGGATGTCTCCAGTTGCGATTCGTCCACGAGGAAAAGGACGCTCGAATCTGTGCATAAATCCTGCAAAAAGTTCATCAATGCATCGAATCTCAACAGTTCCGCAGAGATGTCAAGTGAGATATCCTTTAGCGAATCCTGTGGCGACTTTTCGAGGACTGCTAACTTGACTCCTCGAGTGTCATTGAGTAACTTCGAAGCAACGGTTAACTGTACCCTCAAGCTGGATCAGACGACTATCCTGCAAGAAAGGAAAAAAGAACCCGATGATCCACTAAAAGTCATAAATCACGATCTAAACGATATTCTGAGACGCATTGGACCTATACGTACGGAGACTAAGAACTTGGAAAAATCTAACAGGATTTTAGCCGATTTTCGGAATGAAATGCGAAAGTACGAGGCACTTCTTACATACATCAGAAGTGATTTGGAGGCTCAGCAGAAGGAGGACGTGAACCCCACGGACAAACCTTTTTTTGAAACTTTGGTCGCCGCTCCGAAAACTATTCGAGAGGAAGTCAAAGAAAAGCAAAAACTGTAAGATTAGCGCTACTCTGGTCATATTTACTATATTTTCATATTTTTATTTTCTTTAGGTGCAATGGGTCTTTCAGTGCAGAATTTCCTAAGGAAAGAACGTGTGAAGTGAAAGCACTTTTCGGCACAATCCTTATCCGTATGGAGTTTGATGAAACGAAGGGCTTGGTCCAGCAAACGGAGATCGTGAATAAGCTGTCACGTAAGTACGTGCAACAATTTCAGTTACCATTCTTATCAATCTCTTTTCAATTTCGCAGTTAAAACAACTCCAATAATTCGCTACGTCCATCGTTTATTGCTGGACAAAATCAACGACATGAAGACATCCCTGGGTAACAGTTTTTCAATACTAACACTACTCGACTACATTCACTTGCATCAAGGGAAGGTACTCAGGCAACGCCAAGAGTTCGAGGAGATGTGCAAAATCTATTATAACAAGAGAAGGCACGACATCGAAATAGATGAGAACTTTATGTAAACATAATTAACTTCCATTTTCTATGTGCATTCTTAATCTCACTTTGCTTTTAGCGTGAATTGGCACATCGTGGAAGTGCGTCTCGGATTCTCCTGCATCGTGAGGATGGATCCCAGCAGACTATCATCGGAACATATAGTCATCCAGAGCGAAATTGGATACTTCAATAACTGCGAGATCCTCGAATTGGTGACGGGATGTACTAAGAGTCTCTCGGGCATCCGGATGTTCGTGGACCGAGTGTCAAGTATGCTGGTGGAGCGAGGCGAAGAAGAACACACGGCATACCTGGCCAAGTACAGTCATCTTTTTAGTTAAATGTTTTGTTTTGTGGTAATTTATATATAGATATTTAAATGTAACATAAATCATTTGCAGTTTGTATATTATATTTCCTTTGAAAGAAATTTCTACGCGAAATCTTGAATTTGAACTGTTTCAAAATTGTAGGTGAAATATAGATATAGATTATCCATAATGAAAATATTAAATTTAGCACCACCTGCTGTTAGATAGTTAATATAGGTGTTAATTGAGTTGCATATGCAAATAATTATTGTTACATGGCGCAGTTTCCTGTGAAGAATACTACTGTATCCCTTTAAAAAGAATAACCTGTTGAATTAAATATTTTATTTATACGTTAAATGTATTTATATATATATAATAAATAATGTTAATATGTGTCTGTTCCATTTCATGTGTGTGTGTGTGTATATATATAATAATCTCTTTTTAAATATAGATATATATGTATAATAATAATTATATTAATAAAATTGTTTAATATTGCCTTTGCGATAGATTTCAAGTGATTATTACTGTTTCTTCTTGTAGTACGGGATGACCTTGTGATGGGTGTCGCCCCAATTCCGGTGCGCTTCCTTGTTGCATTCCTTACAGTAAAGATCGCCTCCGCAATCCAAGCACCTGACGACTGCATCGTCATTGCAGAGGACGCACCACGGCAATTCCTCCACCTGCAGCTCATCTACGTCGTTCTCGAGAACAGCTGAAGGTGGAGCTGGCGGCGGTGGCACCACCATCCTGCTGCTACTGCTACTCGACTCCACCGGACATCTGACCTCCAATGCCACCTCGTCCATGATCTTCTTGGTTATCTTATCCACTTCATCCTCGGAGGAGCCGCCCGAATCGTGCAAATTCTTAATGAAACTACTCTCGTTCGGCCGCACTCCCTTCTCTCGTAGACTAGCCAATCTCGCCTCAATCTCCAGTTGCGGATTTTGCGCCAACTCTATATCCCTTTCAGTGAGGAACTGCTCCAGCAGAGAATCCGCTTTCTCTTGGTCACTCCTCAAGTCTTTCGCGAATACCTGAGGAATAGTAAAACAATTATTTGACTGACTGAAAATAGATGAAATGATTTATAACTTGTTGCTTGCTGGGTCCCTCTACATAGTTGTTTTCCCCTCTCAGGGTGGCCAGTCTCTGTCTGAGTTCAGAATCAGTGGGCGGTAGACCTTTCCCATCATCCTTCAACTTCTCCAAGCGATCAAGCAGCTCCAGATCAGTGGCTGATAATCCTGCTCTCAAACTGGTTAATGCATTGTTATTCCTGCTGTACATTGTAATTGGGGGCGACATTGGATTCTCAAGAGCCTCCAGTCTCCTGCAAACATAAATCCAATATGAATATTCATATGTATCAGAATGTGAAAAACTTTGAATTTACTTGAGATACGCATCAGGGGGCGCGATAGAAACAGCGGCAGCAGCACAGGAGGATCCTGCAGACAGCTTCAGGAAACAGGCCTTACAGACGCTGTGCTCTGCGAGACCTTTTCCCGGCACCCTGCACTTCTGCTTCAAGCATTTACTGCAGAAGGACAAGCCGCAAGACGAGCATCCTCCCTACAAATCCAACACCCACACACATTACAACTATTAATTAATAATTTTTCGCGGCCTCTTCATTATCACCTCTTTATGGAAGAAATTGAATTTCGTCGTACATTGATTGCAGGACATCCTTCCAATTCGCGCCCTTCACAGCCCGACTTTCCTTGTTTATCTTTCTACCCCGGAAAACGCGCGTCTCCCCGCCACATTCATTCACGACTCCATTCATTCATACTTGATTATAACTCTATTGACAGTCCCCGAGAAATTGATTATTTTCGCGCCGCAACGTTGTACACCTGCTAACCATTTGAACTACCCTCCCAATTCAAAAATCATCTCTATTCATCGATTCCCACAATCTCATCTGATCTCATCATCAATACAAAGATCTACGTTACAATACCACAAATACGCATTCTTATAATTTCACCCAATGTATACAAAGGATTACTGTAAATTTTAAATATGCAATTTGTACCTTTAAGTAAATTATGTATTAAATTTGACTGTATACCATAGTTTTTAAAAATAAACCAATTTATATATTATACACATTTTAAATTTTATTCGGTAATTGTCAGAAATATACAATACAGATATATATATCTAAATATATGAATAATTCAATAACAAAATAATATAATAGATTATCATACAAAACTAATATCTACTTAGTAAATCCATAGATAATATAATAGTAAATTCTGCGATAAGAATTCAGCACCTCTCCAGAAGGCAAGTCTACAAAACAAATAGTCGAAATTATATTAATTAATATATTATAACAAACCTATTGGGTATTTTCCAAGCATAATTCTACGTGATCTTCGAGGCTTTTGATTGATCTAAATTTTAACATGCACAGTGGACAAGTGTACGTGGTTGGTGGCGGCGAAGGCGGCTAAAATATTCCAAAAATTGTTTATTAAAAATTGTGTGCAGGATAGATTGTGTATGTAATATTGTGAACTTACGGCATGGGAGACTTCGACAAACGTGCATTTCGTTCGTAAAACTTCGATATCCCGCATCAATTGTTCATTCTTCAGTTGCATGTTCCTCATATCTATAGCCATGTCGTTTTTCTCTCGGATGATATTTTGCTTACTCTCGCGCTCAACTTTGAAGTCGTTCTTGAAAATATCCAACTAAAGAATAAAAGGAATTATTGGGGCAATTCTACGCGTTTGGATCAGGTATAGTCGTACTTGACTCTCCAGAGCAAGAGTCCGATCCGACTCCTTGGTCATATTTTGAATGCGCGTCTGTAGATCGTCGATGGTCTTCCTATTGGCATCCGCCTCTAATTGGATGGCCTTCTTCGTTTGTTTAATATCTGTCAGGCAGGACTGCGCCTCCATCAATTGCTTACGCAAATTGGCGATCTCCTCGGACTCGGCTTTGTGAGAATCAGCTTTCAAATCAGTTATCTGTTGTAGATACTTCTGTTCCTTGTTCTCAAAATCTTGTTCGCGTTCGCCAATCCTGCTGCTCAAGCACTCGTTTTGATCCAGCAACTCCTTGATGCGATTCTCCAAACCCAGGTTCTTCTCGATTTGCGCCCCAATATTTTTGCTGTACTCTAGCCTCAGCAAATCGGCATCAGAGTTCGCTCCGTCTCCGCCGACTCTCAGCCTTTGATTCTCGGTCACCAACTAAAGAAATTACACTTAATCAATGTTGCACGAGCAATGTTTATATGCTTACGGCCTCAATGTATGCTTTCGTCTCTGCAAATTTCTTCTTGTGAGAGTTTTGTACACGTCCTACGTCTTCCTGCCACTGCTTTAGCGTCTTCATGAAAATATTGTTCTGTTCTAACGTGTTCTTCAGATTCTTGTTTTCCTCTATCAATTGCTCCACCTGCCTCTGCACATCGTCATGCGACATGACATCGGAGATTGGCGCTGATGCCTCGGAGGACTGCTGCAAGGTCATGGTGCACAGGGAATCGGAGGCTTGCTGTTGCGAGTCCTCGATTACCTCGGACGAAAACTCATCAGCCCATCGAAGTTCATCCTTCTTGTCGAACTCCGAACTGAAAGAATTCTGCAGCACCACGAAAGATTCCTCATCGCTGTCTGATGGCGGATAGCAGGCGGCTGGTAGCTGGTGAAGCCCATGATTTATTCCGATGTCCATATCTACAAATGTTAATCGAAATATGAATAAACAAATTTCGGCATTTCCTCGACACCAATTTCTACTTGTATGCATTCAGGACATATGTCAAGGTTACGAAAATCGATAATAGTTACGTGAGACAGCGACGCAGAAAGATACCGGAAATATGCTCGTCGCCGGATTTGGAAACCCTCTTCTCGACTACATTGCGAGGATAGACGACAGCGATCTGCTGACCAAACATAACCTCAACGAGAATGATGCCAAGGAGATTTCGCCGGAAGATTTGCAACTGCTCTATGAAGACGTCAAAAAAAAGTGAGTATACACTGGGCGGTGTTAGCATGACCTTGAAACGTAATTTACAACTAATGCATATCCACGAGATATGGAATTTCCACCATGACACCTGGGGGTTGTACCCAGAACACCCTGAGAATCCTCCATTGGCTGTCGAAGGGAGATATCACCACATACATGTTTGGAGCAATTGGCAATGATAGCAATGGAAAATTTTTGAAGACTGAAGTTGAGAAAGCAAATGTCCAAACAAGGTATATAAAAAACATCATAGACAACAATATTTTCACCATTAAATTCTAGATATGCAACTAAGCCATTGGCAACTGGACTGATGATATCATTGGTGTTCAATCAGCATAGATCTTTAGCCGGAAACATTGGAGCCTCAGAACTGTACACTGAAGCAGATCTAAAGCATGCAGACAACATGACCATACTTAGCTCTGTTGGTCTAATCTACATGGAAGGTTTCTTCATAACAAATCGATTACCAGTTGCCAAAAACATTATGACTTTTTGTAAAAAAAACAAGAAATCTTTTGCATTCAACTTGTGTGCTTCCTATCTGGTTGAATCTTATAAGGATGCAGTTAAAGAGTTTGTAGAGGCATCAGATATTCTGTTTGGAAATCTCGATGAGTTCGAATGCCTCATGAAAAACAATGGAAAGAACGATTTCGTGTCGTACGCAAAAGAACTGGTCAATGGTACCAGTAAAATGGTTGTCATAACCAACGGTTCTGAAAAAGTGCAATGCGTCGAAGCAAGTCGCGCCACCGAATTTCAGGTGCCTACACTCCAGAATTCGAAGGTTGTGGACACGACAGGAGCAGGGGACTCCTTTGTTTCGGGCTTCTTATATGGATACATGCAGAAGAAAGACATGCTTACGTGCGTTAAATGGGGATGCCAGACCGCACAACAGGTTATCCAGTACATCGGTGTGCAATTGCCCAAAGAAGTATTCGCATTTGATAAATAAAAAGATGATTCATCTTACCTTATTAATTTCGTCTCAGCTGATATCGTTCGGTGTTCGACACTCTAAATTATTGATATGAAAACAATAAACAAATAAAAGCCCAATATTGTTGTTTTTCTTAAACGCTTCACATTTTCAACCTTCAATTCTTTTCAGGAATATATTTTCCTTAGTTTTAGGAATTATTGTGTTATTGAATTACCACTCCAGCCGTCAACAATAAAAATAAATCAACAGTGTGACCACGCGCAAATAACAAATGTGCTTCAATTCGTTGCCAATCGAAAGGTATATAGAGTGATTCGCGCAATAACAAAGTTAAAGAAGAATTATAATATTTGTTTGTAAATTTTCAAAAGTAATGTAAAATACTGTTTATTTAATACAAATGCACTTCTTTAGGTAGAACATCACGTTTTTTTTATTAACTTGCATTTGTAACTTCAAGATTGCCAACATAACCTGTTGGGCGAGAATGAGCATTTATGACAGATTCGTGGATTCGTGCAGTTGTGTAAAAAGTGTTAAAAATATTTTATAGCACGGAGGACGGAGGTGCACGGAGGCACGCACATTGAACTGTTGTGATTTAATAACATTTTGCCGAGAAGGTACAAAATCAATTGAAAATGGTAAGAGATTAAAAGGTTCAATAATTAATCCTCTAATTCCTCCATCAACTCAACAAAAAATTGCTTTAGTCTGTAGCTGAGTTCCTGAAGGGAATGCCCTCATTCAACGAGAATAACTTTGCGAAATTCCATGTGGATAGCAATAACCGATCGCCGTTGAAGAGGCCTGCAGCCTATGTGCCCACCAAGGAGTACCCCTCGGAGCAAGGTACATATAAATATGTTGCTTGATTAAAACCCTAACACCTTGTTGAAATCTGCTTGCAGTAATTGTCACAGAGAAAACAAATATACTATTAAGATACTTGCATCAGCACTGGGAGAAAAAGGTACAAGAGTCATTAAAATATTAATTCATAATATATTAATTTTTTTGGAATTTCAGGCATTGCAAAAGAAAAGGGACCATACATCTGTAGAGGACGAGCAGATATTAGCTAGGAAAAGGCCAAGAATTGATTATGGTGCAAATGCACCTTAAATTATACGCATGAATGGGATACACATGAATCTGATACATTCACAATAAATATGTTTTATATTAAGTTTTTTTTTAATGTTATTTTGTGTTTTTTAAATTACATTAGAACTATCCAAACCAATAGGTTGGACATCAGCAACCAGTCAGCCAATAACAATTATTTTTTGTTTGTTCTATACACAGCATTGAACAATACTCAAATGTATGACTTCTTTTCAAAATATATATATATTATATTTATAAATATACATATATTTTTTAAGGGCTAAAGCATTACCATGTTTTTTGTAATAAAGAAATTAATAAATTATGTACAAAGATATTCAATATATATTATATTAACTGTACGTTAATGCATTAAATACTTATTATATACCTGATGGAGTACCAGGTGACCCCACTACGTCTATGATTTCTCCAATCTTTACTGCCTCCTGCTCATTGCCGGCGGTCAACAATTGCGCAGGAATTGTCAACGTCTGTAATAGAATTTCTTCGATTAATCCTGATTTGCCTGAACTACTAACAACGAGCATACCTTTCCTGGATTCAGTGCTTCGTATTGATGCCTCAATGATTGTAATTCGAATTCGCACGTTCCGAGCGCCGACTTCAGCTCCATGAGTAGGACCATATCGCTTCTAAGTTCATTGAAACTTTGGCAAATCTCTTCAGACGGCGTTGGATTTAATTCTAATTCGAACAAAAATAGAGAACAAACTAATTAATAAATATACTCCGTGCGAGTCAAGCGCAAATGTAGGAATCAAAATAAATATATAATTAAATTGATTCAGAGTACATAATTTGAATGGGGAAAAATAATTTAACTATATATAAAAGAGAAACTAATAGAAATAAGTTAACGTTACTTTAGAATAAATTTAAAGGAAAAAATCGAGAAAATGTAACACTCAGTTTTATGCTATTTGCAACAATTTTGTGTTACATTTGATTCGGAAATGTTCGTGGAAAATCGACGATTAAATACATTGAGAAGCGTTTCCATGTTCCAACGAGGAATGAAAATGACTTACCCATGCCCATATCTTGAAGCATTTGCTCGATTCCTTTAGTTTTCTTCTGGCCGACGCTGGCTGGTAGCTTCATACGCTGTGACCTCAACGAAACCCCGCTATTTTTATAGTCTGGAAACTTTATACCCGCAGTCTCGACGGCCTGCAAAATATGCTGTAGAAATGAAAATAATACTTTAAGTTAATGTTGCCCCCAAGAAAAGTGATGTTATAATCTAGTGAATTGTTAATACCGAGGTGTCGACACGAGAAGGCCTCGAAGGATTGGTGATTTTTTTCTTAGGTAACTTCTTGTCAGCTTTCCTCGGTGTCTCCCCCTGGTTATCTGCCTGACTGATCAACTTTTGCAGATCCTGCGTTTTGCGTTCGCGCTCCTTCTTCCTCGCTTCAATCTTCTTCAGCTCGCCTATTAAGAACTGCTCCTCTTCAATCTGCTCCGGGGTTCTCTCGTATAACCTCTTCAGCTGCTCCTTGCGTCTCTTCTCGTGATCCGCATCGTACGTGTACATCTTTTTATTCGTCAGCTTGAAGTGAAATACAAGAGTGTACATCATATGACAATAACGAGTTTTAATTTAATTACCTTAGCCAGTATTCCACACACTTTATAGTATCTGTCTTTGATCTCCTCCACAGTACGCTTAGGGAATTTTTCTGTATCATACCTATCTGCAATTATGATAAACCTCATATCAAACCTTCTAGCTAAATCCATCATGTGATCTGTTTCCTGTCTGCTCCATCCCTCAGTTGTTAAATGCTGATTGTACTCAGCATCAGTATAAATGGGAATATCGATTTTCTAAAAAGCAAATAAATCAATTACTCAAAGTCAACTTTACACCAATTTGCAATATTTTCAAATGACAAAAAATGTTTAATGCACAACCTTATTGAATTTAGCAAATGGATATTCCTTGGTTTCATCTGATGGACGACGCCAATGGTAAAACAGTGTATTATCACTCCTGGCTGGATTTGTAAATGACATCCACTCCCATTTCCTTGGCTTCCTCATTCCCAATTTAATTTTAGTCTGTTTATACCCATTACCTATGAAATAAGTAAGTTAATTTGCTGTTCTATATAGACTTATCAATTAAAGGTATACTAGTATCTGATGGAAACAGTGGAGGAGCATCTTTGTTGTCATTGTAGAGCAGGGCAAAGACCTCCCTGTGCATGCCCTCCGGCCTCTTGGACACTTTTTGTCCAGCATTGAATAAACGTTTCTTGTTCTTGTCTGCTCCCAGAATAGCCTCTTTAGTTAACTCAGGCGTAACCGGTTGGTCCAATTCCATAATATCCCTGACATCAGCCATTGTCTGCAAAACCAAATATTAACATTTAAATGAAACAAACATAACCTTAACATATACATACGTTGTGTTTGTTGAAAACGCTTCGCTTATTTGAATCAATTTGAATGCTAATAGCAATTCACCAGCTTACTTCAATTACTTTTAACTCAGTAATCTGAATATGCCAGGACCAACGGGACCAACCAGGACGACATTATTTTGATGCGTTTTTGTTGACAAAAAAAAAACAAGCTAGACAACACTCAAAGCTTTTCATGTTGGTAGTATGTTCAGTGCCAAAGAAGTTGCCTATAGGTTAAAATATATTAAAAATCATCTAAAACTACATAAATGCTAATAATTATACTCGATTGTTTTATAATATAATCAATAATATGAATATTAAATATAACAATAATGATATTACAGCTATAAGCAGTAATTTGTTAATGAATGTGATGTTGTTTTAAATATGGCGGGTTTAATGGTCGCCCAATCACGTGCGCAAACACGTGTAACACAACAAGTAGTAAAATAGTGTAAATATCGATAAACTTTGGTCGTTTGTTAACGTGAAATTTATACGAAAAAAGCATTCGTAATTAAAGCTATTCGCTTCGTCTTTTGGTATTGCAAGGTAATTAATGTGGGATCTGATCGAGGTATGTGAGTTTAAGCAAGTCTTGAGCTAGATGTGACGTTTCCCAAACAAAGGAGTTTTTAGTGCACATACTATACACTAAATGTGTGTATATATATAGAGTGCAGTTTGACAGGTCGCAACCAAGAGTAAAGTGAATAACTTTCTCGAATTGGTGCACAATTTGCTGTTTATTTTTACTGTTGTTGTTGAAACTCTTGTGATTAATATTGTATTTGATTTTAATCTTCGGATAGACGAAACGGAAGGTGCAATTTGCTAGTGCTTTGCGTTTATCCAGGTAGCGAGAGCAGACTCAACCGAAAACGGGGCCCTACGCAACGATGAGCGACGACGATCGGGATATTGACGTGGATAGTGATGTAAGTGCAATAATATACCTGGCCATCTATATTGCCAAATCTGCAATTTGCATTCATATGTTTTCTATTACAGTTAAGCATTTTTCATCTTGTGTTTTACTTTTAGGAGGGGGATGACTCTGACTCACGCCAGCAGATGTCCAGGCAGACCTCGGGCAGTCAATATCACTCACAAGTATTTATTGTAATATCTAAATATATGTATTTCTTGTGTAAGGAAAAAATATCATTCTGTTGTAGGCTGAGAAGAGGGCTCATCACAATGCATTGGAGCGTAAACGAAGGGACCACATAAAAGATAGCTTCAGCAGCTTGAGAGACTCTGTACCTGCATTAAACAATGAAAAAGTGGTATGTCTCAAATTTAGAAGGATACACAATTTATCCAACATGCTTCAATTTACATGAATCCTCTATTTTATTGTAGGCAAGCCGAGCCCAGATATTGAAAAAGGCTGCAGAGTACATACAATATATGAGGAGAAAAAATAACTCACATCAACAAGATATTGAGGACCTGAAGAGGCAGAACAATTTATTAGAAACACAAAGTATGTCCTTGCTATCAAAGTGTGCTAAAAATAAAAAGCATATTCATAAATATAATGCATGTTATGTAAAGAAGCGTTAAATTTTGGTGTATTTTAGTTATGAAATTATCTTCCACTTTTCTAACCTAAATATAATAAGACAATGAGCATATTATTGGTCATCAATAACTGTAACTGAGAATTGCGATTTAAACAAACCATACCAATCAGATTGTAACTAAATAGGTGTTTTGTTATATCATTTTTGTTAATCTGAAGAAAAATTCCCCATGTACTTTATGTGTGAAAAGGGGGAATAGTTGTTGTTGTGACTTGTATATTTGTATCTTGTGTCAATATTAATTAATATTAGTTGTTCTGTAAATTTATTGGTTTACTATTTTTTTTAACCACAATTCAATTCTAATCAAAACATTGTTTCTCAATTTAGGTCGTAATATGTGATTTATATTCTGGACAGCAACTTAACTATTAAAAGTAATTCAATAATTTGTTTTCCTCTTTTTAGTAAAAACATTGGAGAAGGCAAAGGAGGCAGGAAGTTTTGGAGATGGAAAGAACTCTAGCTACAACGAGACAGAATCGGACACCTCAGATATGGAGGGTCAGGTTAACCAAAGACGTACGAAGAAGATGAAATTTACGTCGTACCATTAAATAAATTTGAATGAACCGCGGCAGCAAGATAGGAATGGATACAATTGAGTTGAGTTGAGAACGATAAGCCGAAGCAACGGTACGCTAACTGGAATTTCTGGTCGGGGTGAAAAAAAAACACAAGTTTTGCACGCAAATTTCAAATTCAACTTTTTCTTTAATTTTATGTTGTTCGCAAAGATTACAATTAGTAACAGAGAGCTTTTCATGGTACCAAATACTTACTTTAACTTCGGGATACGTCAGAGTTTGTTTAATCAAGTAGCGCAAAGACAAATGTTTGATATATTTACACTAAAGTGCAAATAAAAAAAAATATGTATATGTGTATATCAAATAATAATGAAAACACGTAACAATAATTATTGAATCTGAATATGTACACTTTATGTTCTATTTAGTTTTGCGGAAAGCGGATCGAAATAAAGTTATGTATTTTACTTTCAGTATGTAATGTACCTTACTAATATTGTATAAATATTTTAATAGTTTATAATGATTACTATTAAGAATACTAAAATGAAAAAAATAAAACACAAATTATTGGTATGTTGTTTAAAAATTTGTAAAACTGATGAAAGATTTTGTTATTATTTAATTATTAGGACTATTATGTATTATAAAATTTTTATAAATAAACAAACGAAAATAGTTTATAACTCTGAATCTAACAATCTTTTTATATGTTACTTCAAGTAAAACCCAACCAACATTGATCATTAATTTATAATAAATGAAATTTGTTATTAACAACACTGTAGCTTTTTGAAATTGCATAAATACAAAAAATGTAATTAACAGATTTTAGTTGCACGTTTATGGAACAAATTGTTATTTCAAAGTTCAGTTTTAAGTAATTTAAAAAAATAAATTTTTACTGTATATAAACAATATTTACAAATTAAATGATGCAGTTGATGTATATGCAAATAAACAATGATTAGAGATTTTTAGAAATGCAATTAAGAGTGAAAAGCCATCGCATGTGTAAATATTTGCGAGTTAATTAGCACGCTCGAAACTTTCTTGTTCGTATGTGGACTCGTTTCCCGCCATTAGTTTCTAACTAGCCGCAGATAAAAGTGTTCGGAAAAAATTAATTCACCAAATTCTCCACGCTAATGCATGGAGCTGCTTCTAGTTTTTAAGTAGATTAATTTTGTCTTACTTTATTTACACTTGACAGATGCTCTGAACTATTCTCGTAATCCAAATCCGCGATTATAATTTCAACACAAGAAGTAGAGTGAATTTCGTACTCAGTGCTTTGTATCCGCATACTGAATATAAATAAAATATATTTTTCTATCATCTACAACGTGCAGCGTTTCACTTAATATGGATGAAAATAAACTCATGGAGCAGTGCTATGAGAATCTTATTGTAATAGATGTTGGAGCCAATCTCACCAACAAGAAGTACAGTCGGGATTTGGATTCTGTCATACAAAGGGCCAAAGATTCAGGTAAGCATAATAGTGCCTTATGGTGTCAATATTTGATAGATTCATGTTGATTTTCTAGGGGTCCAGAAGATTATGGTGACAGGCACATCTGTCAAGTGTAGTAAAGAAGCATTAAGATTAACAAGGATTTATCCGGGCACATTGTATTCAACTGCTGGTAAGTTTTTATATATTTCAATCATTTCTTGTGTACTTTATCATTTGCATTTAAGGTATACATCCACACGACGCTAAATCCTATACAGATGAAACTTGGGATGAACTAGTAGAAGTTGCTAAGAATCCCGAGTGTGTAGCTATTGGAGAATGTGGTTTGGATTACAATCGAAATTTTTCCGAGCCGGACGAGCAGAGGCGAGTTTTCGAGAAACAGGTAAAACAAAATCCTTTTAATACTACTGAATGTATAAAACACACACACAATATGCTCATAATAATGATTTCCAGATAGAACTCGCTTGCGAATTGAAGAAACCGCTATTTGTGCACGAACGAGAAGCGCATGACGATCTACTGGAGATCCTAGGCAAATTCTTAGATAAACTTCCTCCAGTGCTGATTCATTGCTTCACTGGGACTACAGAACATGCTATGAACTACTTGGACAAGGGTTTTTATTTGGGACTGACTGGTAATTAGAAATGAAAAACTGTGTGCCAAGAATCTTGACCTGCAAACTAAAAATACTATTGCAGGATATCTGTGCAAAGACAAATCTGATACAGGTGTCAGAAAATTGCTGGTTGATAATCTGATACCATTGGATCGACTTCTTGTGGAAACTGATGCTCCATTTATGTACCCAAATACAAGGGCATCTAAATTGCCGGTGCATGTCAAAGATGGTCTAACTGAAAGGTATTTATATGCAACATCTTATACAAAACTTTTATGTTATCATCAAAACGAAAATTAATGCACAATTGCTTCAATTCAAGTTTTAAGAACTGAAGGTAAAATAGTAATACTGAATTAAAATTGCTTACTGTAAGTTAGGGATAAGTGTGAGAGTTTCTTTGAAGCATATTTTGAAAAAAGCAATGTTGGTTGCATATAGTCTCTTTAGAATTTCACTATCCTTTTAAGGTTAATCTTCAACAACAATTCTTAAGATATTGTAGAATAATAATAAGGATGGTTGTACCAAATCAATCTACAACGATTAATGTTTCAAATAAATTAATGCCATTCAATGTAGTTTAAAATACATATATCAATTGAGATTAAAGTTCTATGCCGAAATAGATATTTGTATCATGTCATATAGAGATTCAGGAAGAACGGGACTTTCTTTCTATTTTTAGTGGATACTGCGTGCGTATGCACGTTCAATGTTTTATTTTAGGACTTCAATAGAAATGCCCACCTACGTGGTTCAATGATGGAATATGCGCGTTTTGCGTTGAAGTCAAGGAAATATACATATGAACAACATATTTCGAGTCTAAATATAAGAATTTATCGCGAGTGATGCGATGCGTTGGAACAAAACAATTATTGTATGATTTTTGATGTCTCGTTCTTGCTCAGGTCCATGACTTTCCTCCATCGGTATTGCACCTTCCAGAGGAACGAGCCTTGCAGCTTGCCAGCAATCGTCGAGATGATTGCAGCCTTTATGAATAAGAAACCCGAAGAGGTGGCCCTTGCCACGGCCTTCAACGCGCTCAAACTCTTCGGGTTGTCGCAGTGATACATTTACCTACCTGTCACTACAACTCTCTACAACCTTCTTGGAAATCTACAAATAAGAGAAGAAACGAAAAATAAATAAAAATTGCTCGGTGCTTTAGTTGTCTACACATAAGTATATATTATTATATTATTATTTTGTTGCAATACAGCGGATGCTAGTGTTATTATTCATGTTTAGGTGTTATTATTGATTACTGTTCCATATTATCATATTATCTACTTGTGATTCAGCCGTGCTTTCTGAATGTAAACATATCTTTATATTATATTTTTTCGCTAATTTATTTTTTGAGATGACTATGATTTTATATAAACTATTTATGTATACAACTTATATATGTATTTATGTATTTCTTGCCATTGTATTCTATAACTATTGTGATACGAATATGAAATTTGGTGCCTTAAAACTATTTTCTTGTTACGAAAATTCAATAAAATTGGAAGGAAAAAGATAGCAAACTGATTATTCACTTATGTTTCCCTTCATCACTATGATTTATGTATGTATATTTTTTAATCAATCAAACTGAGTCATGAGCATGAACAATGGTGAAGTTTGATTCTATATCTATACTAAAGTCCTGAACGACCTTCAAGTTGTTGATGTACCGTTGTTTATTATGTTCAGTCATGCAAAACATATCTGGTTTGCACACGTAAACAATGGTTCTAAACAACAAATATTTCATGGGATTGGATGACGTTTAAGTAACGCAATATTATGAAATCTGTCAATATCAGTTAATGTTGGAGAGAAGATTTGATAACAATAATCTATAGTTATAGCCTGAACTGTTCATCAACTAACATATTTTTATTTATAAATCAATAATTGTAGAATGTTTTTTAAACCTGTTTACGCCTAAAGGGAAAAATAGACAAATAATTTTCAAGATATTCTAAACAAAAATGCATATTGTAACTAGTATCTAAGTCTAAAATTGTAAAATGATCTTTGATTATAATTAATACTGCAATTAATTTAATTGCATCTGCTGTCATTGCATCAGCTGTTCTATTGATCGGTTGTTTTTTGTTTTGTTTTTGGAAGTTACTAGAATTCACTGGAATTTACTAGAAATCCTGCCAACCTAAATGAGAAATTTGCTGATATTTCAAAAATAATTTTCGGCTAATTTCCATAGCGAATGATCGATTTCCCAAAACTATGGTTAATTAACATTAATTCTAATTACAGTTTGCTGAAAAACCGCTGGAAAAGTATTAGATTTTTGCCGATTCGAGAAACTTTCATACACCCTTCGTTTTGGGTACGAGACTAATGCGGTGGGGATTTTTGAAATCTATAAATAGGGAAGCGCTCGTCCCGACAAGCTCATAAGAAGTTTGCGAGTTGGAGTGAAGACGTCGTTGATAAATCGTTTACTCCGATAGTTAAGCATATTTGTTAACGTAAGTTTCTTTTTAAAAAAAATCTATTACAATTCTTGACGTTTAGTTTTCATTTTAATTGATTTGGTTTCGGATGTCCGTATTTTGCAAAACGTAGTGGCAATATTTCCGATTTTTTTTTTGCATCGCTCATTTGTTTCATCTAAATTTTAACAAAATTTTTATAGTCTTGTCAAGGAATCTCAATTCTCTATATATAACAAGGTACATTTTTTTGTTGAAAAGTCTGTGTCTCTTTTGATGGACAAAGAACAACAAAATGGCGAAGCCTTCATTGATTTTTCAATGCGCAGTTGGTCGGCCATTTCGTTCGTGACATTAATTATTTTTTTCTTCAAATTGCAGGATGCAGATCTTTGTGAAAACCTTAACTGGTAAAACCATCACTTTGGAGGTTGAGCCCTCTGATACCATTGAAAATGTGAAGGCTAAGATTCAAGACAAAGAGGGAATCCCACCTGATCAGCAACGTTTGATCTTCGCTGGTAAACAATTGGAAGATGGCAGGACTCTGTCGGACTACAACATCCAAAAGGAATCTACACTTCATTTAGTATTGCGTCTTCGTGGAGGTATGCAGATCTTTGTTAAAACCTTGACTGGAAAAACCATTACCTTGGAAGTTGAACCATCTGACACAATTGAAAATGTCAAAGCCAAAATCCAAGACAAGGAAGGAATCCCACCAGATCAACAACGTTTGATCTTCGCTGGTAAGCAATTGGAAGATGGCAGGACTCTGTCGGACTACAACATTCAAAAGGAATCCACCCTTCATTTGGTATTGCGTCTTCGCGGTGGTATGCAGATCTTCGTTAAAACCTTGACTGGAAAAACTATTACCTTGGAAGTTGAACCATCTGACACAATTGAAAACGTAAAGGCCAAAATCCAAGACAAGGAAGGAATTCCTCCAGATCAGCAACGTTTGATCTTTGCTGGTAAACAATTGGAAGATGGCAGGACTCTGTCCGACTACAACATCCAGAAGGAATCTACTCTCCATTTAGTATTGCGTCTTCGTGGAGGTATGCAGATCTTCGTTAAAACATTGACTGGAAAAACCATTACTTTGGAAGTTGAACCATCTGACACAATTGAAAACGTCAAGGCCAAAATCCAAGACAAGGAAGGAATCCCTCCAGATCAGCAACGTTTGATCTTCGCTGGTAAACAATTGGAAGATGGCAGGACTCTGTCAGACTACAACATCCAAAAGGAATCTACCCTTCATTTGGTATTGCGTCTTCGTGGTGGTATGCAGATCTTCGTTAAAACATTGACTGGAAAAACCATCACTTTAGAAGTTGAACCATCCGATACAATTGAGAACGTTAAGGCCAAAATCCAAGACAAGGAAGGAATCCCCCCAGATCAGCAACGTTTAATCTTCGCCGGAAAACAATTGGAAGATGGCAGGACTCTGTCTGATTACAATATCCTGTCTGACTACAACATCCAGAAGGAATCCACTCTCCATTTGGTATTGCGTCTTCGTGGAGGTATGCAGATCTTCGTTAAAACCTTGACTGGAAAAACTATCACTTTGGAAGTTGAACCATCCGATACAATTGAAAACGTCAAGGCTAAAATCCAAGACAAGGAAGGAATCCCCCCAGATCAGCAACGTTTAATCTTCGCCGGTAAACAATTGGAAGATGGCAGGACTCTGTCTGATTACAATATCCAGAAGGAATCCACTCTCCATTTGGTATTGCGTCTTCGTGGAGGTATGCAGATTTTTGTGAAAACCTTAACTGGTAAAACCATCACTTTGGAGGTTGAGCCTTCTGACACTATTGAAAATGTCAAGGCTAAGATTCAAGACAAGGAAGGGATCCCCCCAGATCAGCAACGTTTGATTTTTGCCGGTAAACAGTTGGAAGATGGCAGGACTCTGTCTGACTACAACATCCAGAAGGAATCCACTCTCCATTTGGTTTTGCGTCTTCGTGGAGGTATGCAAATTTTTGTAAAAACCTTGACTGGAAAAACCATCACCTTAGAAGTTGAACCATCCGATACAATTGAGAACGTTAAGGCCAAAATTCAAGACAAGGAAGGTATTCCTCCAGATCAGCAACGTTTGATCTTCGCAGGTAAACAGTTGGAGGATGGCAGGACCTTGTCTGATTACAATATCCAAAAGGAATCTACATTACATTTGGTTTTGCGTCTTCGAGGCGGAATGCAGATTTTCGTGAAAACTTTGACGGGAAAGACTATCACTTTGGAGGTGGAGCCATCGGACACAATTGAGAACGTAAAGGCTAAAATTCAAGACAAAGAAGGTATTCCTCCAGACCAGCAACGTTTGATTTTTGCGGGTAAGCAATTGGAGGATGGTAGAACTTTGTCGGATTATAACATTCAGAAGGAGTCCACCCTCCATCTAGTGTTACGTCTGCGTGGTGGTATGCAGATCTTCGTAAAAACTTTGACGGGAAAGACTATCACTTTGGAGGTGGAACCGTCTGATACAATCGAGAACGTTAAAGCCAAAATCCAGGATAAGGAAGGAATTCCACCAGATCAGCAGCGTTTGATTTTTGCTGGCAAGCAATTGGAAGATGGCAGAACTCTGTCTGACTACAACATCCAGAAGGAATCAACCCTTCACTTGGTTTTACGTTTGCGTGGAGGACAGTAAACATTTACAAAATTTTCTTCTATAACTATATATTATATGTACCTTTAGACAAGACTGTAATATTTTTTTTTTATTATTTCAATTATATATCTAAACTCTAAGCAAGACGCGTAAAATAAAAGAAGAATAAATAACAATTCATTTCAATCCAATTTATTGTTTAATTTCCATTCATTATTCCATTTAACAGTAACTTTAACATACAAAAAAAAAATAATAATGGAGTTACCGTTTTGTAACACAATAATATAGTTTCTGTTATAAACTAAACAATGTTTACAAAATGCAATTGCATATTTTGGTATTAATATTAAATGTTAACGATCTGGTTGTTATGTAAGAGTGGTTCGTAAACTGTGGGCTCTACACATCAGATCAGTTAGTTTTACTATTCAAGGATTCTAAACAATTTTTTAATTTGGCCCACACCGCGTTGCTAAGTGCAAATTTATGAATATATAAAAATATATATATAAATTAAAAATATGTTTTTATTTACGAATAGTACTATATAATAATAACTTCAAAGATGCTCTAGATCCAGACAATGCTCATAGATTATCCTTGTTTACTCGTGTATGGGCTATACAATCTAAAGAAAAAAACATTAATAGTAATTTAAATGTATTGAGTAAATGATTAATTACCTTTCCAGTGTTTTCCACATGCTTCCTCCTCATAGATGATCATTTACAAATGAATATTGTTGATGATAGTACTAGTGCAAGTGTTTAGTAATAGATCTTTAAACACAACAATATTTGAATGAATTTTTCCTCCAAAATTAGTTTATCAATATAATAATTTTTAAATCACCATTAAATTCATCATCACTGTTTCCCAGTTTAAGTCATCTATAGTAATACAACTATTATCAATAGCTCTATCACATTGCAGTTCCACTACTGTTATAGAAACATTTTCTGTACACAAAATTAAATGTTTTATTTTTATATAATAGAAAATGTTTTTTGTTAAAAATTAGAAATTGTTATGATTTTTGCGCTAGTTCCGTTAGAATTTGGTTCTGGTATTTCCTCGCTCTGCTCATCTTAAATGTTAATTTCTTTTTCTCACTTCTTACTTTCTTTAACTTTGGCTTTAGTTGCTCCTGTAGCAAGTCCAGAGCGGTACAATCAGATGGCACATGGACATATCTGATATTTCTGCTTCTCACGAAGAATGTCTCAAAAGGAAGCAGCTCGCCTGAAATAAAATTATGTGAAGAATTGTTAATTACAAGGAACAATGAAAGCTTCGGTTAATGTACCTCTTGCATTTTGGAACGTGCAGTCTTCTAGTTCTGTGTTCATATAACCATCTACCTCGACGACTTTGCCATGCACGGACGACTCGTTTCGTAGATCTATCACGGTATATTTTCCCACTAAAGCATTCAGCAAACAGGCCATGCTGTTGTGCAGCAAGTAAATTGATTTCACGTCTTTTATTTGGTTGGACATCTCTGATTTGTTGATGTTTGAGAGGACCTGCAGTTGATAGTTAACGAATTCGTTGTTAAGGGAAAGCCAGGGAACTATTTTCCACTACTGCCACTATAACAAATTTTAAAGAAAAGTAAAGACATTAATACCAGAGCTAAAAAAATAAAAAATGTTTTTATTTAAGAATAATACTTAATATATGATTTGAAGAGGTAGAGAGGTACATTTGGTTGCCTCAATTTGTTTTCTAATGTCAATCGACAAAAAAATAAAAGTAGCGGCCTCTATTGTTAATCAGGTGTATAAGATCATATATCATATAAGATTAAAAGAATCCCTAACATAGGTTAGTGCACTTGATGAAGGTTAGGGTTGCTCGGCATCTGCACAGTCGTAAATCATCAAATAATTCAGTAAAGAAAGAAAACAAAGGTAAATAGCTTTTGGTACTTAATTTTCTAGCTTATTTTGAATTCATCATCATGTGGAAATATGTAAGTGGTGCAATTGCAGTTGGTTCAATTGCTTATGGGTTGATGTAAGTGGTCGTCTCCTATACACATCACGTGTATTTGTATATACTCTTATTTTACAGGCGATACTTTGCTGGAGGTGTTTGTCATTGTACTGCACGTTTGGATGGACTAGTCGTCATCATAACTGGTGCAAATTCTGGCTTGGGAAAAGCACTGGCTTTTGAATTGGCAAAAAGAGGTGTGTGTTGTTTTAAATAAACAATCTTGAGCTATTGTTTTCATACTTTGACATATGTCAATCTACTATTCCAGGTGCCATACTAGTGTTGGCTTGTCGAGACTTGGATGGTGCACTGACAGTGAAGACAGAGATACTGTCCCAGCTGGAATACAAAGCAGAGATTCATGTGAAGCATCTGGACTTGAACTCGTTCAGTAGCATAATAAAATTTGCAAAAAATATTGATGCAGAGTTCGAGGAGGTCTATGCGTTGGTGAATAACGCAGGGGTCTTCTATCATCCGCAGTCGCTAACGCAGGACGGATTCGATGTTACATTTCAAACAAACTATCTGGGTCCATTCTTGCTGACACAACAGTTGACTAAGGTGCTCAAACGCGCGGATCACGCGAGGATCATAAACCTCTGCTCCGATGCTCACAGGAACGCAACCGCCTACGATTTGACATGCTTGATGACAACGCAAACTGAGTTTAGAAGTCACTTCCTAGCGTACAGCGTTTCCAAACTAGCACTCCTTCTTTTTACCAGGGAGTACGCAAAAAGAATATCCAGTGAGTTTCAAATAAAAAAATTACAACAATGATCATCATGCAACTTGATTTCAGACACGAACATTGTCATCAATGCGGTGGACCCTGGCAATGTAGAGACGAATATTTACAGGCATTTTCCTCAACTGTGCAACTCCTGGCTATATTGTCTGCAGTGGCCAATTAGGAAAATCGTCGTCAAGAATCCGTATCAGGGTATTCAGTCCATACTTCATATGCTCTTGACCTCCAACCATTCAACCGGTCAGTACGTACAAGATTGTAAGCCAGTGGTGCCAAGTCAATACGCCACAAATCCGAAACTCACCATCAATTTTTACGATCAAACCCAGAGCCTTCTCGAGAACAGCTTTAGCGAATCGGACTGTTAATGATGTCGACGTACGTTTCGCCGGACCGTAAGATAAGAAAAACTGTTTTAGTGGTAGGCGAAGGCTGCTTCAAGCCATCCGAAAATTGCTTTTGCACCTTCACTATTTCTGAAAGCAATGTAGATTTAGATAAGTATAAGAGTTACGGCTACAGCGTGGGCGATAGCGGCGATGTGTTTGAACGATACCTGGATGTGTTGCTACAGACTATGCTGACCTCGGAAGTAGCCAAAGTCACTTTTCTTACTGGAGATTCGAAAGTGGAGTTTACAATCGAGCTGGAGTCGTTTTCGAGGGCTGGATTCATCTACGAGTGGGATCCCACTTATAAATATAACTTGGCGATGCAACACAAAGTCGCCGGCAACGATCTGTTTAAGAGTGGCTGTTTTAAGGACGCCTCGTATCGTTTCAGGAAAGGTCTGAAGATTCTGCTGTCGATACCGCTAGACGTGGAGAACCCGAAATTGCAAGAGCAATCCATGGAAGATGTTTACAGCTTGATGGTGAACTTTTACAATAATCTAGCCGCGTGCAATCTTAAAGCGAAAGACTACGATCGAGTGGTCGGGTTGTGCGACAAAGTTCTCTGCTTCGAGGACGGAAACGTTAAGGCCGCCTACAAAATGGGCGTGGCTTGCTTTGAGCTGCACAATTATGAAAGAGCGTTGGAGATGTTCTCAAAGGTGGCGATTGCCGAGCCGAACAATAAAGCTGTTGTTCAAAATATCAACAAGACGCAATCGCGAATTGTTGAGAGCAACTCGAAGTACGAGTGCCTGGTCAAGAGGATGTTCAAATAATCATTTCAAGGAATGTTGTTGTTTTTTGCTGTGTTTTATTTTGTTTGTGCTTTTATAATATTATATTATTCATTGCGGGCTGTAGATGCCGCACAGGCGACCGTAATATTTCTCCTCGGAGAGGCTTTCCACCAGGAATCGGCCAAGATCGTACTTGGATACTGCCCTTCCTGGGGACTTTCCCACCTCGACTACGTACTCCGTTTGAGGCGAATCTGAAACATGTGTATTCAGTAAGTAATAGTTCAACCTTCATGGTTTGATCTGCTCGTACCGGCGATATGTGGAGGAAGAATAGCAATGTACTTTAGGCTTGATCCCAGTACTACCTTCAGCTGCCTTTGGTGGTCGGCGTTCAGATCAACGAACATCGGTGGAACCTTGCTGGGCTCGTAAAACAAAAATGCGGACAGGCAGACAGATACCACCTCGATATTCGTCTCATTCATCGCCCGGACAATGTTCTTCATGCCTTCGCTCAGATCCGTGGTCGGTTTCAGGTTGTTCCTCGTGCCGAGTACTACGACCACGGACTGCACATTCTTAACCGTTTCCAAAACGTCCTCGTATTTCAGCACGTCTCCATGGATGACTTCTACTTTGGGCCGAAACTCTTCAGGAATCTTTGATGGATCTCTCACGAGCACTTTGATCTTAAGACCTAGTTATTAAAGTCAAGTATTAGTTTTCATTCCGCATTAATCAATGTGTATTCTCGAACGCTTGCAAAATACTTATTATTTGTTAAATATTTAATTACTATATTATGAAATACTTAAATCGATTATCTATATAAAATCTTTTATTTTTCAAACCTTCGTTAATATAATCGTCTAGACTGGACTAAACATGTATCTGTATTCAAATTATGAATTTCCGGTCACGGATTTTTTTTTCATTTAATATATAAAACAGAATAACTTTGTAAATATTAAAGACCTTTGTATTATATCCAGTACGTTTTAAAACGTAAAGAAAAATCACGTTTTTTAATTATGGTAATGTTTTGATAACTTCTCTATTTGCATCTCAATAACATTGATTACATGACAGAATCGCATTGCATTCTAAGAAAACGATCAATTTACGAATTCTTGTGCAATAAATCAATGATTATAGCATAAAAATAGTATAATATATATTTCAAAAAATAATATGTAAATTGTGGACAAATGATAATCCAGTAGAATTTTATTTACAGTTTAAGTGATGTTAAATGTACATAAGTTTTGAGATAGGCCTGCAATAGAAGAGTACAATTCGATTACCTTTATCGATGGCAGCTTTTAGAGCACAAGTGCCAGTCATTCCTGTTGACCCGAAGATCGCAATTTTATCCATTTTAATTGAGAAGACTTTTCACTGTAAAATATCCAAGTTTCTGAGCGAGATGTGGATGAGTTGATCAGCTGAACGCAGATGAATATATCTGCTTAAAATCAAACTCGAAATTCTTTATGTTTCTTTTAGTCCTCTTTGATGATACCTCCATCTAGGTTTCACACTTGAACTGACTAGTTCATCTCCTGGATAATAGATGGATATATTTCAAATCTTTTTCGTACATGCAAAACTTTTTACATTCTTTCTAAACTCTCAGTACAACAATACTATTTTTCACTATTGCTATTGTACAATTTAGATATTATTGATTTGTTTTAAGTAAAGAATAATTGACCTTTTTGGATGCTATTTTATTTATAAAAAGGTCAACAATATTTTTTTTTTTAGATATTCTGAACTTCTTTGCAAATTGCATATAAACTTGGTTAGTTATTATTTCATATTTATATTTAAACATTGATACAAATTCGGATTGCTTGTTTTCTAGTCATTAGTTTGTACTCGAGGATGGAAATTAGATATCAAACGTGGTCTTTCTTGGATGGTATTTGCTTGCTCGTAGATTTAAGAGGTGAGCATGCAGTTTTATCGAAATTATCATTGTTTCAATCAACACATAGATACTCATCAAAATAAAATATACTTTTACGTTTTAAATATTGGTATTTGGTTGTACGGTGGTACATAGAGTATTTTGAGAAAAAAATCTAATAAAAGTGATTAGGCTTAAATGTTTTATAACTATTTTATAATTATATATGCAATATCATTTACATCATGTCATTTCATCATTTTTTTTATCAATTACCATATAGGAAAAAAATATATTTTTAGAGCTATAGAATGCAACTTATTATAATATCATCACATATTTGATAGATGTATATGATAAATATCGTTGATTAACGCGTAAATTTGATTGTTTTATACGAAATAAGATGGATTTTCCGTTGGCTGTCCTGGTAAAGCGTTGGAAAACAAAAGATAATCGCATTGGATACGGCCGTTGTTGTTGATGTTGATTGTAAATAACAACGGCGCGTTCATTTTGCGAATTTCGCCAAGTTCGATTTTTCTCGTTTCCGGCTGCGGCGAGGCAAAGCTGCTTTGATCTTCGAGTGTCCTTTTTTGTTTCTCCTCCAATAATGATGATGAGTCGCGGAGAGGGTGGAATTGTTCACCTGAAGCTGCACCGTTTCCGGCCGGATGGAACGATTGACTCGGTACAGGTGAAGTACGATAGAAAGAGCCAGAAGTACATGAGCCGCACACCAATTCTGGTCAATCTGGCTACGATGCGGACGCAGATCGTACCGGACGAGGAAGGTTTCAGGTTCAACTGCAATTTAAATTTCAACGATTCCTCACTGCGTGTGGTCAAACTTGGAGGGGTGGAGGATTTGAACCCATTGAACTACGCTGCGGAGATTTCGACTGTATTAGGTGATCAACAACCGCAGCTTGTTAATCATCCAGAGGAGAGTAATGGTAGAAGTTCAGGAATGACTTCTTTATTGCCGATTGCAGTGAAGAGGGAGTCGAAGGTGCCGAATATACCGTCGATGATCAGATGTCAGAACTGCGATACGCACTTCCCCACAAAGTACCAGTTCCAACGGCACCAATGCGAGTTCAACGCGGAGAAGGTGGTGTTGAAGCCGAACGTAGATGTGAAAGATGTGCAGAAGGGCGTGAGGATGAAGTTCGATTGTCCGACCTGCGGCAAGCAGTTCGTAAGCAAGAACAATCTGGAGCGACACCTGACGAGTCACGATGAGGATAACGTCAACATCTGCGAGTACTGCAACAAGCACTTCGTTAGCGAGAACCGCCTTCGAATCCACAAAGAGAATCACTGCAAGAAAGCCGGAGATATATCCAAGTTTTATCGAAGCGATGTAACTGTTTGGAAGTGCGTCAAATGTTACCAGGTGTTTTCTTCGGACGCGTACGCCAACAGCCACGCCGACAATTGTAATGATATACTCGACCCGGAAGACTACAGAGTCAAGGGTTTGGATGATGATTCCGAGGCGGTAACTCTTAAGGAGGAAATCAAGAGCCTTCTTACGGATGCGCCCGAACTAGTTGAAGGTGACCCGTCCAATTTGCACCTGATCACCAGCAAGTACGTTGAGAAGGTGATCACGGAACTGTTGCTACAGTGCGAGTATTGTAACAAGACGTACTCTGATAAGAAGTCTCTTCTGATGCACCAGAAGACGCACACCACCGAAACCAATTACAATTGTGTCGTTTGCTGCGAGGTGTTCAATGCTTACACCCAGGCCGGTAAGCACTGGCTCACGAAATGTTCCAACGAAGCCAATCTTTTCTATTTACCGAAACTGACCTATTGCCATTATTGTGACAGGACCTTCAAGTCCCACGAAGTGCTCTACTCGCATAAGATCAAGAAGAAACATTACACGCCCAAGAGGTACATGAGCGAATCATCGCCACAACCACCGCCTCCAGACAAGGAGGAAAACAAAGAGACCATAATCAAATTGATCGAGGACGTGCTCTGCTCGATAAAGCTGAACGCTCACGATCACTCGCAAGACAGGAAACACACCTCGGAGGTCAATAGTCATGAGGTCACAATTAAGACGGAAGCCGTGAGCGAAACGAGCAGCCTGATCATCTCCGAAGATGCACCGGAAACGGAAGGTCTGACCACTAACGGCAAGAAGAAACGAGGCCGGAAGCGCAAGCACAACTCGCAAACATCGAAAGGCAAAAGGTTGGCAGCCAACGTCGAGCCAGGCTACAAGTACCAGTGCGAAAGGTGCATCCAGGTCTTCGATAGCGTCCTTGACCTGGAAACACACCGAGACAAAGAGCATCCGGCGAACTATAAATGCGAGGAATGCGATCAGGTAATTATCCACATCTACTTTAGCATTGATTCTCTTTTATAAAATTTACAGTGATAGCTACTAGTCTAGTTCATACAAAAGTATTTGACCTATTCATTGCAAATTTTTGCTCGGTTATTGATGACTGTTGATTTGGTTATTTAGGTCGTTCACAGTTCTAAAGCATTGCTGATCCATAGCAGAGCTCACCAGAGTTTGAAGCCGTACGTGTGCGAGATTTGTAAGAGGTGCTACTCGCAAACATCGCATCTGTGGCAGCATATGCGATTTCATCAAGGTAAAATAAACATGCAAGAGTCATGGATCACAATTATCACGCATTGATAAAATTCGCTCTTTCAAGGTATAAAGCCTTTCGCGTGTCCTCACGAAGGATGCGAGGCCAGATACACGATCCGTCCAGATCTAAAGGATCACATCCGAAAGGTGCACACTAGAGAGCGCCCCTTCAAGTGCTCCGTATGCGACAAATGCTTTTTGACTGGCTCCGTCTACTACCAGCACCGACTAATCCACACCAACGATCGTAGATACGCGTGCGACGTACGTACCTAATTCTTGTTTTCAAACCCAACCTTTTAATCCTATAATCATACGTCACAACCAATCCCACCTTTCCTGTAGATCTGCAACAAACGATTCTTCAGGGCGGACGCCTTGAATAACCACCGAAGGATACACACCGACGAGAGGCCGTACCCGTGTGACGTCTGTGGAAGACACTTCAGACAGAAGGGTGATAGGAACAAGCACGTGCGCACCCAGCATCCCGAATACCACGTTTAAAAAAAACTTCCTTTATCAATTAAGCTCAACATTTACTATTCAAAACTAGTATTAAATAGTACAGTAAAAAACATTGTGAAAATAAAAAATATATATGTTGCAAAAAACACAAAATTCAAAACACGCAAAAAAAAACATTCTACAGCCAAGTCACGCCGTTCTTCGATTTTCCGGCTAAGATCACCTCCTGCCTTTGATCGAAACCGAGTTCCGTAGAATTATCGGAGATGTTGTCCTGATCCGTGTCATCTTCCTCCTTAATCACGTTCTTCTGCAATTTCAGTAGGATGGAAATCAGGGTAAATTCATTAATTTTTGTACTTACTCGTCGCAGGTGATACACCGTTATTTTAAAGTCACTTCCTTTTACTAATCTAAGAATTAGCGTAGCCAAGAATAGACACCAGAAGCTCAACGCCAGGAAATTACAGATTTTTATGGTCTGAATATAGGCGTAAGCATCTCTCTCCTCCGCATTAAAGATCAACGTGTAGACGTTCAAGTCTTGGCTACAGCTGAAATTAAAAAGCCACTAATAATTAAATACGCCGAAGACACGTTGGAGTATTAAAGTACCTAGTGGAGTTGTTCTGAGTAGAAAACTCTGAGCAGAACGCGTCAATTCCTATATTCAATTTGATGTAGGCCACGAAGAGAACAACCGATACCACGAAACCTATCAGGATGGAGGGAAAGACGATGGTCCAGGGACTCGTGTATCTGAAAAAGAGTTTGGATGGAATTCGATTTAAAAGATAAAATGTTACGAGGTAATATACACATCTCCGCGATTTCCGGCACCGCCCTTAGACACTATGCCAAAGAAAGAGACCAGTATCAGTCCAACTATGCAAATGAAAATGTTCGTGAAGAGGCAGTAGTTGCAGTCCTCTTTGGATCCCCAATGCGTGGACGGAGTGTTGAAGCTCATGTTGTAGGGGTATGGACCCACCGGTTTATATTGATTGTACTTGTTGATGTCTTCGAAGTCCAGATCGGCATTGAGCACGCAGTTTTTACCGAAGGCGTTGAGCAAAGCTTCGAAGTTGTATGCCACCAAAAAGCAGCAGGCGTCCGCACATATCAGCGTTAGGATGTGACAAACTGAGAAACACAAAGAAAAAAATAGTTAGATTAGTCTTAACATGAGACATTTCTTGACGCGCGTTAAAAAACAACTAGTGTTTGCACCGGTAATTGGAAATTTCCTGACAAACTTTCGACATCTCCTACTCTGTATTAATTAATTTTTGAACGAAAGTTTATTAATTATTAACATGATAATTTAATGAAACTTTTTCTTATGCTAATGAAATTCAAATTCAAAGCCCAACTAATTATAAAATATAATGTAATGCTTAGATTATTGTGAACTAGGAAATCGTTTATATTAACTATACTAAGAACAAATTGATAACATTAAATTAGCGCAGAATAAAAAAAATAATAATTTTAGTATTGCAATTAGCAATTAATTTATTGAAATAATAAAAGTGAATGCGTTTCTGTAAGTGAAATATGTAGCAAGTGTAATTTGATATCTACTTGCAGTAGGTTAAGGTTGTTTTAGATGTCGTTATAGAAACGACAATGATTGAAAAGGAAAATATAAACATCGACAATTTGCTTTATCTGCCACTGTTTAAATTGAAGTATTACTGTTAATGGGATTTGGTAAATATTTAAATAGCATCATGAATGACGCACACTCGGAATGCCTAAGTAGTTTTCGATGATGTCATACCGCTGCAGCAATAATAATTATGAAAACTATTTACGTAAACTAATTAGGACTTTGATGGTTTAATTATTATCTGGTTCGATAAGAATTTGAGGTGGTTAAGCGAAGGCAGCAAAGATGTTAATTGGGGTTACTGGTTTGTTTGCATTGTTGTAATGTTAGCAGATGTAAGGTGAACGAAACTAAACAACAGTTGTTATTGTTGTTTTACTGTTGACAACTGCAGTATCGTGTCTTACTTTTCCAGTAGATGGGCACCAGACGCGTCTCCTTCTCGGCGATTCGAAAATATCGATCGAATTTTGGCATCTCGATGATCGTCTGCACGCAGATCGCGTTCACGTAGTGTGCGTAAAGTTAAAAATAAACATTAAATCATCGATGGATCAACATGAATACGACGGATCGGTTTCTCGAAAAGCACGCACGCATCTTCTAGCCTTCGCCTACTCTGCAGAGTACCACCACCAAAACCGGACGAACGGATGGTAGACACACCCTTTCTTCTCTTCCTACGACTTCCACTGGAAACAGCTGATCGTCGTTCAGTTTGTTGTTAGCAACCGCCTTCTGGTTTTCCTCCTCCTCTACGGAGCGGCCGTCTCTTGTTGTTCGAGAGGTTGTATAACATTCCCCATCGATCCGCACACTACGATTGAACACAACCGACCAACAAACTACGCCTGACCACTTATCTAATCTACTTCTGAATGCGGTGTTTTATTTATCCTAATATTTGTATGCCGATTCCCCGTGTGTGCTTTCTAGGTCCCACATTATGTTTATTAAAAACATAACATATTTTTCAATATTTTCTTTGAATTAGATACATTTAATCCAATGATCTTTTCAAAACTCTTTCATTCCAAAACGAATCAAATGATTTTAAAATTTTATGGAAACTTATATTCACTTAAACTAATCTTTATATTTGGAAATATTAAAGTTATTGACTTTGACGCCGTTTCTTTATTTATACACATAATTTAGATAGTTATACTTGCCAAGTAACTTGTCAAATATCGCGTTAGCACGCGTTTTGGTTTGCTTCGTTAGCAATTTATTAAAATATTGGAAAATGCGTATATTTATGTGTGTTTCAAATGTCCTCTGCGTATGTTTGAATAAATTATAAAAGCGCAAAACGCAGTAACCGCAATATTATACAGAACGAGATTTGCTAAAGATTAGAGAATAATTTGAAGGTTATCATCGAGGTGCAAAATATTAATATTTTCTATATTAATGTTATAAAATATAAATTTTTCATAAATAAAGAAAAATCTACAGCAATTATTTTATCTTTTTTATTTAACATATATATTATTATTATTTTGTTCTTTTAATTTTGGATGATTTTATTTGTATAGAAACAAAGACTTAATTTTTAAGCTGAGAACATGCTGAAATCTGAACATTTAGAATACCTGTAAAAGTCTCTTGAAATTGAAATTTACACTGCGTTATTTTTAAGCATTTCAGCAGAGAAAGTCGCGCTCTCTTCGAGTGCGACAAAAGCGTATCGATTCGACGATAGCGAACCATGGCATTGTTTTTATTGTTGTTATGTAAATCGTTTACGTGGATGGCGAGTGCCGCGATGGGAAACGTAAAATAATGGATGTACCTAGTTTCTTCTTTTCCCCCCTTGTGTTTTTCACGTTCCGGCGCGTTTTCCTCGGTTGCGCAGGTCGGAAAATGTGCGCAAACTGACCCCGCGTTGTGTGAGGGGGGTTTGAACCGATGGGGAAGGTTCCGAAGAGAAGGGCTCTTGCGCCGCAAAACCCACCTACCTACCAACAACTTGAGCACGCAACAAATTTCAGTAGAGACCCGAATTCTGTGCCGATCGTCCCAAAACAAAAATAATAACAATAACAACATAATAATAAGATTATAGGAAAATTAGTATACAGCGTATTCAGATTAATTTTGGCTATCGTTTCGTGTTTTGATGTTAGTTACATAGTTTCGTGCAATTGTTTAGTGTTACTTCGTTTTTATTTATTTATTTATTTCTGGTGTATCATGATTATGTTGTGCAAAGAGGACGTCTTCGGAAGATTTCCTATAGAGTAGCCGCAGTGTGTCTCTTATTTTGTGGTGGTTTCAATTGTTTTGTGACTGGGCGACGCGATGTTGGCTGTATCAGATCAAACCGGAGTCAGCGGTGAGTGCTTCATCCCAATTGGATCATGAAATTTCTGTTCTGTTGATGATGATGACTATAATCATCACAATTTCAATGCATTTCTATGCGTTTTGATGAAGGAAATACACATACAACACGCAATTGATTTTCACTATGCGTGCGAATGTAGGTCAGAAGGGCATCCTCTACTATGTAGGTCAAAATTTTGTCACATTCCCGTCAAACACTTTCCATTTCTCCTCGCAATTCATTCAATATGTTCATATACATAACAATTCGCGATATGCCTTCAATTTTCTTCGACTCATCTGCATTTGATCCATGAATCGATTAACTTCTGCGAACGAAAGGTTGATAGCACTGATATTCATATATTTTTATCTTTCATTTACGATACAAACAAAATCTCCAAATTATTTAGTTATTATATTTATAACAAGTAATGAATATCAATTTTAAAGAAACTACAAATAGTTGATAAACGAAAATGAATGATACATTGTCATGTATAATTTAAGTAAAGTTTAACTATTGACGAAAAATGTAATGTCCAAACTAACAACGCTAATTAATAGGTTCAATCGATAGTTGCTGTTGAAAGATAAACGAGACATGGTCCAGACACGCTGTTTACACTGCCCCAACAAATATTGATTCCGAAATGGCAAATTTGCAATAACATTAAAAGGATGTGGGTTTATCTCCTAGATAAATCCAATGAGTTACAGATTTTTTAATTGATTATTGTGACAATGACAGTAAGACAATTTTAATAGCATATTGCAGGTAAACTACGAATAGGAAAATTATGGTTCCAGTCACGATTTAAAGATCATATATACCTTAAATTTAATTAATCAATTAATTAATTGCTATTGTTATCGAGTCGTTTCTTCAATTTTAACAGCTGATTGGAGGAAAATGACTAATTTTAGAAATATGATTTTATTTCCTATACATTTATATTTAATTCTATTCTATTCTACGAATAAATCGCTATTGTTGGGTTGTGTTTGAGTGTGCAAAAAAAGAGTCGTTTGGAATGTTGTTTATTATAAATAATCTTACGTCAAAATATAAAAATAGTAGAGGTGGTGGTGGAGGAGGAGGAAGAGAATGAGTCTTACAACTTCAAGGTCTTCTCGTACTCGTCGTACTTCAACTTGTACTCGTCCCAGTCGGCCTTGTTCTCGCAAGCCCACTTCTTCTTAGAGTCACCCTTTCCGTTGGTGCACCAGCTACCTTCGGCATCGGTGAGGATGGCCGAGACCTCTTCGGAGCAGACGCACTTTGGCACCTCCGGCAGGTTGCATGGTTTGGCGTGTGCTACCATCACTCCCAGACACTCCACTTTTCCGCCTTCGTTCTTCTCCGCTTTGTAACCCTCTCCGCACTTGCACTCCTCCAGGGTGTATTCCAAGCAGTTCGCGTGCAGCATAGCCAGCGAGATCAAAATAAACGCGCACTTGAACCTTAAATAAAAACAACAATGAAACAACAGTTTTTTCCTCTTCCCCAAAAGCTACTTACATGTCTGTAGATCCTTGTATCTTCTGACCTTTAAACGCGAAATCGTTGGAATCCAATTGAACTGTTTCAACCGTCTTTTTATACATTCTCACAAGTTCCACCACTTTAGTTAACACATCCTCCCCACTCCACTCATCAACTGTACGATCTTTTCATAACTAATACAGAAAAAACTCACTATGCATTCACTAAAACAAAATAAAAACATGTCACATTTCATCATAAACAATTCAATATTTAGTCCTTATTTCAAAATCAAAAGTTCAACTCTCGTTCTAATCGTTTACAGCTCAAGCGTAATATTCATTATAAACTCAAATTGGAAGACGCTAATTAATTGAGGTAAAATGAAATTGCAATGAGATTTCTCATCATCTCTCGGTAAATGAAACCGCAGAATTGTAAAGGAAAATCCCGCATCTCGTCAAATTTTATTCACTGTTTCTGCAATATATACATATGCAATTTACTTAACCAAATAAATGTTAATATATAAATTGAATACAAAACGCAATGTCCATAATAATTTCGAAATAATTAATAAAATTATATATGTAAACATATATTTTTTTGTTGTTGCGTTGATACGTTTTATTTGCGAGAAGAGGTCATCCGGATAGATTAACATAAATTAGCATCTCGAACATGCAAGATTCGAATCCGATCGCGGCAGAAGGACACGTTTTTTCGCTTTGTTTTTCATATTGTTTAGTACTGAAAAATGAAAACGTGTTTCATATAAATTAGTCGCGTTCTTGGAAACGCTCGAGATAAGTTGCATTGCATTGCGATTTGGGATTTCCACGATGATCCCGGTGATTCAGGATTGTTATCGTGTGATGATGGTGCGTGGGTGCGACCACTTGTTGGACGATTTTCCGATCCGAAGTGAAGTGGTCTTCGTCGATGACGATGAAATTTCCAATAATTTGACGAGAATGACGGGAGAAAAACAAGTGCAAAATAGAAACAACAATATCACGACATCGGAAAATCACAGTTGGCAAATCGGATGTCAACTGAATCATATTTTATATAATATTCTATAAATTTCATAGCGTATTACATTCGAATACAATTCAATTATCTAAATAAATATAATACTTAATAGTTTTAAACACTTAGCATTAACTAATATCGTTATGTTATAAATGTTTTTTTTTTATAATTATCCATTCTTTACCAAAAATACTGTCCAAATGTTATACCTTTTATCTTCACACCGAAGAAATATTTAAATAAAGAAATAGTTTATTAAATATCTTCTAATTTTTGTACGATTTTTGTTTTCATTAATAACTATCAAATAAATAAACATATTTGAGTTAGGTATAACTAATATTAAACATAAATAAAGATCGAATCGAGATATGCTTCCTAAAAATGAAATGACTTGTAGGGGTTTACAAAAATCACATCAAAGCCATCTATTATGAAATCTAATTTTCCAATATATAAAATTGGAAATTTAGTTAAGGGGGAAGGAACGAGTCTGCAGCAGGAAGATGCTGACGACCACTTGCTGGATTTCCATGCAGATACAAATAACGTGGGCGAAGGGAGTACGGAGATGCAGGACGCAGACTAGACGGCCGCCCACGCAAAATGGGTCCTTCCTGATGACTTTCCCCCCGTTCGTCCCTCCCTACCCCCGATCTTCCCGGCGCTCTTATCGATCCAGAGACGCCAGGTTAGTTCAATGAACAGCTACCACCCTACCACACATCAACCCACTTCCCCTACCTACGGATCGACCAATTACAGCATTCCAAAATTGCATTCATGCACTCTCTTCTCTAAAAAAAAAAAACGAGAACAAAAAAGGGTTGTAAACTCTCATTGCGTGGATATCAATGAATTACACTCTCTTTGACTACTCTTCCATCATATTTGGTTATGTAAACGCATTGTTAGATGGAGAGTTCCGCGGGGTACGGTTCTGCGTCCCTTTACCGTTCTTTCATAAAAAAAAATGGGGCAATTATATTGAAGTGGTACTAAAGTAGTCAAGTGCAGGCTTTTCATTGCATGATCTATCTGAAGTTTTTAATTGATTTACAATTTTAATATTTAGTATATAAAATATTAAAATATCAGTTCATTTTATTGCAGATTTTTTTTATATTTATTAATATCTATCATCTGACATAGATATCAAGCTTTACAAATGTGGTAAAAAGAAAATAAAGCACTTAAATACTTAATGAAAAGATGATACAGCAAACTTATTTCATATATACAATAATTGTTTATGCACGTGCAAACATTAATTTATTAATTATTAAAATCGGTTGGGTAAGTCTTGCAGTTTAAACCTCTTCACTCTTCGACGATGATCTGCAGTATGCATTAGCTCCGTAGCCAGTTGGTTTGGGTGATTCTCTAGCCGATTATGGTATCTTGTGCTAGCCTTTGCTATTTCTTCCTTGACGAAACTAATGTTACCTTGCTTATGGAGCTCATCGTTTGTGAAGAACCATGGAGCAATGGTAATTTTCCTCAACGTTTTGGACTGGAATCTCTGTATTATATCAATACTGGTGTTACAGGCAGATCCCCAAAGCTGAATGCCGTAGGTCCATATCGGTTTTAAAATTTATTTCCTCTATAAATTATTTTCAAATATTATAAATGATATAATTAGACATTTTTCTCATAGCAACTCGAATAGAAACATTAATGATTTATTATTTTAAAAAATCGGTTCTAAAATGAACATAGTCAGAGAAAATTACTAAGCATCATTTTAAATTTTCATATATAACTTTGGAATAGATGAAGAAGATGCATTAATAGTTTATAAACAATAGTTCTTTCTATGTGTATAGAATATACTGAGTATTATATTATTCAATTTATAAATCGAATTGTACAAAAGTATCAACTAAGATATTTAAAATGAAATTTTTTTCTTTTTTTTGTGAATGTTTCAGCTACGGACGGTGGTGGTGGTGCTATTCTAGGTGCATTCGCAGGTATCTGTGCCCTGATCGTCGTCTTCCTGCTGTACCTGAACAAGCGTTGGTGGTGGAACACCGTTGGATCCATGGGCTGCTGCGACGAGTCATGTCCACCCGTGTCCACGCGACCGGCACCATCGCCGACGATGCTGCCTCCTGCTGCTTCAACGCACCCCATCAAACCCAAAATAGGTAGGTAAAAACGATACCTACCTAATGAGTATGGTTCATCGATTTATCAGTCGCGATGGAAAACGGTATTAAACCCGATGACGTACGGACGACGAAAAAAAAAATAAATGGTACTTCGTGGTATCGGTTTATCGATCCTCTCTTTTCGTGTGATACTCCAGAATGATTTCGATCGTCCGAGACTTAGACACGCGTGTGAAATCCACACGCTCGGAACGCACATCGTCCATATCCATCTCTTTTTGATGTTTAACACTGGTTTCCTGAAATTCCGTAAGTTACAGCCCGATGCACTCGAACTTCGCAATAACTCATTATTAAAACAAGAATACAAAAACAAATAAACAACAACGAAATAAAACTAAACTCGGCTAATTAAAAGCGAGCCTCGCCCTGCTGCTAATTGCCTCTGCACGTGCGGAATTAATTGGCTCTATCATTCCTTCTCTTTATTCCAAATCAAAATTTTATGTAATTTATACGGAAAGAATCAATACAATGCATAAATTGTTTTTTTTTTGTTGTTATTTTATGCACATATCGATAAAATGTTGCACGAATTAGATTGTAGTGCATTAGCTTAAGGGAAACCAAATGTGTTTAAAACCTAGATTTTGAATTCGTCTCGACACAACTTTGTAATTTTATTTATAATTTGCATATTGTTTAATCCAATTAGAGTTTGTGTTTATCAATCGCCAAATTCAATTTACATTATCAATAATATAATATATAAGTTTTATAGTTTCCAAATTAATATAACATTTTTTCATGATTAGAAAATAGTTTATAAATAAAAAGAATAAATAAATAAATATGGTATAGGATTCGAGTAATTAGATAAAACGTAGACACATAATGTTCGAAAAGTTGACATATTTCATTCAATAATTATTATTACAGTAATTTTTAAAATATGCGTATTATAACCTTTCCAATGTAATTGCAAAAAAAGTTTTACAGTTTTGAAGTTAATAAATAAAATTTTGGCCTTTGTAACATTTGAAATTTTCTTATTTCATTATTATGATTATATACATATGTTTTCTGATCTGATTATTACTTATGAAATACAAATTTTAAAATAATTTGACAATAGTGTTTTAATGAAATATTGATTTTCAGTGAAAGAATATTCGTTCGATGGAGGCGACTCGAGCAGTGAAAGCGAAATGGGTGGTCCGGTTAAGGGAGGACAGCAGGAACAGCTGCAGTCGCAGGCGTCGGGTGCGACAGGGCCATACTTTCCGCCAAGGCAGATGCACGATCTAATTTCTTTGGTGGAGAAAGGCCGGGTGGGTCTTCTGAGCAGCAACAGCTCCTGCTGCAGCTCGACGACTAGTTCCGTGGGTGAGAGGCACGGAGTCATGCCTACAACCAAAGTAACTGCGCAAGTGAGCATGAACATCACCAGGTCCGTACTTCTCGAAATTTTAACTCTACCTGATGAATGTAAAATGTATATTTGGTTGTAGAACTCCCACGAGCACCTTGAGAGAGACCAAGATCGACAATCACCAGGAGCATATGCTATACCAGAAGATGACGGAGGAGGTGCAACCGCCGTCGCAGCCTCAGACCGAGCACACGGATATCAACAGCAACAGAGATGTATAGTTTTAATAATTATGTAGAGAGATGATGAATCATGATCAAACTTTGGTTTTAGTGTATCGTCGTGATGAATACAGAGGGTGACGGCAGCGAACTGGTGTCCTGTGTGGGCTCCGAGCCCGAAGAGCAGACGATGAGCAAATGCGGTAACCTGGAGATTGCCCTCCTCTACGACGCGCCCATGAGGAAGATGACCGTGCACGTGCTGCAGGCCCGCGAGATACCGAGCAGGGATCGCGGCCAACCCACACACACGCAGGTACACTTACCACCTCCAAAATCACATTTTAAATACTACTATTCACGTGCTTGAATTCGATGCAGGTGCGGTTGTTACTATTGCCCAGTAAGAAGCAGAAGCACAAGACCAAAATCAGGTCGGGCGAGAATCCTCAGTATATGGAGAGCTTCCTCTTGCATCGCGTCAATCCTGGTATAAGACTTTCCGTTTTATATTTTTAGAAGTATTATTAACGTTTTTGTGGTTGCAGAGGATGTGAACTCGATGGGCATCAGGTTGAGACTGTACGGCTGCGAGCGGATGCGCCGGGAACGCCTCATTGGGGAATCTATCGTAGGATTTGCCAACATCAATCTAGAGTTGGAGAATAACTTCTGGCTGAACCTAGAACCCAGGGCCAATACTGCAGTAAATACATTATCATTAATAATAAAAAAAAACAATTATTGCAATTTTCCTACATCATTTAGACTTTAAATTGTTGTAAACATTAACTTATTGATGCAGCTGAGCGGCTGCACCGGTGAATTGATGAGTTTGGCGAGGTCAGATTCTACTGGTTCCACGCACTCCATGCAGCATGGAGGCGTTCCGGAACTGCTTTTGGGACTCTGCTACAACGCAACCACTGGAAGGTTAAGCGTTGAGGTCGTAAAAGGCTCACATTTTAGGTACACACACATCTGATGATATCTCAATAAGTAGAAATACAATTTTGATTGAACTCTTTGCAGGAATTTGGCGTTAAACAGAGCACCAGATACTTACGTCAAACTGCATCTGGTCAGTAGCACTGGTCAAGAGTTGGCGCAGAGCAAGACAACCATCAGACGCGGTCAACCCAACCCTCTCTTCAAAGAAACTTTCGTGTTTCAAGTAAGCTTTTATTATTTTACAAATTATTTGTTCATTCATCGATTACCATCTTAGTTAGATCTGAAAAATCACAATCTACAATTATCTAGAGAGAAAAAAAAACAAGTACGTTAATTGTGATATCACTTAGAAAGTGTTAATCTTCTTCATAATTCATGTGCACACTTCGTTGGTTCTGTTCTATACCATTTATAAGTGTTGCAAATGAAATGTAGGTGGCCCTGTTCCAATTGGCCGATGTGACGTTGATGGTGTCGATATACAACCGACGCGGTGTGACGAAGAAGAAGGAAATGGTCGGATGGTTCAGTCTGGGATTGAACTCGAGCGGCGCCGAAGAGTTGGCTCATTGGATGGACATGAAAGAGTTCCAGCAAGAGCAGATCTCCAGGTGGCACGTCCTGGTGCGGTCATAGCCTCTGCTGCATATCATCTTCTGAAACCAAATGCCGAAAACAAAAAAAAAGTAGGAAGGAAAGAAAGAAAAACGATTGTGATTTTAAATTCTCACTTAATTTAAGTAACAAAAACTCGATTTGTCTTTACGTATTTACTTTTATATCTTAAAGATATCTAAGATCATAGTTATTACGAGCATCCCAGATAATTTTGCGACGATATCAAATGGTTTCAATGGAAAGACTGAAAAGTGTCGTGCTGAAAAACATTATATAAAAACGTTTCGAAACTCTTCGGTTCACTTGAACTGTCGCAGTTCAAATTTTGATTTGATTGAACTGAAGTGGAGCAGATTTTTTGAACGTTTGCCTTATGATTGCGCTGTGGGGCAGAAAGTAATAGGAAAATATTATTATACACACGAAAACGAAAATAACCGAAAACACTCAACACAAACAAACAAATGGGCTAGTGACGAATATTCCAAAGATGTAACAGACTTTTTTTTCTTTAAAAACACACACACGAAATAAAACGACGATGAAACGCGCGTATTATTTTATACTTTACATTGGGTGGCATCAATTAATGAAAAGCGGTCGAACCTCCAGCAACAGATTATTATATTGTGATATTTAAATCGAATTTGAAGATTTGGCGGATGTTAAAATGGAAGCAAAAACAAAACAAAAAGTCTAAATCAAAAAAAAAAAAGTTAGTTTGCGTGAAACGGAATATTCGAGTGAACACATTCAAATAATAATAATATATACATTATTTAACTTTTTAAAAACAAATAAAAAGAAATAGGTACGTCAGTTGATTAGGAAGAAAATTTGTAAAAAAAAACAATACGAAAAATGAACGTAATAAAAGAATTAAGAGTAAAATATATTTTTCATGAAAGAATACTTAAAGGGAAGGGTAAGTAGATTTTTGGAAAGGCCGGTGTTGTTGGAGCGCGGAATGGGTATCCCCTTTTCTGTATTCTTTCGCGAACGGAATTTGTCTTTAAATTGTACCAAGCACAAATTAACTATAGGCTTTATTTACCAAAAGGAACATTTTAAAAAGAAACAAAGAGAGAGTTAAAAATGAGAAGGTTTAGCTAAGTTTAAAAGACTTGGAAATACCCGTGGGGATGGGATTCGCTTTACAATTGAATATCAAACTTTTTTATATATATTACTATTATTATTACTCTTACTACTAATTGTGAAATGGATTAAATGAATTCAATTTATATGAAAGAGAGAGTGAGTGAGAGAGAAAACTATTATATTATATCGACGAGTTTCAAAAATCGATCATAATAAGACAAAACCCGAAACACTTTTTGCTGGTCTTATTAATTTTGTCGAGCGATTTTTGAAATCTATTTCATTTTCGTCAGAAAGATAAATATATAAATAAATTTAAAAACAAAACAGACATATATATATATATATACTCATTCAAAAGATATAAACATTTATTTGTTGTTGTATAAATATATATTACCTATATATCAATATATTATATGAGAATTTTGATTGGATGAGGAAAAAAGGCGTCAATTTGATGTGTTCAAGTATTAAGAAAAAAACAAACAAAAAATATTGATATTGAAACGTATATTAAATTATATTATATTTAAAAGTTCATACTTTCAATCCGAATCTGTATTTGTAATATGAATGCAGCGTTTTATGTGTGATAAGTAAATGTGATTGTAAATTTCAAGAAAAAAAAAACAATTTGATGGAATTTATTGGTGAAATTGGAAGAAAGACGGTGCTTTTAATAATCAATTGGCATTACTGAATTGGCAGAAAGTTTATTTATGAGAAAAGAGAAATTACTTATTTATATATTTTAAAGAAAGAAACTTTATAAGTAGTTGGTAACGGTGAGATGTCTTTTTTTTTGGTATAGTACGTGCATGTTTCAGAAACGCATTTCGATGTGGAAGTCTCGTGTAAATAATTGTGTGAAGGAGCTCAACAAAAATGTTAACTCAATTACCGCATCTCACACAAATTCTCCACACCTCCCTCCACCCCATCCCTCCCTCTTCCCCATCCCTACTCTACTCTATCTGTAACTAGTAATTAATTAATTAAGATTGTATCGATCGATTTATATTGCATAATGGGTGTAATGCAGCAACTTTTGTACGTTATTTCTACGTTAATCATTTGAACTTTTAATAGTATTACCAACAAACATTACTGCAACAACAACAAAAATGCAACAAATTACTACGAACAATTTGCATTTGGTAACGTTAAAATTAAAAAAAAAAACATTTTTGCATTATATAAGATAAATTTTGCACGGCTAAAAACACAATCTGCACCAATTTACTTTTAAATGAAATGCAAAAAATTTAAATTATAATGAAAAAAAAAAACTTTTTATGGATTATTGTAATTCTACATTTTGTACTAAATAAATTAAATTTATGTCACCTGCAGCGTTTCCATCTTAAATTCCTACCTTTATTTAAGATTTGTGACAAATTCAACGTAATAATTTAATGATCAAAATGTTGATGGTCACTGTTATTTTTAATTTTAAAAATATTATGTGGCGCCATCTCCATTCGAGTTACCAGTTATGGGACAAAATGATTCCAGCTAATTTTTCGTTCGAATTAAATACAATTAGAAAAATTCCGTAATCTTGCATTCAATCAATATTTAATGAATTGTGAACTCTAATATTACCTCATTAAATATCTTATATTTTATTTTTTAACTTTGGTTGTGCCATCTAACGGAATTCTTTTATAACTACTAGATACACAAACTTGACATTGCTTGACATCTGTCATAAAGGCTGATTAGGTCGATTTGGTGAAGGAAATTTTGTTATTATCGGCACATAATAATCAAAAGGTAAATCAATTAGAATATTCTTTTCTTATTTAATGAAGATTTTGCAATATCTCTAAAGACTTATTGACTGTGGTAACGTTATATAGACTTTGTGGTATTGTGTTGTTATGTCATAGGAGAACATAACCTGACCTGTATATAAAGTGAGCTGCATATTTTTCAGCAGCGATGGATGTCAGCCCTTTCTTCCGTACTCCTTTCACAGATTTGACAGGTTGCCTTATCAGTCACCAGTGGTATGGCAGGTGTGCAGACTTGGAGTTGAAGACTGTTGAATGTTTGGAAGCGTATGGCATGGAGAGAGGCCTCAGAAAGTGCAGTGATCTTATGCAGGATTTCCGCGAGTGCGGATTCCGCACTAAGCAGATCAGTCGTAACGTGGCGATGAGGGATGAAAGGGAGCGACAGTACAAAGCGGGAGAACGCAGCGCAGCGAACTTGTATGCAGAACCACCAAAACTAGACAGTTTCTAACTGCACTATCTTAAATAATACAATACGAACTGTAGTTATGTTGTAAATAAATTGAATAACAGGTATTATTACAAAAGCGTGTTTTTTTTTTCGTTCAAATTGCGTCCCGAAATAAATATAAATAAATAGCAACGCGTTCACATTGTAGGCAACCATACTGTCACGGTTTTAATATCAAAATTTGTTCTATCCTTTTAAAATGTATATTGCAGGAGTAAATGTAATAATTTCTTAATTATTATTTTATTGAAGTATATAGGTGGTTTTGTTAATGGACTGAAGTTGTCTTCATTTAACGGGTAACTTGTCTACAGGGAACTAAAGACTCGCAGGTCAAGGCCGATGATTTAAAAAGCGCGAGGTCATTACGGTTCAATGCGTTATGTGTACCTTTTCCTTCTAAATCCATCTGCGCTCTGTGATGAGAGTCCGTTGCTGAAACAGTTTCAGCCACTGGAAGTCTTTATATAGAATTCAAGTAAGTAAAAAAATAGCCAGCAAACAATAATATTTGCAGACTCACTTGTGTATATGCTAGTAACCTTTCTATTTCTGTATTTTGAGTACATATATATACTCACTTGCATATATATATATATATTCTTATTGTTTTGTCCTGTTACTTTCAAACGCGCCAACAGCAGAGAACTTATTCCATTTGTGGCTTTCACCAGAGTTGCATCAAGAAACATGACGATTAGTGTTGACACTCAGATCAGGTACCTGGTGCAGTGGTTTAATGAGTGGAGTGAGTTGCAGAGATCTGACTTCCTTCCAGTTATTGCAGAAAATTTTCTTAATAAAACATATGTCAATGGTATTGTAAACAGTATAGCAAATGTGGATTGTCAGGACAAGCCAATGTCTTTGTTCCAATGCAGGGTGAGTATGCATATTCAAAATTAAAAGAAATAAAGCGAATAATGTTTGCTTTTTTGCTTGTAGATGAAGCTGTTTAGGGAGTGGATTCCACAGTGGTCTTCAGAGCACAGGGACAACTACATGAAGCAGATTACAGAGATTGATCCAGATTTTGGGGAGAAACTAAAGCAGGAGATGCAGAATGGGGTTCATTCAGAGATGAATGGGGTGGGAGATGAGCTGCTGGAGGACTGAAGTATTTATTTAGTTAGTTTTTAAGTTGAATTTTATATAAAGAGTTATTTTATTTTTTATTTCTTACAGTAATGTTTTTTTTTGTGATAACGCGTGGGTGGGAAACTCAATATGTTTTTTGGTCATCATGAAATTCAGCAACATATCAGCTTCAGCTCAGATTAATTACTTTGTGATAAATGTTGTATAATAATTTATAATAAACAGTTTATATATTTATTTATATTTTTAATTTACAAAAGTGTTTTTTGGTAGGGAGAGGGACACGTATACAGAAAATAAAATTTTATAATATATTAATATGTTAAAAATAAATAGCGTAGTTTGTTTCACTAATCTTGTCCATAAAATCACAGCCTTCGTAGCTCTCTTAGCTCCACGAATATTGTCTTAAGTGTCCTTATGCGAATGTGAATGAGTTTGCAATAGTTTCTGGCAGAGTTTCTTGATGTCCGGCTTGTTGAGTAGTTCCGCCTCGCGCATTATCCTCCTCAAGTCTCCGCTTCTGTTGTACTTTGCTGCCAAAAGGTAGGCGCTCTTCAATTGCTTGGTTTCTATGTACATGGATATCTATACGAAAAGAAGATCTGAGTAAGTGATGAGTGTGCAAGTGATTACAGTTTACCTTGATGTTGCGATCCGTTATTAGTTTGATAAGCATCTCCAATTGGGAGGTGGATGTAGCTTTGTTGGAGCCGAGAGTACGTACTGCTGTTGCAAGCATCTCATCGCACATGTCAATTACTGAAGGATCGTTTTCACCTTTGGAACGGATGCAGTTCACAAGTTGAGCTATACCTTCATACCTCTCCTCTCGCGCCAACTGACGTCCTACCTGGCAGTACACCTTAATCGGTTTCAATTTAAAATCGGTTATGATCCTGTAATATGTAAAGCAATTTAAGAATATCATCACAATATACCGTGTGATTTTTATAGAATTACTTGTCTGCATACTCGAATCCCTCTTCGACCAGTTCCCTGCTGAGGATGGTTAAGATGGCCAATTGGATTTTGGCGGAGTGCGAATCAAACAGTGTTGGGATTTGATCCTCCGGGCCTTCACCTTCTGATGATGATGGAATGTATAAGTAAATAATTGCAATGAATATTCGATATAGCAAACCTGTGGAGGTGACCAAATTAGGCAAAATGTTGATCATGTATTTCTCATCCTTAAAGCCGTTTGCGAGGAAGTTGGTAATGATGATCTGGTTTTTGATCGTATTGATGTGCTTATTGATGTTCTTTGAATCGACTTTCATGACGAGCGAGGGATTCGCGAGGGCCTTTTCTTCGTAGCAGTTCTGCTTTTTAACTGTAATCATTCAAAAATGTTGTATTTGATATACAATTTAACTCATATCATACACTTACCCGGGTTGACTTTCACCCACTGTTGCTGCTCCAATTCCTGTCTCAGATGATCCTTGGCCTTGTCCAAGAAGTGTACGTTGAGCAGAAGATCCCTGTAAGACTTGGCGTTCTCCTTGTAGAACCTGATGCATGTCATGGATGCTCGCACGAAGTCTCCCATGAACTGCTGCAGCTGGTACAGCGAATTGAGAAGAGATTGCTTCTCCAGGTGACAGCAGATGCTCCTTAGATAGTCCTTCCAGATCTCCAGCGTCGAATCTATTGTGGACATGCCGCTCTGCAGTTGCTGCACGATTCCATCCTTCAAACAGATTAGGTACACATCGATAAATACGTCCGTGCTCACACTGTTATCCACAATGTAATGCAGAGCCTCGTGCACGTTGTTGTTTTTGATGTAGAACTGCAGAAGACTCAGATGGCTTCCGTATCGGTTCAGATAGTACAGACACTCGTTATAAAAGATCGGATCAATGTGGTTACTGCCGTTGATGCTATTCTTCATATACAAACCAGTCGAAATCATCTTTAGGTTTCTCAGTTTGTACTTAATGCAAATCGCTTGTTCGCTTTCATGATGTTTGCGGTATGTCGTCGACTTTTCCAATTTGTCAGTCGAGTTGAAAGTTTTCCGCTTGTTGACGTCCACCTTCATCGTCTGATTCTCCAGGATCTCGATGATCTTGTTTAGCAGAGGAGGATTTCGCTGTGGCTTCGTCTCGGTCATTATCAATGAGGATTTCGAATGATAATGTTTCCTGATCGAACTGTCCACGCTGTTCTCGTCCAAATCTATAGACATTGAATAGTCGAGGAACTCGTGCGGATGCGACTTTTCGAAACACCTGGAAAAATTTTCCCGTGCCATCTCCAAACATCCAGCCCGCAAGTAACTCTTTCCCCACTCAGCAAACACCGCTATAAATTAAGATTTAAATTTTTGGTATCACATTTTCAACAAACACTTACCAGTATTATCTAATCCTGCTTTGGTGGAGACGTCCAGGGCAAAATTCCACTGTTCCATTTCGAGGAGTTTATCTCTGAGTCTGCGGAGGACTGTGGAATCCACATACGGAGTGCCGTTGTGAGAGGGGATCGGAAGCAAGTTGAGGCATCCTCTTTCGGCAAGAAGACCAAGCAGATCAGCTTGCGAAAGAATCCTATCAGCTTGCGAAGATCCCCACTGCAGGTTACAATCCGAGGACACCATTTTTGCAGCAATCGCCAATGATTTTAACATCTTCACAACAAGGGAATAATCGACTTCTTGAGGTGCATTCGGAGACGTCGGCTGTAGTAGTTTCAGCATGTTCTCGCATTGATCCAGCAGGAATCTGAAAAATAGAGATAGAAATATATAGTTAATAATTGTTGATTGGTATGACCGAGGTTGTGGTTGGTAAATCATTACTTCGGGTATTCCAAACAACGTGAATGATGCTTCATGATGGAGAGACAAAGAGAAACGCTTGGAGCGTGCTCGAAAGAAAACTCCTGACGCAGAATCGCGTTGTGATCGGGATTATCTGTAAGGAACCAATAATCGTACATAATGGATCTGCAGGAGGTTGTATCATTGGAAGAATAATCTTCAGCGTTCGACTGCTCGTAACAATCGATGCAGACACGCACCATTATATCGCCGTATTTGTGGACCTAAAATTTAGGAGATTTAAACAGTTCTGAAAAATTAATTATAAGTGCAATTACGTTCATCCTTTTTGTAGAGCAATTAAAGCAAATAACTCGCCCACATCTTCTGCAGTGATGCCTTCTATTGAACATGGAAAATATTGTATTCTGACAGCACATACATTCCAACACCTATAATCATATGCAAATATTTCAATTTGTATATCATCAATCATTAAATTAATTAATTATTACCTCATTATTAGGCATCCAATCTGATTTATCTGGGACATCATCTGGCATGACGAAGGGTTTTCGATCGGGCCAGTACATAGAGTCCAATGACTGCATCAGTTTGCTGTCGCAGGATTTCAGCAGCTTGGGATGTGGCTGCAGGATGACCCTGAACTCGAGGCTCTTCTCTGCGTATTTTCGCAGAAGATCGTCGATGGTCTCAATCGAAATCTGATTGTCGGCCAACTCGCAGAACTTCAACTTATCCTGCAATGCCTCCATCACCTGTCCGAGCTTGTCCAATTTGGTGTTCATGACTAGTGTTTCGATAATGTTTAACGGCTCACCAATGAGACATCGCATCTGCTCCTGCTCGTTGGGGTTCAGGCATCGCAGGATCTCCAAGCTGATCTGTATGTCGCGTATGTTGCTGGCATCTGGCAAACGCTTCAGCAGGTAATTGATAATGAACTGCAAATGATCTAAGTTCTTTACAGTCTTCAGAAGGTACTGACAAATCTCCACCGATGAATCTCTGCGTAGCAAACTCAGCAGAGATTCGATCTCGTCTAGAGGCTCCTTGAAGCTGAACATCAATTGGATGTAACTTAGGTTTATGTGTTGCTCGTAAACGTCTCGGGATATCGCGTAAATACGCACGTAGTCGAGCAGATATTTGGTTTTTGGTGCTAGCAGCAATTTGCTGATCACTAAGGAAGGATCGCTTATGCACAATTTGTGAGTCTCGAACCAGTTTTCTTCATCGAGCACGGCTTTGATACTTTCGGAAAATTCGATTCGATCCAACCATTCCTTCAGGTCGTGATTGGTGGATTTGGATAGCTCGGATCTGATTAAGGAGACGCAAAAGTCGCCGGGCCAATAAGAGAAGTGATTCATAATGAGATCAACGCGCAATTCGTCATCAGTGACATACTGGATATACTTGAAGTGTCCTTCTTCGAACTTGTCGACCACAAGGTTGCTCAGAATAATGTTTTTAGTATTCTCGTATTCCGCCCAATTTCTTAACTGGATCTCCGGGATGCTCTCAAGAACATCCAAAAGAGATTTCCATTTGAACTTGACGTCCTCTTCAAGAATCTCTTCGGCCGTCTCGAAGCTATCATCCTTGTCGTCGTACACGTTCTTGTCAAGATACTCCACGAAAGCCTTCACCAAATCCTTTCTCAGTGCAGCTTGGATCCTGTTGTTGCCGAACAGCACTGATAGTTGCTTAATGTCTTCTAAGTTCACGAAGTTATTAAAGTACATCGTTCGATTCTCGTTCACTTCCATCGCAAAGTCCAACATGTAGTTCTGGCCAATGATGAACGCAAGTAGCCAATTTCTCTTCTGGATGTATGTGAATACTTGCTTAGCGGGAATATAAGCCCATGTCTGTTCGCCCTGAGTTTCCTCGTAATTCATTCGTACCTTCGGGAAGCAATTAGAGGCAACATGATAGACCAAATCGAGTTTAAGTTTTCCAAAAATCTGATCGAAATCGAGCGGATCAAGCTTGCGTACAAATATTAGCTTCCCAACGAATTCAGTACAGCTCTGATTCAGTATCTCGAAGTAAGATACGTTCCTACCACCGGAAACAAGATCCGCATGGTTCTCTTCCACCTGGAAGATCTTCAGGAACAATTTGAGATAGTTGAAGAGTCGCAGCACATATTTGGTGCTGTTTTTGTCGGAGATCAACTCGTTGATCCTCATGAAAGTCCGATGGGCCGGATGATTGCTGTTGAAACATCCCACCTCCTTCGAATCAATCTGATTGAAGAAATCATTTAGAAAATCATTCAGCTTCGAGTGCGTCTCTAGCTTCGCCCTGTAACTTTCCAAACGCAGCTCGTATTCGGGGTTGCAAAGAATTTCGTTGAAGGAGATGTCCTCGTCGCCGTCCAAGAACTCAAACAACTCCGATATTCTTTCATAAAACTCATCGTCATCATTATCCTCGTCGAAGTGCCGCGCAACGCGAAGCATCTGCTCACAGTGATCGCGATTGCTCGGAAAAGTCAGAGCTATGTCGAATAAGTCATAGAAACTGTTTGACTTGGCCTTGTCAAAGAAGGTCTTCGTGATTTTCTCCACGGATATCTGATTTGTCCTCAGGTGAGGCAACGCGCGTTGTAGCTCCTGCATCTTGAAGGCTGTGCTCAGATTCACCCGGAAGTTGTTCAACTGTTCCGTGTAAAATATAGATTGCGCGAGATCGCTTTTCTGCAGTTCGAAAAGCTGAAATGAAACAAAAATTAATGCTAATTGAAAGTATTATAATCGTCTTACTACTTTTATTAAAGAGTAGCACCGGATTCTGGCCTCCGGCTTACAAAATACATCTAAACCAAAGCGAAACTTTCGTTATATCAGACCTCTTTGACAGCGAGGATTCGGACGACTTTGCAGACGAAGAAACCGAAATGATCAAGACGAAAAGTTTAAAAAAGCACTCCGACAAGTATTTTTTAATCCATCAATTGGCCATCAGGAAGAACAGAGAAACGTTTAAGAAAAATCCCAAGTTTATTAAAAGTCCCAAAAACATAAAAAAAACTAATGAGTATCCTTACGAGAAATTTGATTATCCTGCATACGCTGGATTCGTCAACGCTGAAGGAAACATAATTAATGTAAGCGTAATACGTAAATTATTCCATTCCATTAATTGTTTACTATTTACTAGGACAATCGTAATGTGTATTACGCCAATAAAATGGTGAAAAACGTGATTGAAATGAAGATCAATGAAAAACGATCAAGCGATTCTAATGATGAAGATAAAGACTATGATTACGCACGATTACATCGCGAATACGAAGATGATTTGAAGCGCGAAGAAAAGTCCAAAAAAGTCCTCAAGTATGTCGACGTCAAAGAGGAGGAATCCGTAAAGGATTCAATAAAAAATATAGCTACTTTCAAGGAAGTGAAGAATTGCACCAAAGAAGAGATGAAAGGAATCGGTAATTATAAGATTATAAAAGTAAAGTAGTTTACAAATTGTGCTTCAGGTTTGGCAGCGGTTAAATGCTTTCTGCAAGATCTCCGGAAAGTAAAGTCCGAAAAGAACGCAAAGAAGTTGTTTATAAGGATGTCCAAAGTGATCCTGATTTGGGTCATAGTTTACGCGATAATCGCGGTTCCCCTGTGGTGTCAGAGAGGTTTGTGAGTAATTAACATCTATTTACTAATAAACTATTATTGATTCCTCAGGATGGTGCTGCTGCTGTTGCCGCTGCAGATTCTGTAGACCGAGGGAAATCATCGATCAGACGAAGCAATTCCTAGTGGATAATCCCGTTGGGACTTTGCACACAGACGATGGTCAGAAAGTTACCTATCCTCCAACGGTTTACGAAAGATATGCTCAACAGAGATTAGAACAAGCCATTTTAAAACTTTAGCCTTTGGATAGATAATAGATAAAAACTAATATTAAAGTTTAAAAAAAAACAAATACATACTAATCTTACTTACTTGTATGACCTGATGAGCCTCCTTGAAGTTGTTTTTCTTCAAGCACAACCTAATCAAACCTTCTGGTTTACTAAGCATATAATTTATAATCTCTTTGTTACCACAGTTCTTCACATTGATCACAGTCTCCAATCTCCATAGACCATCTCTCACATACTTGTACAGCTTGTTCCACCTTACATACTCCTCATTCTCATAATCCACAATAAGCTTTTGCTTGATTTTTCCAATTGCTGACTTTACAAAAATCAGTATCATGTACAGCTCCTTCTCATTGCACACATATATATTGTTATCTCTCAAAAAGCACATAGAAAAGACATTTTCCAGCACTTCAATCTGCAGTTTCAAATTGGAAATTTTAAGGAACCTTTCTTCAGAGGTTCTAACGATTTCGCTAATGTCATCTCTTGGCGTCGTCGTTTTGCACAAATTAATGCACTTTAGTATATTCAATATGATTGTGTATGCTGTGAAATTCTCGATTTCCGAGTACTCATCGTCAGTTTCTAAATTGCAAACGAATTTTGTCTTCCTGTTCTCATCAATTTCAAGCTGAGATGCAACTTTATCCCAGGTAGAGGAATCTTCCAATGGTAGATATTGTGAAAAGGTTGTTAACAAAGAGCTTTCATTGAATGTATTGAAGAGATTAGTCTCATCAATTGATGGATTAAGGGATCGACAGAATATTATGACATTCAGCATATTCTGTATTTCATCAAGATAGGTTGTAATGAATTCATCTTTGGATGGTTCAATGCTTTCTAAGGCTGTGACAATCTGTCTGCAGTCAATGGGAAATTCATTAGTAACTTTCATTAACTTAAGTATTTGAATGTTGTTCTTGATTTCATTGTCAAACCTGTCTGTGGACTGAGTATTATTTAAAATTTCTGAGAACCAATATTTCCTCTTGTAGAAGGCATAAAAGAATAAGGATGTGCTGTTGCTCAAATCCAGTGGTAAAGAAACCTCATAGTCAATGAATGTTTCCAAGATCTTCTCATTTGGATTGATCAGCAGACTGAGGTATAGCAGCTCCTTTTGCAGAATACCCTTGTCAATGAGGTTATAAATTTGTGGGAGGATTGTCTTGAATTGCAGCAGATCCTGGTCGTTTTCCAGCCTCAGATTTGGGAAAACGGTGTAAACATCGTTCCTCGACGATAACTCCCTGAGCACATCCATACTCGGACAAAACAATTCACTTATTTATTTTCAAACATTTATGGCAACCACACACAAAACATCGTTGTGGAAATCTTTAATGATTCTTGAATCAGCTGACGGAGAGAGCGCATGTCTTCATATTACTCTTGTTTAAACTATTCGACAATGAATAATAAAGGTTACCAGGAAACATTTAATGAACTACGAACCTTTATCTATAGACATTTTTGTTTACGTTACGTTCCATTTAAATCTTATCTATGTATACTGTAGCTATCTTACGATGTTTATGCATTACTCAGATAATATAATTAGCTATATAATTAATAATGCGCACTATAAAAGTGCACATCGCAAAATGCAAGAACAACAATCTTTGATAATTATTATACAAACTATCCTTTATTACAATTATCCACTTTCAGCTGAAAGCGAATGTTAAATTTATTTTAATATTTATAATTTTTAACACGTTTTCAATAATGTGTAATTAAAACCCATGATATAAATCTATATATACATGATTCAAACCCAATTGAAATGAAAATGTTTCTGGAAATAGGGTCGTAATTATATATAACATATTCTGCAAGACTAAACTATTCTTTATTATGCTTTATATTTGTCTCTTTGTCTCCAATAGCTATTTAGAACAATGGCCAAAGTTTGAAATGGGAAAATTCATCTCTATAAGAACACAGGCAACCAAACTAACTCCAGAATGCTCCAGAACTGTCATCAAAAGTATACACTAGGTACAATTTTGTGTTACTGCGCTAGAAAATCGTATTGTCAGTTGATAATTTTCTTATTGAGTTCTTTCCCATAATATCAACGGACAGTTATATAATGGCTTGTTAAATGAGCACCACATATTGCTTGAGCATTCTGCATATCAGAGAATAACTGTTTTGGTGTTTTAAATAAGGTAAAAAAAAAAGATATATAATCGTCAACGTATATCAGCCTAATAACTATTACGTCAAATGAGTTGTATATTTTTTTAATTATTTATGTTGCTGTTGCATTGGTAATCATTTACTATACCAATTGTTGGGGCTGCAATGATTGTAATTTCATATAATCAATAATAACGCTACATAACCTAGAAAATCTTGGGTTGTAGTAGTTCCTTACCTACAGCTCCTGTTATGAATTTTGTGGTGAAATTTAGTATTTTTAAAATTTTTTTTATAGATAAAATATGTTGAATTTTAATTGAGCATTGCTGCCTGTATATCACTGTTTAACTGTCTGCATATAACTTTCTATAAAAGAACAAGTATGTGAAAGTTGCAAATATTGTTGGTTTTATGCATATTATTTTGTTTGTGCAGATGTGTGGATCATTTGGAAGGACCTAATTTATTCTGTAATATTACTGAGTTACAATGTCAGGCAATGGAAGGGATAATGTTGGTGCAGCTCCAGAGTTTGCTCAACAACAACAACAGCAGCAGCAGCAACAACCAAGGATGAACCGATTCAGAAATAACAATAATCAGAATCCACTGTTCAATGTTAGGGACAGATTCTTCCATACTCTGTTTTATAGGGCGTCTCTAACATACGCCAGGACGTTTCCGAAACCAGCGAGACGTTTCATAGAGTTTGTGATGTTGATGAAAGCAATCTGCGCTTTCTTTGTGCTTGTCTACATTCATGTCTCCTTCTCCAAGACGCCGGCTACGTGTTTACAGCATGTTGAAAACACGTGGCCAAAGGATGGGATTCTCAGGGTGGTCATAGTTAAGAATCCACATGATGACTACAATTTAGAGCATAGCTATGCAAAAGAGATGAAGCTGAAGCAGGAGATGGTTGTCGATTTCTCCGGCGTTCTGGGTTTTCTGGTGAGGGACGGCTTTGTGAATTTAGAGCCATCTGCGGTTGAGGAAGCTGCTACAGAAGCCGAAAAGTTGGAAAGTGAATCTAATGGTTTGTATACCCTTAGCAATAACCTCACAACAACTATTAATCTCTTGCTCATTGCAGCTCAGGAAACCGACGATGAACAAGGGTTGAGAAGTGTCTACAACACCTTAAACCCTCATTCATTGAGTAATTATAGTAGCGAGGTGACCGTCGAAAGTACCTCGTATAAAGGTTTAAGTTCAATATTTGAAGAACAGTATGTTTCCAAAGCCGATGAAAAACCAGACGATACGGGTGCTATTAATCCCAATGACGAGTCTTCCAATGGTGAATATAACTTTACATGTCTCACAAGGAACATGCTAACAGTTCTTTCTTTTAGAATGGAACGACGATGAAAACATAATAGAGTACACATTGGAGTATGGCTTTCTGCGTCTCTCGCCTGCAACCAGGAAGCGTCTCAATATTCCTGTTCAGATCGTAGTTCTTGATCCCACGAAGGATGAATGTTTCGGTGATACTTTCAGCCGTTTTATCTTGGATCAATTTCTCGGCTACGATGATTTGCTCATGTCCTCCATAAAGAGTTTGGCCGAAAAGGGAGATAATAAAGGATTTTTAAGGTATACTTATATTATTATGAATACAATTATTGAATCTGCTGCATTCAATATGCCAAATGTTTCAAGTCTCATAAACTATCACAACAAATATTGTCATTGTTGATAAATTGAAATATTAGAAGCTTCAGTATTTGTTTTTATAGAAACTAAATGCATATTTTCTACTAATCTAATCACTCTATTTTGCTTGCCCTTTATAATATATACATTTACTTAGTTTGTAAAGAATATTTAAATATATTTGCAGGAATGTAATAAGCGGAGATCACTACCGTTTCGTGAGCATGTGGATGGCTAGGAGTTCCTACATAGCAGCATTTTTCATCATGATTGTATTCGTAAGTAGTCGCTGATTACTTCTTAACGTTTACAGTATTTACATTGTTAATCTATAAAACTGAAATGAATATTAACGGGCAATCGCAGCAGGAGGTGAATCAATAGTAGGGGGCGCCAAAGGCAAAAAGAAATAGAAAATAGTATTGTTTTCTTGAGGAGCAAATTATATATTTGACTCCTTTGATTTTTTTTTGACGCGGGTGCGTAAACTAGATAATTACAGGCGCAATATTCACAAATCTTATAACAGTATCTGCAATTAATACTAGAGCCGTGAACCTATGCAACCAATTTAGCACGTATGCTCCAAAAAAGAATACTATCAAACTTCTGATATCTATATTATTTGCTGATATGAAAGGTGGTTGGTTCGATTCCCAAAAAACCAACAAAAATTTGTGATGGGTGTTAAACCCGAAAGGGGTAGAAATAGGGCCGGAAGAGATTAAAAAAATATATTTGAACTAAATCAATATTAAGATTTATCTTAATTGCAAACATTAGTTCATTTTAGATAGAAGTTAGACACTCGGATTACATACAAATTATGCATATAATTATACAGATTTATGGGTGAAAATGCTATTAAATTCTTTATAAAGAATTTGAGAGGAATAATTTGAATTGCAAGAACTGTTTGTAAATCTTGTATTCACGATGAGGGAATATGGTTGCATATATTATAGTTATTTTATACATTTTCGAAATTAAAAAGAATGTATACCTTTTACAATGGTGGCAATCGCAAGCCCGACAACCGAAATCCCGTCTATCAAAATCCCGATGTTCGAAATTCCGACGTTCGAAATCCCGAGTGTATTGAAATCCCGACGTTCGAAAACCCGAGTGTATGGAAATCCCGACGTTCGAAATCCCGACTATATCGAAATCCCGACTATGTCAAAATCCCGACTATATCGAAATCTCTACAATCTAAAACTTAAGATTATTAATTGTTGTTATTTATTGTTAATAACATAAACCAATTTTATTATAGAATATTTCTTATTCTTAAGTTTTATAATGATAAATCAACGAAAAAAAATACAATAATAATTAATATTATTTATTGTTATTAAGAATAAATAACAACAATTAATAATCGGGCAAAAGAGGTCTTAAACATATTTTTTTCAGTGTCCGTCGTACCTATTAAAATATAGTACAATAATTTAATAATGTTATTGTAGAAATTATAATAATAAAAGATACTGTCGAGATTTCGATTGTCGGGATTATGGTAGTCGGGATTTTGATATATTCGGGATTCGATACAGTCGGGATTATGGTAGTCGGGATTTCGATACACTCGGGATTTCGATACACTCGGGATTTCGAACGTCGGAATAGACGGTCTTTCGGTTGTCGGGCTTGCGATATAGACCTCTTTTACAAGGCGGCTCTTAATATGTCATGAAAATCTCCATTTTGTGACCGATAAGCACTAAAAGCCATAAAGATAAAAAAAATACCTTTTACTTGTTGGGACTTGGGACGATGTAGATTATATTATTTTGATACCTCTTATTGCATATTGTGTCAAGTTAATACATTTAATAAAGTATTTTGTTATTATAATATAATCTTCTTTTGTATCGAAAAGAAACTACTAAGAAACTAGTAGTTGATTTAAGAGTCAAACAGGAAGCTCATTTTGAAATCGAATACATTTTTGGTATTATTGTGATTCGGACGTGAACATTCGTAGTATATAATTGGACTAAAATAAGCGACACTTGCGAGAATAAATCGGACGGGGGAGTTTCTAAATTATTACTCTCCACCGTTGTATGTTGGTAAGTTATGGCATAATTTGTTTGCCAAGTTTCCTGATTTCAACGGCAGTGATTGATCAGTTCTGGAGATTCAGAGTTTTCCCTCGAAGAAGAATAGGCACTCGATTCTGTCGGTCGGTTAGCATCCACCCTTTACACACCCTTATATAATACATAGATATACACTTTTAAGTATGTAATGGATATAATTAATTATTAAAATAATGTATAATATAATTATTTTTATGATGTTCATTTTGTGGTTGGTTTTGTAATTTCCGAAAAGTAAGGGACTTGATTGGTCTTCTATTCGGTTGGGCCTTTCTGATGTCTTCGCATTCGTTGCGCAAATCCACGTAATTGTAGCATGTAATTTGTATTAATTAGCGAATTAATTGGTTGCGCAATAGGAAGCCATTCGTGGTTAAATGGGCAGCGGTCAGTAAGTGGTCGTAATGTGCTGCTTTTCGGAGAATACCGAACGCCCTTTCGACCAACAAAACCATCCGACCGACTGACGGTTGGGGTTGATCATCCCATGTCGTGTAATCGGGGATAGGCGAGATCATGTTTCCGGGGATGGCATTATAAATCTGCACCGGAGCCGCGAGGGTTAACTACCTCCCAGTGGCCTACTAGAGAGTAATTATGTCAACGATCATATGACACCATAACAACTGCCCCCGACGCCCGTACGCTTTTGATTTACTGCACTTATTTCCAAACGGACAAATCATCTGTAATTGAACTCTAAATAACATAGAAAAATAACACGTGGACGAAATAAAACTTGACATATCTAAACTAAACATTGTGTGTACTCATCTTTATATTAATATGAGATTTATATGTTACAATTATATTTTTAGTCAATTTTTGTTTATTATCAATTATCTTTAAATTTATAGTAGTAGGAATCAAGTTTTAAACTTTGAATATCATTGCTGGATAAAAGTGGTAGATCTTTTTGGGTTTTACAATCTCGTATTTGAAGTAGCTACTTTGGCCTTTCGAGGCTGTATGTTTTCGTTATATAAAATGTTATAATTTATATAAGAAGCTAAACGGCGTACGCAGATAATTAAATATTGTGTACTGTATGCATGCTCTTTAACGAGCATTGTATTAATTTGAAGAGCAGCCTTTGGGCATGCATCGTGCGATGGTCGATAGAAGGAAGAGAGAGAGTAGTAGTAGAGGATAGGGGGTGGATACCGCCCGGTCACCATTAATATAACTGCGCTTTTTCGTCATCATTCCCCGACGGCAGGAAATCTGATATTTCAATTAGACTGAGGCGATACGGTCGAGTCCTCCTCATCCTCCACTACTGCACAGCATATTCCGCCCCACGTCCCCCAATGTGTTGAGTGGGATCACTCTCTCACTTAGTTATTCATCGAGACGTGAACCATGGAATTATCCAGCAACTGATTTTATTACTTACTTAATTGTCAGAGTTAAAAAAGAGAAGGTGTTACAATTCTACCATAACGCTGTCTGCATTTTCGAGAAAGAAATTAAACTGTTTTACATAATGGTTTAAAGTGATTGCAGCAGCACCATTTTTTTGCCTTCGTGCAAATTAGATTCTAAGTAGCTTTTTTCTTACGTCACATCAGTCCCCGCGTGATGCATCAATTTACAAAGACGCGGGGATAAGGGATGAAGCAAAATTCTTTACATGTGGGACCACGTGATCCCGTCACGCGGCGAAGTCCATCGTTTCCGGTTCGCGGCAAGTCTAGAAGTCTGTGCTGATTCCGCCTCACCGCGTTCTCCGGTTGTTATCGCAACGAGCGTAACGATGTCATTAGCTATATCCCTCAATAATATTCCGTTTCTTTAACTCGAAACGCTCTCTTCATCCCTTCCGTCTGCACTCTTTTAAGTTGTTAACAATTTACCACCTATTGCGGAAATAACTTTGACTTGGGAAAACCTCGCATCTGTCCGTTTCCATTATCGCATTATCCACTTTGATAGAATCAAAGCGAGTGTTACAAAATACTAGGATCCTTTGGTTAATCGTATATGACATATGCAGTTGGCTTGATTTAATGTATACTGAAATTCTTTTACATTTTGAATCTGTTAGTAATTATAGAATAAAAAAAACGTAAAGGTACTGAAAAGAGAATCGTTCTTTGTGTCGATGATAAATGCAAATAATGCTGAAACAAAAACAATCATCATTTGATGCGTTTTTAATTTGCTTTCTATCGCATCTCAATTATAATCCGAAGAGCGCGGTTTTAAATTTTGTAATACTCGAGTTGGATAAATTTATTTTGCTCCCTCTTTCTGTCTATGTTTCTCTTGTAGAACTTTTTTGTATAAAATGTATATTTATCTCTTTCTCTCATCTGTTTCAGACGGTGTCCGTGTCCATGTTGCTGCGATATTCGCATCACCAGATATTCGTGTTTATCGGTGAGTCCTTTGATTTACATAGATGCACGCGTCCCTCCCTCACGTTCCAGGGTGGATCTGGTCTAAATCCTTCGTCCACCCAAACTCTCACTCTCTCTATCTCATACACACACCTTTTCACATCCCTTTTTACACTAAATTGAGAATCACATGTAGATAGTTCTAACACAAACCTTGTGTGTCCTAATCCACTTTCCGTCCAAACATTATTCAATACCTTTCAACAGAATTGCATTCCACGGCTGAATATACTTACACGAATTAAACGTCGTTTCATAGTAAAAGTAATCCCCTTGCCATTATTACCACTTAATTATCGATATTTATATTGCGCATCCGTATTTCCTTTACCTTATTTTTGTTATTCCGTTGTTTGTTTTTATATATTTTAATCATCGTGCATTGTCCGGTCGCTGTCGATTACTCTGACCGCCTTTATACGGGATGCAAAGCTTTGCTGTTCCTTCTTTTGATGGTATATTCATATATTACTTGGGTTATTACTCTTTTAGATGAACATACCCTGAATACTAGGTAGATGAATGCATGAAAAGTTTCTATAAAAAATGTGTTTCTATAAAAATTCATATTTTATTTGCTTCTTATTTAATTACTTATCATAGTTATAATATTAAATACTGATATTTTCGAGAAATTTTAATTTCTTATTTTTAATATAATTCTTTGCATTGAATAAGTAAGTAGTGCTTTAGATTAGAATTTTAGCCTTTATTTTTTTAGGTTGCAAAAAAGATATATGTAATTTTTGGGGAGGCCAAAGGTTGGTCGTTTCGTGTCTCCCGTTGCGTGAAATGAATGTTATTATATCCTCGGACGACGTGAATGGAAGAGGAGGTCTGTACTCAAGGGGAGGAAGGCGTGAAAAGGAAAAAAAAAGTATACAGGGAGTTTTTCTCCGAGGGGAAAGTGTGAAATTTCGAGAGTGACGAATTTACAGACTGTAAGATAATTAAACACGAAAGTGATCAGCATCGAAAGTACGCATCTTCTTTCTGTCTTTTTTTTTCTATTTTGCATTTTCTTTCTCATTTCGACGCACTGCATCTTCACAGCAACTTTCGCCTCATAATTAGTGAGCGTTGCGGCCTCTTTTTCTTTGCGTAATGATAAAAGTTTGCCGCAAGGAAGATGTTGGATAGGGGTAGGGGTACAAATTATTAAAGTAAGATTGATGGGGAGCAGGCAGAGCGCGACGTGGTCGCGTTGAAAAGATGTAGTAGATGATCCCACCGATTAATCGATCGTTCCGGATAACGCGATTTACATTATTCAATTAACTTATTGCAAGTGTTCGTCTTGTTTTTACTTTTATTTAGTTTGAGTTTGCAAATGTGGTACAAGGATATGTTTGAAAAACAAAATGAAAATATGAGCTTCATCCTTCATGTACGAAATCCCATGTACTCCGACTGTTCCTGATTAATGACGATTCTTTGCTTTTCATTCCAGTGGACTTCCTCCAGTTGCTAGAGATCAATAGGGCAGCTACGTTTCTCGCGGCTCCCCTTCTGACTGTTATTCTCGCTTTAGTCGGTAAGTTTCATCATGAGCTGAAGCACTTGCTTTGATCAATTCACACTCGGAACGAAAAAAAAGGAGTAATAAAAGGGTAAAGGAAGGTCTAGCATAGAAGGTCCGTAAAAGAAAGGAGATCGCAAGATTACAAGGGCACGTAGTTAGGATCCTCTTTATTCTTTTTTGTCCTCCGGGCGACAATAGCCCCCCGAAGGGCAGCAACTGGTAGTTGGCGGATTGCCAATTCTCCGCGAAATCGGGGCTCCCCCAGAAGTATAAACCTTTACTTGTTGATACACCGCGCCTGTTGCGCGCCATCTACCAGTTGCGTGGCTCTACTTGTTGCGCAAAAGAGAAAGATTTATGGTTTCCGAACACCACTACCTTCTTCCGGCGCTGAAAATCTGTTGCTTCCGGTAACAAATTCTACCTTCCCCAAATCTCTTTCATTTTCACAAACATCATTTCACCATTTGCAATCTCAAATTTATCATTAACAAGTACAGCTCAAAAACTATTGGCAAGTTAATAAACATTGTTTCACATTATCATAATTCATGCTAATATTAAATAAAGTTAATTATAGTTTTAAACTTTGGAAAGTATAAACTAATGAAATATTTTTACAAAATCACTTACAGAAATTATTAGTAAATTTCGAAAGTAAAACTATTACAATGAATACAATTGTTATAGTTTGTTGTATTTCTTGTGTGCATGAAATTCACTAGAAAGTCGTTCGTAAATTACAATTTGTTTGCAGTACGGGCCTGCATTAACTGGAGGAACTGCATATGTTTATTAAATTTCGAACCTATGTCGAAAGGTATAGATTCATACAACTTGTTTATCCGTTATATTCGCAACAAAGTAAACAGATTTGTCATTCGAGTTTTGGAATTGAAACCCTGCAAATCCGTCGATGACAATTTTATATTGATGCTATTATTTTTTTTCTTATTAAATTCGAGATTGAGTAAAATTGGTAAAATAATGATTTAGTTTTTGACTATTCAAAATAGTGTTATTTCAGAAAGTTTGTTTTTTTAAATTTATAATATTTTGAAATAAACTTAACTTAAAAAATAACATCACAGATTGGAGACAACTGTGATCTCGTTCCAAACAATAATCATATCTCAATTAATTATAATGTAATATGGATTTATTCTTATCATTACGTAATGCGTAATGCATTTGATAAAACAAACATGTTTTCTATATCGAGCGCTGCGCAAACAGATGTAACACGAGATTGATTTAGCGTCGAGCGTATTTTAATATATGGAATTTGACATTTGTTGATTATTAATTAACCGCATTTGCGAACTAAATGTAAACCGGAATTTGATTAAATACCCGGAAAAGTAAATGGATCCGATGATTACATAAGCAGGAAATAATAACGGTAATCCGGTACGCACATTATTGGGATCTCTCTGTCACTCTCCATGTTTTCATCTCTCTCTGTCTCTTCAGTATTCCTATCTTTCTCTCTGTGTCGGCTTTAAATTACATACATTCATATTTGATTAATTAGTGTTAATATTGTTGGAGTCGCGGTGGTCATTGTAAAAACGATCTTTCGAAACATCGATGACGGATATACGCTCATCGATCATTCCCTGTTGACAGAAAATACATATATACACACATACGAATGTATATATACGCACAAATATAGAGACGGACGTGCACCACTCCTTTGGAGGACCTTTTATATCTATTGCTGAAATTCAATACCAATATGACTAATGGTTTGTGTATTCTCCGCTCGGTCTTGATATCATCAAAGGGTTTACCCTTCTCCTTGTCAATCTCGCAACACGTTATTTTCTTCATATTTCTATGCTCAATCTTTGGATTTGTCGACATAATTACATGTTAAATGCAAGATAGAAATTGGAGCCTTCTTGATCATTCGGATTATATATCTTTGTGCGCCGACAAAGGCCACCCGGAAACTTTTACAATTTCCTCTGTTTCAAAGTTTTCGGTGCAACTTTTCCAACACCTCCATTATGCGCTCACGTTAAAGACTTTAAACCGCCTCTGATTTCATTAAACATGTGCCATATAGTAACTGCGTCTCGGAAGTGCGGCAAAGGTGCAATACGCATGCACAATATACATTTCGTCGCATTGGTTCATAATGTTAATCGATGCGCTTCACAAAAATGCACAATTTCTGATGTTTTGTACATAAATATGCATATTGCATATTGTTCGGTTAGTATTCTTATACTCATGTTAGTTTTTGAAAGAAAGAGTTGATGAATTTGTCATTCAGACATTGGAGGATTGGCGAATAATTTAAAAAAAAAATCAATTTAATGCTCGTGTAAAATGGTATGGTCATTTGCGAGGGTTGTTTTTGGGGGTAGAGTTGGTTCGTTGAGGGGTGTCGAGGGGGTGTTTGATGGAGGCGGCTATTAAGTTACAGATGTGTTACTGGTGAGCGCGCGGTCTATTGATTTCCATAATCGAATTTCCGCATTCAAATTGCTTCAATGTGTCTCCGTAGCCGAGAAATCCGTGCATTTCATGCCGCCATTATACAATTACTACAACCCATTATGCACCGAATCCAATCTAAATTGTTCATTAACGAGCGGAACGAAAAAGCCCCACATCTGAACTCTTAATACCTTCGATGACGGGCTTAATTAATTTCTTAATTGCAACATTACTACCTTCGATGTTTATTAATTTTGATTTCTCTTTGTGCTTTCCTTCCTTATTCTTTGAACATCCTCAATTATATACAAATAACCTTTTGTTAAATCCATGTTCTACGTTTATTTTCAATTCATCGCTAAGTTAATGTTATTTTTGCACGCTATTATATGAGAATTAATCATAATAAGTACGAAGGAAATATTTGTTTTTTTTTTATAAAATATATAATTTTATGGGAAACAAGAAAGGAAAGTTGAAAATATTTAATACAAATATGGAAAAGGGATTTTTTTCTGTAAAGAGTATGAGTGGCCGGCGGGGCGGATTTAGTCGTGACACGAATTAAAATCGGAAAGGTTGAATTTAATTAATTTAATTAAATTCTGAATTTAATAATTATTAATTAAATTAATTTCGCTGCGCCGCCTCCGCGTCATGAACTTCTTTGCAGGACAATTCCAATTAAAGGGACAATACTATTATTACGACGCACGTTCGTCGTTCCATGTAAACTGTGTGCATGTAAAGTGACCTTTATTATTTTTTCATATATGCATGTATTTTTTATAGTTCCTAATTAAATTATATATTTTCTTATATAATCAAATACTTAGGATAATTTGCATGAAATGTATTAGCTTCAGTTATACGCTACTAATATCCAATTCATATTCTGGAAGAAAAGCAATTTTCCTCTGCAAATTAATAAAATTTATCGTATATTTTGATGCAATTTCCTATGTAAACGTTCAACTTTACAAATCTATAATTAATATATTTTCGATATTTTTTTCCAATATTTCGTAAATATTCAAAAAAATATGTTTATTATTATAAATTAATAAATAAATATGATACCTTAAAAGCAAAAGTAAATTACAAGTTATATTATTAATACTTTGATAATAATTTGAAATTGTGATTAATCAAAGATCTTGGTTCATTCAATTTAATGGATGTCTTTTAATTATCAATATTACATATATCACATAAACAGACATATACCAAAACCGACTGAATAGAAAGTGTTGAAAAGGAAGGTATATTTACTCGTTGATGAAATGGACTTAATTAATTAAGTCTAGCGATTTTTTTGTAATTGGATCAATACGGCAATTGGCATGGAAACGTGACCTACATTATTATTCGTCGATTTTGTAAATAAGTTTTGTTTCGCATGAAAATGTGAGGTTCTATTTAAAACAAAATTATTATGAATTACGAGTTAATTAACGAGGAAAAAAATGTTTTTTTTGGTCTGTATCTGTTTTAGTCTGGTTTTGTTAGAGATAATGGTTAAATAAACATTGGCATCCTCTCTCCTTGAACATCAGATAATAATGATGATGATGATCAAGATGATGATGATAATTAGAGGTTGTTTGGATGCGGTTCACGTAACATGGCGCAGGTAGCATCATTGTTTTGTTTACGAAAACATTGAGCGCGGGGGCGGCTTTGGAGAAACAAAAAAAAAACGCGTTGTTGTGAAGGATGAGGAGGGGAATAGTCCGTATTTTGGAAAGGAAGGAGCGCGTAAAACAACTGAAATATTCAGTGGAGCTCGGTGCGCTCGCTCCTTTCCCTCCGGCTAAACTACTTAGTGAACTCGGCTCTTCCATCAAATTCGTTTCGCAATGCACAAATTAGATGAACGTTTCGAAATTATCCTAATTAAAAAAAAAATAATGTTTGTATCTAAAGGGATTTCGATACTCAACAAAAACTTTTCTTTCGAGTGACTTGAGATCAGCCGCCAACTCCATCTACTCTAATCCTCTTATAAATATGGAGTGCGAAATTTATTAAATTCTTCGCACTTGCAAATTTCAATTTGTGCATGCATGGAATATCAATTATAGCCTCAGCATCGTCATGCATTTCGGTTAGCCAACCTCCTCCAACTTGATGCATAACAACTATTCGCTATTGAAATACTTATTTCGATTAAATATTTTTCTCCATTTCTCCATATACCTTATGTGTCTTATATTATATAATTGGATACAAATTTTATTTTTTATTATTATAAATCTGTTTTTGCATAGTAATTTCAAATATCAATTAACTGCATATTCAATTAGTTTGTACATAAACATAAAATATTACATGAATGGAAAGGCCAGATTTGCTTTCAATTTATATATTTTTTTAATCTAATTAGCATGTGTAGTTATTAAGAAATTAAATATAACGAAAAGTTTCTATTGTATTCATTAAATATGTAAAATTCTGAGAAAATAGCTATTATATAGAATTATTAAATTATGTTTTGATCAAACTGTTGGATCTACCGATCTCAGTACTACGGTTGTGTTTAGTTTTTTTTTGTTCATCGATCTTTCCACCATCTCGGACCGGTAATTTCTTCTCTTTCTTCATATAATGCTTATTATTAATGATGACTGTCAGAGTGATATTCTGATTTATTTGTTCCGGAGTGTCGGACGGCGGGAGTTGAAGATGGTTATGCGATGCCGGCATAAATAACAATTTTCCACTTTGTGTGGAGGATGAAAAATTCGCGCGATAAAAATTAATCAATTTGTTTCAATTTGAGGAATCCAATATACTTTCACGAAGTTTTTCGCCCCTTTTCTCCATCTTATTGGTTGTTTTTGTTGTTCAGCGTTACAGTTAATCTTTAACGCTTTTTCGGTTTTAATTTAAATAAATGAAAAATTACGATATTCCTCTGAAGGTATTAAGGCTCGCTCGTCGGGCAAGGAAGGGAAGTAAGGGATGGAGAGCGAGTGTACTGTTAATAAACAGGGACAGCTTGTGGGAGGGGAGTGAGGAGGAGGAGGCCTTTGAGAAGCGAAAAATGAATCGGAAGGAAACGCTCAAGTGCCTTGCACGGGATAATTAGTTTTTACAGAGAGAGGGCGGAAAGGAAAGAGCGCTCTCATACTCAACCAAAAATTAAATTTAAAATGTATAGGAAGAAAATGAGAGGAAACAACGAGGATGTGATTTTTAAATAACTAACTTTAGAGATGCTATTTGCTTGGAACGGCGGGAGAAGGCCATGAAGGTTGAGTTATGTCTCTTCATGCTTAGCAATAATGAGCTGGAATTAAAAATTTGGGATGAACGAACATTGCATTATAAGGCCGGGTGGAATTATCGGTTCAGTTTTCCCCGAGGGATAGAAATCCCTTCTTGACATGGTGAGCAAGTCTTCAAAGAAGGAGTACGACCGTCGCATACTAAGAAATATTTCCCCCCGTACTTCCAAAGACGTACATAAATTTGTTAAAAACATCTATCAAGTAAAGAAATATGATTTTATTGGTTGATAATAAAGCTGAAATTGAAGATGGTGAGAGTGAAATGGAAGATGAGTTGACCTTCGAGTCCAGACATCGTCTGATTCCATTGAATTCTCAGACGCGGGTCAAACAGACAACCTAGGCATGACATTGCAGCTGTGCATGAGGAGGATAGGATGTCATCAGATGCGAGCGCCGTCCCCGTGGAGAAGGACGTTGAACGAGGGGCGAGGAGAGGTACGAAGAGATTCCCCGGCGTCTCCACCGCATCCGTCCGCTCTTCATGCTCCAGCATTTCGTCCGTTTCGTTCGGTGATTTATTGCGCGACAAAACGGGACGGGTCTACCGCATTAAATATGTGCCGAAATAACTCTTTGCGTTGTGTTTGATTATTCTTCGCGCGTTTTAGAATTAATTGAAGAAGGAAGCAAATTATGCGAAGCCAGATAGATAAATTGCTTGTCGACGGGAGCGACGAACGGCACTTTCTGCATTCGCAATGGACGAGATCCGTATCGCAATATTAATGATTGCCGTCATCCGCTTCTATTCATGTTCCTCATCAAACCCCCAAAACAAACCAAACACAAAAAATAAACAGAAACAATTACAGTCGAACAACAAATGCAAATGCATACGAGACCAATGCAAATAATATTTATGTTTGTTACAGGAATGGAGGCCATCATGTCCGAGTTTTTCAACGATTCGACGACGGCCTTCTACATCATTTTGGTCGTCTGGATCGCTGATCAATACGACGCCATCTGTTGCCACACACCGATTACTAAAAGACACTGGCTGAGGTGAGTTATTTACTTGATGATACTGAGAGATGAGGGTTTTATTTATGTCGGAAATAGGGAATTGACAAACAATGATTGGCGGATTGATTAAAGAAAGAGCCTTTTCGCGTCGAGTGCCGTTGGCGATGTGAATATTTGGGGGAGGAAGTGGGATGGTGGTAGTAGATGTAGTTAGGTGGTTTGTAATGTTTGCGAGAGGTCTGCTAGGATTCTCGGTAGGAGGAGGGTTGCGACCCTTGCCTCTGGGAGAAGCGGTTGGTGTCCGCAGAGGAGGCCGCGCAGGGTTTTACCGTTGAATTGATCGCTCTTTCTCTCTCCAACTGCAAAACCAAGTACACATAACTCTACATCTCCCTTCTTTTTTTCCTCGTTCTGATTGCTTTCTTATGAACCCGTCAACATTTATCCCATGCTAACTGACTGCTCAAACAATCGCTTATTGTATTCTTCCTGAAGGCCGGAGGTCAGCAACTCAAGACGTCTTTCCAACGATCCTCTTTGTTCGATGCATTCATCGGTCCTACTCGTGCATTATCCGTACCTACGCTTCAAGAGGATTGTGTTTGATTTTGAATATTTCTTTTTTTCGTCCTCTTTCTGAAAAAATACTCTCCAATACATCATAATAAAGCCGTATAATCGTGTATAATCTATAACAAAAATATTTTTGAACATATTGTGGACAATAAGTCTATTGCGATGTCGAATTTAGTTTATAATCTATCTACAAAATATACCGGTATATCGAATTATTTCAATGGTATCACTCGGGTTAGAAAGAAATAGCATACATTGAAAAGTTTACTTGGTATGTTCATTTGTGTATACATCATCATCCAAGATATATACTTATTATATATAAGTCGCTTTAAAGAAATTAGCTACAAAAACATGTTCTTGTCCTTTTTCGTCTAATGTTTCTACTTGAATACTTGCGAAGTTTTCTGGAAGTTTACTATTTGCGAGGAGTAAGAAATCACTGGGACAAAGGATGTTTGTATGAGGTGGAAAACGGTAAATCTTTTCAGTTGGATCCGGACCTTCTGAAGAAGCTTACAAAGGTTTAATAACTCACCGACAAACCCACGGGTGTTATTTAAACCGCTTTCCAGCAATTAAAAAAATAGAGGAAAAAGAAAACAATTTTACTTTAGAAAATACGAGTTTTGATGTAATTTGAAAAAAGTCAAATGATTTAGTTTAATGCAAGTAAACAAACTAAACATATTAATAATGCATTTTTACAAGCATTTTTCGATTTATCTTAATAAGAGGTTTTTGTGTTCTATATTAACTGTAATTGAAGGATTATACGCTAGAGAGGATGTTTATGCGTCAAGGCCTATTTTATTCAATTATCCTTATTGGGATGTTGTAAGTGTTCTACACTTCAAGGACTATTTATTTCAACTCTTCTATTTTTGTACCAATGCTGAAATGATCTTAATGATATACATATATATGTGCGAGAGGATGAAAAGTGGGCGGCTTCATGGATCGTTCATCCATGATCATGATTGCAGAGAGAGGACCGACAGACGGCTGGCGTCGGACGCGACCGGCGCCGGGCGTCGCCGTGACTTGCCACCCTTGATTGGGGGGGGGGTGTATGAGGGTGGAGGTTGGTTGCTTGTTGTATAATTTATGAACGTATCATACCCATATATCATAAGCTAATGAGGACTCAATGGTGCCTAATTCTCTTCCATTATTCTCGATTCCATTCACATTTCGAGAGAACACTTATTATAATTTGTTTGGTTTGTTAATATCGTTCGGTCACAGTAAATACACCATTGATGTATTTCACTAGATGCAATTATCCGCGATCAAAGCACTCCTTTATTTGCATATCGTATCATTAAAAATACAACGATTACAGTAAACACGAGTGATGCTGTATAGGAAACACTTCACTATTTCAAATCCCAAAATTAACGTTGTTTTGTTACTGAAATACAAGCAATCTACTAAAACCCTTTACAACACAATACAAATAAATTACTTTCAATCATATGGAAATCTTACAAGTATTTCATATGATAAAGAATTATAAAATTAAGATACATAACTTGTTAGAATAAATTTTACTTAAATTCAATTTTGTTTTAGTAAAAAAATGTGATATATTTAATTATTAGAATTGAAAATTTCAAATCTATTACTATTTGATAAGAATTTACTTTTCAATACTTTGTGCAACTAAATGTGAGAGGAAATCATTGAGGAAACTAATATATTTATTATACAAATATCGGATTTTCATCAACGAGAGGTGACCGGGTCAATGTTATCCTAGTGCTAACAAAATGAAACATTGCAAATTGTTTGCAAACCATAAAAAACGTAATTTTAACGTAAAGATTGTTTTTTAAGTATTAATTATTTGTTAGTGTGTGTTTTGTTTTATAAGGGATTAAATATTGGATGTTTTTCATTTGTTATTACAACTTTGTAATGTTGCAGATGGAGTTTTTTTTATATGTTTCATATATTTCAACGACTGTTATTGAATTAATCCTTTTTGAATATTCAATTTTGTTGTTGTGTTTTCGAATAATATTTGCTTTTACACATGTACATGGAAAATAACTTCTATAACCTTCTCGCCCAAATTTGCACTTAACTTGTAAGGAATTGTTTCGCGTTTAAAAAGAAAATATGTTTGGTTGTGTTGGGATAATTGAGTCAGCGGTGTTAAGGGATGGTTGAGTGCTGCTGGTCAAGTGATTGTCGAGGTGGGTAATGGTGCGAGGATCAGCATTTGCAGGATGCGCGCATATTAATAAGAGCTGCAAAACCGTTCTCCATTACCGCCGGATTAACGGTTCACGACATGACTGTTGCCTGAATTTTGTGTGCGTTGTGTCAACCCCCAAAACGATGATGAAAAAAAAAAGAGTCGCATTAGCGCTCTGTTTGCAGCAGTAAATTTGTGCAAAGTTTACCGAATGACAGGAAATTGGAAAATCCAAACACCGTTCAATTAACTTGGGCCAAAGGTAATCCGGTTGGAAATTAATTAACAATAGTGTAAGAGTGGGAGGAGAGATGAAAGGTCCTTCTTCCTGTTAAACAACATGTCGATGATGATGATGATGATGGTATCGCCGTCGTTTGTGGTTCCCGGATGGTTGTAAAACGATCAGATTCAGATCGGAGCTGTAGCAGTAACCCCATCGATGGAATAAACAGCACACACTTCATTAGGCCGGGGATGATCCTCTAGGTTTATAGTGTTTATGGACAAACAAGGGATGGCTCCGTCACGTCCGTTTGACCAGATTGCTCTTGGAATTGAAGCGACGTGTATATCTACCTACTTCTACCACCTCCACTATCCCCTCTCCTGAAGAGACGCCATCGTTCTTTTCCTCGTGTACTTTATTCTCCATTTCCGTCCGCCTTTAACCATCGATACCTCTGAAAAACGGAAAATATCGAATGTAATTGCAGGTGATCAAAATACTATTAAAACTTCGGAGAGCGGACGACCGCAATTCTCATTACGACCTCAAGTTTTAAATTGCGGAAGAAGTTTTTGCATGTACGGGGCTGCACACGTGAGCAGGATTGGATCGATGGGACAACAATATCAATGTACGTTTGTACGTGTGCATTGCACAAACCGAAACGCGAACGACGGACAGTGAAATGGGTAGCGGACGAGGATGAGTACGAAGAGGAGAGGAGGCGGTTGTACGTCCACAGCCCCCACGGTTTGTTTTGTTTGACGGGATTAAAATGTCTCTGATAATGCAATTTGCATGCGGCAGGTGGATTTATGTATATAGTCGATTTTGGGGTAATCTCTTTACAAATTATTTTTCACGTTTGATCTGCTTCCGGTCGATCCCCCATTGTCCCGTTTTCCTCTTGCCATCATTTTTCTATTTTCCCCATTTCCCTTCCCTTTTCCTCTGCCCTCTTTTATCTATCTCTCTCTCTCTCTCTCGCTTGCCGCAGATGAAACAAATTGGCTAGAGGCTTTATTCCGTCTGATCGAGACCTTCATTCTACTTCATATGTCTACAAACAAAAAAAAAATATTTATTATGTGGAAGCTCTTTCCATTGGATATGTATTAGACACGATAACCGAAACAAAAATACCATGTTTCTATTATTATTAATAAATTTGATCAAAATAAGCAATTCATATTAAAGAATTTGATGGCATCAACTACAGAAACAGAACGATGATTATTTGAATTGTTGTATGTATTTTACATAGTTCTTTATTTATTAAATTACAAATGACATTTTTGAATTGTCACTATCACTATCATTGTTAGTGTGTACTAAAAATTAGATTATTATATTCGGTTATAGAACTATTTTAGTATACAGTAAGAAACTTTCGTTGAGAATTGATTCAGGGGATGATATTTATCGCATTCGTGACTTGCAAATTCTTGGAGTGAGTCGTCTCGATTGGAGGCTCCAAGTGAGGAAGATTAATGCATCCAACGCCCATTCCATATGTCCAAATAATAGCGGCATTGATTTCCACCTTGTCATTGCAAGAATTAATAAGCCATGAACTCGATTCCCTCCTACTTCTACCCTTACTTTTGTGCTCAATAGTAAAAACAGTAACTGACGATTGATGAAGGGTTGGATTTAGTCGGATAGATGCAGTTAAATAATGTTCGTTGGAGACGGGCTCTGTGCTCTGTACACTTCGTGCTAAATTTATTATTAGATTTCAGGCATTCATAATTCCTGAGATAACTAAGCTCTCGTTCCAGCTTTGCGCTTGATTTACCTTTTGTTATGTGCGGTGCCGTGTAGTAACGGTGATCCAGATTTAATCTTTAAGGACGACGAACATCAACCTTGTGAAGTGTTTCCTACCATTCACCACCTCACCTTTGCCTTTGGAAAATGTTTAATTAGACGTTCATTCATGAAAGGTTCAATAATAAGACGCCGAGATCAAATAATCGCATCTTAAACAGAAAGATTCGCACTTTATAAATGCCTTGGTAAATGGTGTGCTGAGCACATTTAACCACATGAATTTATATTTTGCTTAATCCTGTAGTGAAATGGAAATTAGTATTAGTCGGTATTTTTGTTTTGAAATTAGTGTTTAGTTTTTCTCAATTTTCAAGATTATTAATTTAGTTGAATACTATTGATGTGTTGAAATAACAAATTAGTAACTTCGGTAATGTATTTAATGGTGAGTGCACACTGCATTATTTGGTTAATCACGCACGTGTACTTCTGCCATAAATCACATAAATCTTTTATTACGTATTACGTAAATTTAATGGAATAACGAGCAGACACGTTGGAAGGAAATAATGAAGTTTTTACTAATGCGATCAGATCAGAGATTGAACACTAAAGCATTGCAACGAAAGCTGTACATCAATTTATAAATCTGTTTATTATGAAATGTTATTAGTTCCGCTTTTACCGTAATTGTTTTAATAGCGGGGCGGCATCGATTATAACATTGTTTAATGCAAAGCCCTGCGTCTGGTAATCGAAATGCTATGTAATGCAGCATAAAGATAAATGCGGGGGGTTGCTGCAGCCTCCAGGGGGGGCGGCGGCGGCTTCGCTTTTAGCTTTCTCATAACAAACACAAACAGCCACCTCCAATGTCCCTCGTTCACCACGGGATCATGCATTATGATCCGCAAAGGGGAAATCCAGTAGTAGTAGTAACAGTAAATTCAGTGACTCACTCATACACACATTCAAATTGATTGTTAGTCTTAATTGGTGGGTGCGCCGGGTGAATTAGATGTATAAACCCTAATTCGTTTTGCCATTCGATGATTATGGATGCTCATAATGATAGAGATGAAAATCTTTGTTTTTCGTTCAATTATTTTCTCGAGCATGTTGGGAGGTTCAGACACGGAGAGAGCTAAGCACAACCATCTACAATTATACGTCGCAGAGGATAAGCCTACTATGGCACATTTAATCTTTATCCGTCGACGCGTTAAAGCTCGTCCTAAAGCATAACTCAGGTATTACTCTCCGCTCTGCCACCCTAATTACCCACCGAAAAGTAAAACAAAAAGGACGTCTTTCCTTCGAAATAATTAACCTGGATCACTTTATAGTGCACTGTTACTAATTGAATCGCGCGGTACTTTCCTCATACTAAAAACCTTCTGTGGTAAAACGCGCTGAAAACCTTTAAAGAAAAATCAAAGAAAGACGAAGCTCAAGAAAGGCAACATGAAATGAATACTTAAGAATGTGATCACCTTTATTGTCTATTCAATATAGATTATTTTAATTCCAATATAATGAATAGAGCATTTGGAAATCCCTTCGTGATTTATGATTTAATCTATTTATCTCTGTATGATCAAAGACCATAGGGAATTCATCATTTATCACCGATTTATGACTAATGACATTTTCAACCCCTCCAACTAACCAAGTAGTGGAAGATGAATAAATCCGAAAGATCGCAATTTTTCGTTCATTCGTTGCTATTGGCTGAAGTTATGATTCCGCAAGAGATTTGATTAATACGACATTCCCAAAATAAACTTGATATTATTGAGAGCGCGGAAGATGAATTTACAAAGCGCGGAATTTTCCTCATACGATACAAATCGAACCTTGAAGATTTGCGTAACACCGGGAAGATGGGAGAGCGGATGAGTATGAGGAAGATGGATGCAAATCGCGTATACACAATGATCCTTCCGGTCGGTTGAACTTTCACCTCCACCTCTCATCCCATTTCATTCCCATTCGGGACGTTTCATCATCTCATACATATCTCGCATATTACTTGCTGTTCGGATGTCGCGAATGCAGCGATATGCACTGTGCAAGTTTCACAACAATAGTTGCTCCCATCTACGTGGAGAGTGTGAGAGATATAGATATATCTTAGGGGATGCTGACCGGCGCATTCTTCTCTACGTTGCATCCGGAAATTCGGGGACAACAATTCTCTAAACGTATTTCCATCCTTTGTAGTGGAGGACGCCTTCTCCTTCTTTCCTTTTCCGACGTTAATACCACTGCAGGGATCCGAATTCCTGCTTTTGTTGCAGGAAAGTGGATTTTTGAATATGTGTGTATTTCTGTGTATCCTTTTGCACGTGTCGGACCTATTCATACCTACCTACCTACGTATGAACGAACGAACGTACGTACATACAACCACATTTCGTCTCGAAACAAAAATATTCGCTTTGATGTTTTCGCATCTTCCATTTATTTATTTATTCAAACGCGATTTCATAAGCATCTAAAGGTCCGAGGTTTCCTTTATACGCTTATGAAAATAGGACCTCTCGAAATTCTATGCACAATCATTTTAATCCTGCATATGAGACCCTCGACCAAAGCATATTTTCCACGAACAAAACATTTCCTGCATCTGTGCTTTCTTTAATATATCGATTTCTTTTTTTTTCATCGTTTGATATTTTTATTATTTACTTCAAAATATTTCTTTCTATTGCTGTTTTACTTGGATTGTCTTGAATTAAAAGAAATATATCAATGAATTGATGAAACCTTCATGTTCATTCGAAAGTTAATTTCTTCTTTGTTTTGTTAACCGTTTGTTAAGTAATTTAATAGTAATAAGTTTTCCAATACGAATGCTCAGTGAAGTTCCTTTCTATACAATACATAAGCAGGCATTCCACGTGGAAGTCGCACGTGATGCTCCTACTGTGGTAAACCACACGTGGCATACAACACACAAACATACATTTACATTTAAGTTGAAGTTTATAATTTAATTTTGTTTGTTTGTCTGTTCTTGACGTACATTTAATATGTATATTTCGATCCACAGCACTCAAATGTTTGAACTAATCTAGTTCGATACGTGTAACATCATAACTCTCGTGTCATTCAGTCTGATTCAGCGGACAAATTAATATAATTAATGTGTTTACCTGCCGATTTTATTGCCGATGGTCATTATATTTTGACGAGAGCCGTCATTATAGTCGATAGGCCAATCGATTTGTCCAATTTATGCGCCACTTGCGTAACCAAACATTACAGCCACCTATTGTTTCGAAACTAATCTTCTAATCAATATTAAATTTACTAACACATAGTCAATTTCTACAAACTCGTGAAATTTTGTTTAGGTCTTCCATAAATAAAAAAATATGCAAAACCATTACATTATAAATGCTTATTTAATATAATTTCTAAAGCTTAGAACATTGATACAGATTCTACTATCAAGCTAAAAATGTTTTTTTTTTCAATATAAGACATTACAATTTTGCACAAAATAACAAAGTACTTGAATATTTATTTATATTTTATGAAATTGACCCTCTAGTTCTGATATAAACTTTTCTTTTCTTTGCAGATTCTTCTACTTGTACCACTTCTCATTTTACGCTTACCATTACCGTTTTAATGGACAGTATAGCAGCTTGGCTTTGATGACTTCTTGGCTCTTCATCCAGGTAAGATTTTTTTAATTTTTTTATATTTAATTATCAATTTCATAATTAATGTAGTAGCATAGTCATAAAATCAAAACAAAACGTGTATATTCAATGATCCGTTTTAATTGGGTATTTGCAATTTTACTGAGTGTTCCCGGATTAAGTCTACTCTTGTTTTTATTGTCTCTAGTGGCAATTCATTATTTCGCAACGGAATGATGTGGAAATAATAGGGTATTGATTCGTGTAAATGCATGACCATGATTTCAATCATGGTTATGTTTTTTTTTTGAGCTAATTTCAGATTCAAAGGAAGCGTCGCATGAAAAATGCAAACGTTTACAAAAAAAAAGTAATCCCGAATGTTTGATGTAGTCCTCTACCTGCAGATACAAGGAGATGTTTTTCTCTTCAAAATTTAATTGCACGTTTGGGCGGAGAGCTTAACATGAAAGCATCGTAGTTCATCATCCGGTTGATGTAATAATATATTGTTTTTGTTATCACATACACATTTTTTGGGCTTCTTTTTCTTGTTCCGAGGGATCAGAGAGAGTATTTTAACTGCGCAATTAATATTTAATGCAATATTTGTGTTGAAATATTAGTGTAATTGGCAATTACGTTAATTCCCAAGTCGATGCGCATTATATTGTGCATGGAATAGCAGGAGGAGGTGGCGTCGGAATGTAATTCCTGCTTCTCTCTTCCTGTTCTCTGATTCATAGATCCTCGGGAGGTTGCATAATTTAGGAGGTGAGCGTGTCCTTTGTCGACTACACTCGGTCCCTGTAAACGACACTTCCTCAACTGGAGTGCGGATGTTTATCCGTCTCATTATTCATATTCCACGAGAATAGGGGTATGTTTATTTTCCTCTTGAACGCCGCCGCCCTCTTCGATAAGTGATCTCAAATTGATTTTTTTTTACTGTTTTTGTTGTTTTCAGCGCCACCCTTCGTTTTCAGCTTTCATCACTTTTTCCGCCCTCGGCTACACTTCATATCTCTACAAATTATTGACTATATCTTAGCCCTACTACATTTTTTTTAATGTTGTCGTGTCCCGGGATGGAATATTTTTGGACACTGTGGAATAATTTGTAGTATTGTCGATGTGGAGTCCTATTGGGTTTTATGGAAGAGTCTAGATTAAAGTCAGCGTAATAATAGTATTTATTTAATGGTGATGGAGATTCTTAATCTAGCTTCCAGTTGCTACAAGAATATGTTGCTGTTCAATAGTAGATTATACTAGAACTATTACTAGGACTCACATGAGTCTCGGGCTAACAAGGACTAATTTAAAATAACATAAGTGTCGTCTTATATGTAAGAAGACGTACTGAATACAGAAAAAATCTAAGGGTAGGGGCTAATTTGCTATGTGGGATGTACGCCATACGCGCCAACGGGGGTTTTTATGTCTCCCGCTGCCGATAAGGTCTAAAAGGTGATAAATCTTACAATTGTTTTGGGGAGGTTAATTGTTGGTTGCATAGTTTTTATAGTTGGCTGTCCGACTATTACATAATCCTCCTTTTAAGACAGTGACATAGATGGGTCCTTAAAATTAGCAGAATATGAGAAACCAGAGTTTCTCCAAAAAGGTTTTATTGCCCTCTACAGGTATTGCAAGTACCTATAAGCTTGTCGTGGGAACTTTCCATAAGACTGTACTTGATACACAGTACAGTACTTATTAGCATATGTATATCAATAATTAATAATAAAGTGGTTGTATTACCAACAATTAAAACTGCCCAAAATATTACTATAATAATATTTTCTCTGTTTTCGATTGATCAATTGATTGTTTCTTTAATTTTTGTTTGTTATCGGATAGTTTATGCTTATGTAAACCTATTAGTCTTTGCCCTTTATTGCGTATTGTTTCATACTAAAATGATATTAGCCTACTCAATATTTCGTATCCTGGTTTTTACGTAATTTTCTCATTCTGGAAAAGCGGCCTTTTTACACTCCAGCAAACTGCGCGTGATGCTCTCTTCTTTTGTTATGTTCCATACCTTTTCCGCTGTTCATTTTTTATACTTTGCTCCGTCGGTAGTGGGGGAGGGGGATTGGCAAATATTAGAAATATAAACTCTAAAATAATGAACATTTACTTTTGCTCACGCATTATTTGCTCTCGGTGAATATTTGAGTTTTCTTTACCAGAGGGTGACGAATTTATTACGATACATGTACGATGATTTGGCCTACTTTCAACATCAATATTGATCATTTCACAAGAAAGAAAGTGTTATTCGTAAAATACCTACTAATTGATGAACGATAATATTTTTTGTATGTTTTCATAACATTAGTTATATTTGTAATTGTTAATTTATTAAAAATATTTGTGATTTACTCAAGCTGTGATTTACATTTGCGGTTGTTAAGTTATCTAAATTTACTTAATTAAATCTGAAATCGTCGAATTATGTTATTGGATCTGAATACGTTTGTTGTTGTTATGAAGGGAAGTGGAATTTGATAGGATGAAATGGAAGAATAAGAAAAAGTAACGTGGTCTTTTGAAGGCGACCCAGTTGTGTTCTTTTGATAAACATTAAAACGGATGAAATTTATTGTGGAATCTGCAATGCGAATGGCAGTTTGAGAATGTTGAAAAGCTGAGATGGTCTACGCATAAGAAGAGCAGTTGAAGTCGGTAGGGTTAGGGGGGGTGGAGTTGAGGTGGAGGAGGATGAGGACGTCTACCAAACGGAGCGAAGAGGAGGAATAGCAATCTAGGACAAATCCTGAAGAATCAGTGCACAAAGTAGGAGGATGGAAAAAGTAAGAGAAACAGAGAAAGAAATGGGCTTAGAAAAATATGGAACGTAGTGTCTGAAGCCGTGACATGCGGAAGAAATTAAACTGGCAAATAAATATGAGACCGTCGTCGCGGTCTGCTGACCGGGAACATCACTCCCATGGGAGCAGTCGGGCCATTCCCTTCACTTCCTTCCTCATCCACATGCTCCTCCCTCCTTTCACTTTAATACCAGAGGAAAAACTTTGCCGCAACGAAAATCATAAACTACTATCATCCTCACAACTCATTAAAATTGCAAAACTGAAAAACCTTTATTTGCCCAAAACTCTCTCTCTCTCTCTCTCTTTCCATGAGTGTGTTTTCTAGATTTTATGATTGCAATCTGTTGCGCGCCTTTCAGAGCGACATGAATTAGGTATAAGGACTTTAATCATTTTTTTTTATTTTGTCCGAGTTTCGAACTGGCAACCTTCTTGTACGAACGTCTCTCCTTAAAGCTAATTGTTTTATTAAAAAGTTGTTATTAGGATACCTTTTTGCTTCGTTTTGTGTTTTTCTGAATTGTTGGTAAATGCGATATTTTGTGTACGTGGAATTCCCTGTTCCACTGAATCGAAAACGGGTATCCCATTAATTTGTCTCCTTATTATACCCAACACATAATTACTCTCAAATAATCTTCTATACATTCCTTCCGTTTTATGTGTCATTAGCGCATATACTAAAGGCAAAATTCTGGAATTTTCATTGCCAACTGGGGCATGTATAGTGTACAGTTGATAGAAAATTGTTGGTACGGTTTTAAAAGTGCCATCCATTATCCAGTAAACTGATTGCGATAAGTGTTGTATTCTTCCTTCTCCGACAGAAGAATCCCTTACTGAAAACTAATTTCCATTTAATGTACGTTTCAGATTGTCGTGTATGTTTATATCATCTAATAATTGTAGCTCTAGTGGCCGCGCATTTTCTTTGAATTATTTGACGAAGAGAGTTTCTTGCTGGCATACGGGGTAGAATAGTTTGGTGATTTGGATTTGCTTGAACATTTTGTATAATTTGACATGGTTGTATCTACTGCTTGTCTTTTTATTTCACCAATAATTTGGGTAACTTTGGCAGAACTTGCTTGAGGTGCATGGTTGTGATCGACAAATTTACGAAAATAATGTAGTCCATTCAGAAGTATTGTGGTCACTCTGCCCTTGCATATCGTTGTTTTTCTTTTATCTCTCCTTCACCATTAAGTATCCACGCGCACAAATCTTATCATATCCTTTTTGTGACGAAATTATTTCGCAAATATCCATGTTTACAAATCTTGACTAGCCTAATACTTAGTTTTAATTTAGCGTAATTATAAAAACACGGTTTCGATAAATCACAGGTTATATATACTCTAAACAATAGAATATTGATGTTCTTATTTTAATCACGTAGTAAGTAATAACACTCATTTTTAAATTAATTTTTCAAAAATTTATTCGTACTTATCAATGGGACTGTTTACGCTTTGTGGAGGTTTCTTTGTTTTTTGTTATATAATAAGACATATAGGACTAGGAGACATAGCATGTTTTTTTTTTCTCTATTATCATTATTAATTATAATAATTCAATCATTATCATTATCAATTATTATAAATTCATTTTTAAAGAGTTTTGTTTACTTTTTTTAATAAAAATAAAAATACAAGTCGGCGCCGGATACTCAAAAAATATAGTATACCATTAATAATAAATTAAATATATTTAAAATAAATTCCCGGACAGAAAGACCTAGGTCTACTATTAATGTATATATTTTCGTTAACTTATATAATAAGATTGTTAATAACAATAAATTATTATTATTGTATTTGATTTCGTTGTATTATTCATAATAGACCTTGACAATTTGAAATAATCTGAAATGCAATTAGATTATTAATTGTTGTTATTAACTATTAATAACAAAATATATTTATTATTGTATTTGTTTTCATTGACTTAATAAAACTTAAAATTAAGAAATATTCTAAATTATATTCTAAAATATTATGTTATTGTATAAATAATAATAATAATAAAAGACACTGTCGGGATATCGAATGTCGGGATTTTGATTGTCGAGATTTCGAACGTCGGGATTTTGATTGCCTCCGTTATCAAATGAATGTAAGTGGGGTGTTACGATGAGTAAGTCTGAAGTCGGTTAGTTAGATTCTTTTTTAGTCTAATTGTTTTTCTGTCTCCGTCTTTCTTCGCTTGTTTCGTTCATGCATAATTTATGAATGCAAAACGACTACGGTCGACGTTCGCGTCGTCATTAAAAGCCTCGCCGAATAGACAGTCGCGCGACAAGGGACGCGGAGTGCATTGATTCCCCATTTCTTAATAGTTTCGACATCCGTTCAGGATTCAGGACGCGCCTTTCCATCGCCATCGGGATTCAATAATACGTCGGGACGTCTTTTTTCCTCCTTCCTGCCATTTTCGCATAACTAAATTTTCTTTGCGAGGATGCGTAGCACGGGGATGAGTATGAGGACGACAAGGAACGCCCGTATTTATATTACATTAATATACCCTCCGGGTGCATCAAGAATTAGCATACAACAAATTCGTCATAGAGTTTTACGTCCGAAAGAATAATATTGACAGGAGGCAATGGGGTGGATGCGCTGGGTTACGAAACTTGTATCGTTGGCAATACGTAGGTACGAAGAGAAGGAAATAAGAGAACATGCACGTGCTATATTCTTTAGGTGTGTGTGAGAGCAGCGGTGTCTATTTAAATACAAATTGTTTATAAATCCTGACGTTTCCATTTTCTGCGAGGTTGTTGTGCAGATGTTCGGAGGGATGGGGGTTGGTTTGGTACTGCGTTATGGATTTGGGGGGATGGGAGACGGTTACATTTTTTTTTTGTAGCTTCCTCGAAACATCAGGACGACCGGCACTTTGTTATTTGCGAATCTCTGGATCTGACAACTGTATGATATTGTCACGTTTTAAACGGCGATATTGGCAATCGCCGGGCGCAAATTCAATTCGGCGTAGCTCTTACAACCCCCCAACATCGACGTATTCTCACATCACCTGCAATTGGCCAACCCTCTCGCACTTCCATCCTTGTCGCTCAAAACAAACAATTGTTTCAATACTTAATTATTTTAAACGCCAAATGCACATACGTCAGTCCAAATTCGAGCAATTTCACCTTGATTTAGAAAATTAATTTACTGGTGTGTTACACAACGCTTCTAATAAGCAAAGTTTTTTCTAATTTTACGAACTACTCTTAAGTGTACCAAATGCACATCGGTACTCGAACTAATATTAACAAATATTTGATATTTGTCCTATAAGACTACATTTATGTTATAATGCATAGGATGATTTTTGATGATAAATACATATTTAATGTTTGGATTAGTTAATCTAGTTATGGGGTGTTTTGTTTTGAGCGTTTGTTGTCAAAGTCGTTTTTTGTTGTTGACAGTTTGTGTCGTTGGTTTTGCTGATACAAGAATTTTTTTAGTGCATTATAAGTTAATTTGTTGATAATCCGTTGTTGAGTACTATAAACTGGAGGTATATTTAGTATTTTGATGCTCGATAGGCGACGGCAGCTGTGATTAAAGGTAAAATACGAGCAAAGTGTAGGAAAGGTGAACGTGGCCACACGTGAATATTTAATGTTTTGACTTGAGCGGAGTTGATGTTGTTTGAACGGTATTTTTTTTTGTGGTTTAGATACATTGTAATGATGCTGATGTATGTGCGTGTGTTTTTTTTGTATGTTTCAGCATTCTATGGTGTATTTCTTCCATCATTACGAGTTGCCGGTGATCATACATCAGGCCCAGGTGCATCAGTTCTTGTTGAGGAACACGCATAACCGCGGAGGCCATCCATTCGCCCATAGGCTCATCCAGTTCTGGACTTCAGCCACAACGCAAACCTCGAACAACGTGAACCAGGTGGCCACCTCGACCTCGACGACACCACCGACGTCCACAGTGGGAACATCGGCGCAGCCCATCACCTCCACACATTCGAGTCAGACTGTGCCGGCGGCCGTCGAGTCATTCGGGGCGCAGACCTCGCTGACGACGGCCACGGCGGCCGCCAGCCAAACACACACCGACGTAAGACCTGCAGGTGGATCCGACGATACGACATCTGTTGTCTCTAATTGATTCCACAATCCCACCAATCTTATACCTACACCCTCACCATCCCTAATAATACCAACTTTACAGTTCTTCTTCTGCAACTCAAACAAGTATATTAAAAAAAAAAAAGAAAAACCCAGCAGCTACCTCCCTACAAATCCTATCCACACACACACTTACCGAACTCAACTACACTATATTAGTATAATTATATATAAATATATATAACAACCAATATGACCGTAATCGTTTTACCATTTAGAACGCGTTTGAATGAACCAGATCACCCATTCAAATTCATGCATATGTATTTAAATGTGTAATCCAGAATTCTAGAACTTATATTTGTATATATATTAGTCTCTACTATGCGGACTATTATTATAATTATAAATATTATGATTTGTCTATATATTTAGGTGATTGTCTGACAGATTTTATGTATAGTAAATATTCATAATGTACTCTTTCCATTAACTTTTCATTTATTATTTTTTTATTTTATTTTGTTTTGTTGTTATTATTTTATATTTTTCGCAACGAGCTCCTTTGATCGTCGTCCATCGACTGAGTGTTTTTACACGGGAATCCCCTTCATTTGGAGTATATTATAGTATGGTAATTAATTAATTGAACTAATAAATGTCGATACAACATATACCTAAACGCAATTTAATCTCACCATTATCATTAATTACATCCCACAAACAAAACTTTATATTAATTATTAACAACTATTTGATGTGGTTGATCAAACTAACGCATGTAAGTACATTACGATATAACATATATTTTTTTAATAATCTCATGTAATTCATCGAATGTGTAAAAAGAGGGTAAGTGATGTTAATAAATATTTACTAATACTAAATCTGTTGACGAATTAATGAAAATATATTAAGATTAAATGAATATATTACAAAGAGTTATTTTGAAAGCTAGTTATAAGACTATGTAGCAACATGATTTCGTGCAATAACTTGGAGAAAATAAAATGGACATTTCAGTAATGGTGCGGTCGCATCAACCTTAATTTACTGCAACATTCATTTGTCCTAATTGATATGGATCCCAGAAAATAAACGTTTTTCTACCTACAAAAATTCTTGATCCACGAGAATCGAAACAACGTAAAAAACATTTTTTTTTCATTTATTTTTATAAATCGTTATTGCTTCTCTGGTAGATTTTTATATGGGACCGATTTTAATTGATCGTTACTTGTAATTTTACGCGATTATCGGCGTCGCTGTCGATGTTACAGCAGCTTCAAATCTTAGATAATCCGACGCTGCTTTTACGGCTATTCACATAAATCTCATCGATCTGCATTAGTGGACAGGCATAAAACAGTAGCAATTAATGCCTCAATTACCATTCTTAATCCAACTGTTTTATGCATTACATCATAAACTATATAAAAAATAAACTGAGAAATTTATATTTATATTTTTTTTACCAAATAATTGAAATTTGTTGCTGTTCTTATAGTTTGTCCCTTAGTTTTTCTCAATTTCGTCGGATTAGTTAGTTGCTGTTTCTGCATCTGAAAATGTTATTAATGAATTCAAAAGTCCAGTTTAATAGACGGAAAACGGTAAACAGCGTCGACGGACCTACATCAGTGGATCAGTCGCTTTTCGACCCAGATTAATGGGGGGATCACTTGGATCGGTGATGTCACACGACGACGTTAAAAACAAAATCATTATTTACTCGGGATTCGCAGATTCAACACGCGTCGTTAATTAATTTGGAATTAGAGTTCAGGATCACAGTTGGAGATCGAATAATAATACACAAGCAAAACAAGCAGAAACAACAACCAGAAATACAAAAATAAAAATAAAAGAGTCGGAACAACAGAGCAACAAGGAAAACATCCATCTCGCAATTTGCAAAGTAATTAAAACGTAGAAGCGCATTGTTCGGTCTCATGTTCCAACTCAACTTTCCAAGAAGTAGATAAAAAAAGATAAAGAGAGAGAGAGATTGGATATGAGGAGAAAGCAGGAAAATACATCGACTGGGATTTCGTTAATTAGCTGCACGATCCGACGATTTCAATTAAGAAATTTTAGACATCGCTTCTCGCATTTCACACCAATTTCCAGTTGAACAATAAAATAGTTATTTAAAGAAGTTAATTCTTGGTGAAACATTATTTGCTTAAAACAAGAAATATGTAATTTTTTTAATACATAAATATCTGGAAAAATGTATTACTATTCTCTTGTTCATTCTAGATGGCGCTGTAAATTATTAGTATTAGGAAGAGTATTTTACTGCATTAGTATTTTTTGCATTGAAAAAAAATAACTGCTGATTGTGTAATTATACAAAGTTTTGAAATCTGAATGAAATGGAGCATTTATTATTGAAGTGGTAAAAAGTGCATTTTGTTTTGTTGACAAATATTGGAAGAGTTTGGAAAACGATTCTCACCACCTCACGTGCATTGCAGCTCAATAACCGGGATACGTTTCTTGAATAAGTATTGCAGTTACGACGTCAATGTTTTCACGTTTCCTCAACAAATGCTCTTTCCGAATACAACTGGAGTTGTCGCTTCTGCTTATGCTGAAAGCGCAAAAAAAAAGAAGAAGGGTGGGGGGGCAATGTAAAGCTGAGTAAGTGTCTCCTCTCCTCCGCATAACATCGCGGTCCTCCCGGAAACGCTAAAGTCGGCAGGATTTATGCGGCCGAGTTAAGATTAATAATTTTAATTAAAACGCATCATTTTTAAGTTAAGCGATACAGATGAACTGGAAACGGCCGAGAGAGAAAGACTGTGAAATTAAGGTTTTTGTGGATAGAGAAAGAGAGAGGAAGAAATAATATAAGGGAAGTGTTGGTGGATGAGAAGGTGGATAGAAGGATATAAACTTTGCTCGTTGGCGCAATGAATATTGTCGTTTTTCTTGGTGCGCCCCGAGGTTTTGCACCGTATACTCGAGGTGATTATTATAATATTTCCTCCGGTGGATGGAAATGATTGCACGTTGGCGGAGAGTTTATATGCCTTAATGTAATAAAGATATTGTAAACCAAAAACAAAACAAATTAAACTATTTCAAGAATTAGGAATGGGAAATGTAAAGTGCGAAACTTTGCAATTTACCGATAGATGGCGTCACATAAAAAACAGTTTATTGTAGTACTACTACATACTTAGTACATAATAAATTATAAAATTTTCGACTAAAATATAACGATAATCAGAAAAGATTCACTCATAATTTGATGTGATAATAGACTATCAAAAATTTGTATCATATTATAAGAAAATGCTTAACTCACGGATAGAAAATAATTGAAGCAATTTTACTTTATTCATATATACAATAATTCAATATTAGATATGAAAGCGAGTATCAAACATTTATATAAGTTTAATTAATGAAAGTTATGACAAACAATTGAATAAGCCCGAATATTGAAACACTTATTGTTACTTTCATCACTTATTAAATTATGGATTTGTAAAGTATGGTAGAAAAGCATCGAGTTTCCTTGAAAATTGTATGAGAATAAGTAATGAGAGGTGAAGAAGTATACTAATGCACATCCACCTGTAAGAAGGGAAACGTGTGTTCCTCGCTTTTATCAGGTCTTCACTTCTCGAGTAGCAGAAGAAAAATGATGGTTAAGAAGTCCCCGTCTCCTCATGATCCTCCACCTCCTTCACATCCACCGAAGAGCGGATCAATGCTTGCATTATCAGAAGATGCAGACCTTCCAGATCACTGACCAAACCGTTACATCCTTTCATCCGGCAGAAATTGCTGATCACTGATCGTGGATACGTAAACCCCGACCACATCGAACCCTCGAAAAATAAATAAATAACACGACTTTTGATTACTCGACTCGCAAATACTTTACTCTCTCTCTCTCTCTCTTAAACGCAGTCTCATACACCAACTGCCGGACTTATTGCATTTGTTATTTGTTGACAAAAACATAAAGAGAGGAAAGAAGGTAAACGAGAAGAAGAAAAAGAAAAATTGAAAAAGTCGAACATGGCCCGAAACTTTGATGAGAAGAGAGCAAGTTTCCTTACCTTTCTCGTTGCCTCGGGTGATCGTTTCCACGGCATTGTATTTATTTTCCTCTACCATCCGTATTTTGTTTCCTCCCCCCTTTCTCTTTTATCCCACAAATAAATACACCCTATCATCATCAACATCATCGGTATTCGATAATTACTCATACAATTATTAATCAAGAAGAAAAATGTTGCTGCAATAATAAAATTCCGTTGCGGTTGTCTGCATTTATTTGCAAAATTAATTTTATCAACTTTTCGTGAACGTTTTTTCCAATTTATTTTTCTCTCACTCTCGCGTGTTGTTGTTCGTGGTGTTTGTTATTCGGTAATAATTTTCATAATTTTAATTAAAATAACTGTCGGAATTGCGGATTCGTTGAAATTAGTTTCCGCCGGACGTTGGCGTTGATTTGCTTCTCGATTTTTCATTGTTTTAATTCGTTTACCATTATTTGTTTCTCAATTTTAATATGTGTTTTTATTGCTCTAAAACTTTCTAATTAAATTATTTTCATAGACCAATTATGGAGCGATAAATAGCCGAATGGTTAAGTCGCTCTACACACGATCGAACCGGCGGCGGTTCGAATCCTGGTCAAGTCAGGCCCTTTTGTGAGTCCTGTCGGTGCTTGCAGCAATAGGGCCATTATTCATTAAAGATGGACAGTCAAATGAATGAGGTTAAGGATAGCAGCAGATTCACAGTGAAAGGAAATAGTGAAAGAGCAACCAACCAACAAATTAAAAACTCAAATCATCATAATGGTAAAACTATCCACCGGGAATTATACGACGTAAACAAATATTCCAATTATGTTCGTATTTAAATTTAAACTTATTTTTTGTGTCAATGATGGACTTCGAAATAAATTAAAATTAGTTATTTTTAGTTGATCAGTAAAAATATATTGTAAAGTTTGTAATTATGTACTTATTAAGTTAAATAATTTTAAAAATTGTAGTTTTGAATGAAGGAAATGCATCAAAAGGAAGGTTGAAAGATGTCTGCTTCGTTATTCGTATTTGATTAAGAAATGTTTTTGAAATTGGGGAAACCTTCGGAGAAATTATTATGTTGGATGTATAAGATAATTGTATAGAGAATCTTGTTAGAATGTTTTTCGCTTCGAGTCGCTGCATCGAAGTGCGGAAAAAAAGGTTAAGTAGTGAAGGGGATGAGATTAAAGGACGGAGAGTGCCCTTTGTTGTTGCCGCTCCATTCTCCCATTTCTCCATCCTCTTTCCACCAAACGACGTATGATTTTCCTTATTCTTTCTCTCTCTCTCTCGCTTATGATCGTTTTCCGCATAAAACTAATTAAAGAAACGATAACGTAAAAGTTTCCAGGATTCTTAGGACCAGCTGCCAAAAAAAGAGAACGCCGCAGAGGAAAAAAAATCATAAATGAAGCTGCCTTCTTCATTTACCGCAAGAGGAAAATGAATAAATAAATGTATATTCAAAGGTGCACACGTGGGTCGAGCAGCGGAGGATTTTGGAGAAGAGGAAGATAAGAAGCGGGAGAAAGAGACTAAGGGAGAGAGAAAAATAAAAGAAGAATAATAAAAGAAGGAGGGAAGTTAGCGTAGCGATGCCTCAGGGTGTT